AGGTGACGATATCAACAATTACCATGCGCAGCAGCCTCTCCTCGTGGGCTGATATTCTCAATACCATATCCCAGCATCTTTTGGTGCGATAAACATGAGTATCACATGGGTTACAATATCTCATGATCCGACTTTCAAGTAGCAATGGGCATGTCAGATTCGGGAGTTGAAACGTGCTCCCGGATCCAGCGATCGGCACAGGTGTAAATGTCTTCATCGTTTTCTGTAAATGTATGGTTCATACAGGATGATTGTTCATGTGTTCATGCTGTGGCCAAAGTGGGCAGTTTGAACTAATTAATCCCATCCCCCTAATAATGGGTACATCCCCATTCTACAGTCCCAATGCGTAAATCCCCCATGGTCACCTTGGTTTTTGGCGGACCCGAAATGGTTTTTGGCGTCTCCAACAGAACCGCCTTGCCACGGAAGATCTCAACCCACTTGCTCTTCATGTGCTGCGTGGGCGAAATACCGAACTCCATGGACCAGTTGAGAGACAGTCAAACATGGTGAAACATGATGATTTACCCTCTGGTAAATTAACATAGACCCTGAAAATCACCAATTTTTAGAGGAAACTCATCTTCCAACCCCGATGACTGCCAGGGTCTATGTTAATTTACTGGAGGGTAACCATGAACAACTGGGATCCAACCAATCAGTTTCAACAATGAACACCCTTTGTGTGTCTGAAAATGGGGAGCTGCATGGATCCGCCCAAACCCTGCGGATGTAACTTCAGAGAAACCGTTGAATCAAGGGTCCTTTATCAACAGCTTGTGAAATGTGACATGTGCATAGATGTGAAGGGAAACCATTGAGTTCCATGGGCACAGGGGACATTTGGGCAGGGCTGGAACCCGACGTTCATAGCTCAACTTATTGCCCTCCTGGTTTCTTCTTGAACTACCAATTGCACAAATGCAAATAATATCAACACAGAAATATACATATTAATTCATACTCTAGTTAGTTGTGTTGATTTTGTACAAATAGTATTAACATCTATTAAACCTGTGCAGAATAATTAGCAAAAATAGTCTTACAGGCAAATTGAAATCAAGCAGTATAATCTTTACAAATATCCATGGGCGTGTGGCATCGAAAAATCTTGAGAAGCTTGAGGTTCAACATGGCATCGCAACAGCACTACACCATATCAATGGGAATATCCCCACAAAATATGGCCTTATATGGTACAGTACCTCCATTTTAGGATCCTGGAATTCCCATTGACCATATCATCATCACACAACAATAATTGTTCAGTGCCGCAAGTCCTTTGGGTTGCATTCAAGCAAGTCCATTGTGGATGTTACCCACTTCAAATGCAGAAACTTTGGCACATTTGGGTGTGATATCCAAGTTGTTCAAAACATTGCTCAGCCAGCTGTCATGTCTAATCATCTCACTTCTAAGAACTTCCTGGCCGCAGCAAGCACCTGTCTAGCTGCTTAAACACTAGCTATAGATGTTGGTTTGTCCAAAAGTGATCAACATTGGGGTACAGATGGCTACCAGAAAGAAACCAAATATGTTCATCAGGAAACGGATGATCACTGATGACCATTGATCAACCATTTGACTTTGGGATACGTTGGGTCCTTTTTTTGGGTCCTTTTTAACAAATGACCGTCGCAACACCGACCCTTCCTCATACGGCCTGGTTCACGTGATCTTGCAGTTCCTTCCAGGTGGTGCTTTCGGGCACATTTCCAAGCCACACCTGGCGAAACTCGCCAGCAACGTTTCGCCACAACCAGCCACTCTGAAGGTGGTCTCCAAAATAGGGGAAATCCCATGGCTATTCCCATGGCTTTTCCATATCATTTTTCCATGGCTTTATATAGCGACACTCAACCTTGTTATAGAGAGAGAGATGAAAAATCATGACATAAATGAGTTATATCAGACATGATCATATTTACAAATGGTACCATATATGATATTTATATCTAACACAGAGATGATCATAAATGATCAAAACAGGATCATATACTAGGTACCATTTATAAAAGACATAAATGAGTTGGTCATCTTTATGTTCTCGTCATCCATCCGGCGCCAGCATGGCTTCGTCAGAACCAACCTTCAAGGCATCGTCCACCTTGAGTTGTTTGCCCTTTCCTTTGCCCTTGCCCTGCAGGGAGGAGTCCGTTGAATATACTGGTTGGTGGTTGGTACGCCTACCCCTCTGAAAAATGATGGAGTGAAAGTCAGTTGGGGTCATGACATTCCCAATATATGGAAAGTCATAAAAGATATAAAAGCCATGTTCCAGTCACCACCAACCAGATAAGAATAACATGGACCAAAATGAGAGACATATCTAGAAATGTGTGGTGCAACGCTGAAGAAATGTCCTGAAATTCTGGATGGACATAGACCATCCTGACCCACTGTGTTTCAGCTCACGGCCGCCTTCATACCCCACATCGGTGGGAACATGCCGTAGATGGGCATCGGCATGCTGTAGCCTGGGTCACATGCTGTAGCCCCTACCACTTGTGGTAACTGGAGACATCCCAATCACTGCAATGATCATCAATTATCTACCACTTCAACCAGATATAACTTATGGCAGGGCCCATCATTGTAACATATTGCAACAATGAAAACCACCCCAGATCCTCTAATATTTCCTAATCGATCATTGATTCCTTTTTTTTCTTGAGGTCAGATCAGCATCACATGAAATGGCGGTCAAATTGGTTGGCCGCCGGTTGGCGCTCCAAATATTGACGGTTGGATCATCACAATTCAATAGAAATATCTTGGTTTGTCGATAAGGTTCCACTTCAAAGTTCAATTTAAACTATATAGTTGGCGGTAAATCCGGCAAACCCAAATTTATCCTTAAGTTTGTTTACCCTTAAGCCCTAAAGTCACAGCAAAGTGATTGCCCTCCTGTAAACTAACAACATAGATGTGACAAACCCACCATTTGTTGGAACAGTAAACCATGGTTTTCCACATCGTTTTGTAAACGTTTCCCGCAGGGTAACACAACATGGCTGCAAACAGGTCCACCTCATACCCTCTGGTCATTCGACAGTTTGCTGTTGTATAGACGGGCCAAAGAAATAGATGATAAATATGATGATTCACAGTCCTTTATAGATATCTATGCATATATAATCATATAAATTTATGATATATATATATATAATATGATATATATATATATATGATATATGTATATATATATATAGACATATAGATAGATTATCTAGAGGATTTATAGATGACCCATTCGTAGAGGATGTATGATGACATAAAGTGCTTATTAATTAAACCTTGGGGACTTTCATGGATTTTCCAGGTCGCAAAGTGTTAAAATCATCACATGTCTGAGCCAAAGGACCCCATGCGCCTTTGCCATCGCCCCAGCCCTTGCCGCCCCAGCCCTTGTCGCCCCAGCCCTTGCCCTCCATGCCCCAGCCCATCCTGGCGCTAGCGAACGTTATGGGTTCTTTCATGACAGTAGCGCTGCTGTTTGATGAGACTTTATACGGGATTGATATTATGGTATTTTTATGATTTATACGGATTTATAATATATGGATTGATATGGATTGATACTATATCAATATTTCCAATAAGTTGAGATGTATGTGTCTCAAAAAAATAAGGAAGCTCGTTCGCCAACCAACAAATATGAGAATGTGTAGTTGGGTTTGGATTTTAATCACCAACTTGACAACTATGGGTTTGTCTGACATGTTTCAGAAGCTGCTGACCCCAAAAGGATAATTTATTTGTACATCTTTCATAATCTTTGATCATCTTTGTACGGTTTATACATGTTTATACCACCCATGTCTCGCAAGTCATTGAGAAAGGTTTATGGGTGTGTCTGAAAATAGTGTACCCCTAAACCCAATGGTTAATGATCATTATCCCTATCAAATGGCTATAATTGGGAATATACCCTATTTTCAGACAAACCCTTATAGTACTTTTTGTCAAGTAGGGATTGTACTGGGATCGCCCTCCTGGGTGTCAAGTGACGAAAAAAATGGGATGTTTTTCTCAGTTGGACCACGCCGGATCAACCAGATTAGTCCGGAGGTGGTGTCGCAACAAACTGAAAAAAGTGCCGAAAAACCTTGGGAATACACATCTGGAAAGGGGTGTTGGTCTTTCAGTAAAAACATGACTGGTTCATGATGAAAAACCCAAGCCCAAAACAACGAGTCGGTGTTCATTCCGTTTCTAAGGATAGAACGAAACACGTTTGTAACATGGGTCATTAAATGTCCCCATTGAACATCACCCAACCATTAGGTATATGGTCTATAATGGCTACTATAAGGTGATGTCCAATATTCCCAAAATGGGACAGTTACCAACCCCTGTGTAACTTCGAAACTTGAAACCATTTCTTTAAGCCACACAGAGTCTGAGACCATCTCCATCCATCTCGCCTGGGTGAAGTTTCTCTGTGGCTTGGTGAGCTATGGCTGCGAATGTGACACACCTGGGAAATCCTTCGACCGTGTCGATGTAACTGATACCATCTGGTTATGACTAACATAGCCATGGAAAATCACATTTTTTAATAGGTAAACCATCTATAAATGGGCCATCTATACCATGGCTATATTAAATAACCAGAGGGTAATGTTTTTGCATAGTTTTGCATACACATGCATGATATCATAGCGATATCATAGCGATATCATATCGATTGTATAATATATATTTAATTAAACAGTCATGAATAAGAATCGACAATTTTGCATGAATTTGCATGCGAATTTGCAGTGATTTGACAGCACATGGAAAATGAAGGTGACGTTTACCATCTGGTTATGTCAAAATAGCCATTGAAAACGACCATTTATAGAAATTTTCCCATTAAAATTTGTGATTTTCCATAGCTATGTTAAATTACCAGAGGGTAAGGGTGCAATTCGTGATCATTGTCGACTTGTCCTTTAATCATGTCTCCAGTCCCACCATGGTTTCGAGATGTTTCGAGGCATCACTTTTTCGCCGCTCAAATGTCATCCGCCAGGCTCGGGCCAGCTGTGCCAGCTGTGCCATCTGTGGCTGTGGCCTGACCGAGCGAAATGGAAGCTGGAGGAAATGAGTGGGTCTAAAAGTGGCAATTGCACAATGCTCAGGTGGTGTCTTCTATGTCCAAAGGTAGGCACTCACAGTGGTCACAAACACTGAAAGCCGCTTCATACTAAATGCATGGAAAAACAATGAAACAAACACTGGTAAAAAGCAATCGAGGAATCAAGCTCTTCCTTGGAAATTCCAAAGTGGCCTAAATCTTCCCCCGGATTGAAGAGCTACAGTAAGCCTTAAAATGAGGAATCTGAGGAATCCCAATCCACTCAGCCCAATCCCACTCTTGGCTTCACCTTGCCATCCACACCAAGCTCACCACCTATGGCCGGGATCTAAAGATACCATGGTGATATCCTACCAATTTATAGCAATTTCTACTGTTGGAGGTTCCGAATGTTGGCGCCCAAATCTGCCCAATGGATGGAAAACTCTCTGCTATCTGTTGTATGTCATGATCACAGAGGATGATCCAGCTTTTAATTGCTGAGACTGTTTACATGATGCTAGGGGGTAGAAAACCAAATGAACACTCTGAATAAAATCAGCAACTGCAACTAACATCTATTGTCTTTTGTGTCTGTCAGTCAGCAATTCTTGGGCACCCGCTATCCACAACCCTGATCTCTTCGGTGGGTGTACCAGACCTGCAAATGCACAAAGAGTCATCACGTGAGCGATTTCGATCTGTCAATCGACCAGTTGGAGTTTTTTGTTGGCACTTTTAGGTGATATTCGGCTTGGATAATGATCTTCCTTGATGAATTGCACTCTGAGTTGATGTGTCTTTCTCAGAAGGTGATGCCACATTCTTGGAACCAGGACAGCCAACCAATAGAGGTTGGAAGTTCTGTTGGCGAAGCCTCCTCTGTGTTAGGGGTATGTATAATCTACCAGAGTATCCAGAGTAAACCTAGGCTGTGCGACCCGAGCAACTAACTTGGACAAGGCCTCGAGAACTGAACCATACCCGCGGGTGATGGGTGATGTGATGGAAAAAAAAAACGGACATTGAGGGACTTTCCTCCGTTGAACGTAAAACGCCCACATATCACATCATGCATGGTGCAATTCCAGATGATGAACCCATATAAAAAGGAAAACATCAGGTGTCTTTGATGGTAGCTTCATGGTGGTACCTTCACCATTTAAGAAAACATCAGGCGCCTCCTGAGCACATGAAAAGTGCCCAAGAATCAAATGCCAAGTTGCCAGTTGCTACTGTATCATCTCGGACATCCACAACTGGTTGGTGGTACATCTATCTCTCTGAAAAATGATGGAGTGAAAGTCAGTTGGGATGATGACATTCCCAATATGATGGGAAAGTCATAATCCAGTCATGTTCCAGTCACCACCAACCAGATTTTCCCAAACTTCCCCATGAGCAGAAATGGCCATGACATCAATGGCCATAAATCGACATTGCCTGGAGCCTCTCTTCTCAAGTTCCTTGACAATGTCCATGCCGAACCTCGGCCACACACCATGTGGCAACGTCCCCAAGGGAAGAAAAACGAACTCCGCTGGCACTCTGACCCTTCAGAACCACCGTTTTGTAATGACGGTTGGACATGCAATCAGCACCTCCAACTGGATCTAAATATAACCAGCATATCAACATCTATTAGGATTCTTGTTTCTCACTTGTCAACAGATTGATTTAATCATATATCGAAACATTGGCTCCAAACCGAGCCAACCACGTGTTTTACCATCATCGTTTTACCATATGAATCATCGCCCTGGGAGCCCAGGCAGCACCCGGCCAAAGACCACATGCTTCCCGTCCAACCACGGAGTTGCGGCAAAGGTGATGAAGAACTGTGGAAAAGCGTGGCCACGCCGCTGCGAGACGGTGATGTTTGAGGACCACGTCTGATGGGTTTTTCGTCCATATTTCAATGGGGATTTAGCAGATTTCACCTAGGAAATTGAGGGAAATTGAGGGTTACTGTAAGTTTTTAACTTCCATCACCATGAACAGTTTTTTTCTTGGTAGAGAAAAATATGTGTGCGGATTTGTCCGGAGATCATGAGCCCCAATAAAGGGGATGATTTGGGGAGGCTCCTCAAGGTGATCTCCTTGGTGGATTGAGTGACTCACTACTAAGCAACCATCTATTATGAACTAATTATGAACTAACCATATACTATGAATCATATGCAGTTAACATAGGGTGGTAAACATCCCATTATTTATAGGTTTCAACCATCCAAGGTGGTGCAGGAGTTCTTCCACCCATTGGGACTTTCTCGCCTGGGACCCATTGCTATTCCGGCCGCGGTTGGCCATGGAGAGCAAACCAGGCCTCGGTTTGCGAAAACGTGGCAGCAAGAAAAATTCGGGATTTACCCCCTGGTAATTTGTTACATAGCTATTGAACATGGCCATTTATAGTGAGTTTTCCCATTAAAAATTGTGATTTTCCATAGTCATGTTAGTTTACCAGAGGGTACCATCCTGTAAAACAGAAAAAAACTTTAAAATAGCTGGTGATAGCTGTATTGTTTAGTAGAATCTGATCTTCCAAGCCTTATTTGGCAGGGTGTATGTTAATTTACGGGAGGCTAACATGATTTAACATGATTTAAGATTTAACTATTTAAGCAACAACAATGCTGGTTGATTTGTGAGAATTTCATCAGGAACGATGAAGCATCAATTTAGGGGTGCCCCACTTTCCGCACCAAACCATACGGGATATTCCACCTCATTGCCCATCATCCCCCCTACCATCATGTGCTTGGGAAACTCTTAGCGGCTCCATTTACCCATAGCTACTTATATAGTGCCATCCTAATCACAAGATAGATTCAACATATCTTGTATCTCCATGTATCTCCCCCCCATTTCTTACAGTGTAAGGCAAACCAATCCAGTGTGACTGTGTGACTCATGTGTCAATATTATCGAAAGCTTCCACACTGCTGCAAGACTCGATGCACGCCAAGGCCATCGAAGTGAAGCAAGGCCATGGGTATGGGTCACAATTGAGGGACCAGCAGGCCCACAGAATCGGGTCATGTTTGTTGCTAAATCCATACAAGTCTTGGGGGGTCGAGTATCTTGATCCATAGTCTAATATAGTCAAAATAGATCAAAAGGACGTAAGTATATTATAGAATTGTATCATACCTACAGCTCCTTTCCCAGGCAACCACACTCGGTATGATGCACAATACCGTGTTCCCATTCGTCTCGAAAGGTCTTGCCGTAAATGCTCTCGCCGCCTTCTCAACAGCGTCACAACTCCTCCCTTCGAGGAATCCCCTAGCGCTCTGTTGACATTGTGACAGTGGTCAACAGTTCAGCCAATGACAATAACAAAAGTCCATCCTGACCTATGTTGCAGTGAGGATGACAATGAAGATACACTTTCCACAAACGAGATATTCTTCGAAAACAAGAAATGGATAGATGGAGACATCACTATGCAATGCCATAGCATCGCCATACCATATCCCCATATCACCCATATCCCCTTCCCATCCAGATCTTATCTCAGCGGTCTTATCTTCGCCTCTTCCGTTGCCATGCGTGATGTCACCGCCCTGTGCCATGAATCCTGGAATGATCCTGGCCAGTCTCGGGGAAACATCACCGATCACTGTCACCAGTGAAGCATCAAAACGTCATGTTGAACCTCCATGAAGCGCCAACAATCAAGGGAAACGAAATTTATTTAATTCATGAAAACGAATTAAACACCCCTGACTCCAGTCACAATCAAGGCCTTGACGTGGATGTCAAGAACTTGTTAAATGCTGGGTCTCTGTTCAACGTGACCTCTGGAAACCTCTGGAAGGACGGTCCCATGCGAAAGCCTTCAACTTCCACTGGGAATGTGTGCAGATTTTCTGCAGAAACTGATGAAACTGATGTTGGCTGATCTTAATGAAACATTTATTTACCAACAAATCATGGCCAGGCGATCTTTGTCACACACACTTCCAAGCCGCCCCAGGAAGTTTTTAGTTGTATATAGATATTTAACAATCATGATGGGTCAAAAGCCTGGTACCCTAGGTACCCTAAAATAGCTGGTTAATGGTTATTCCCCCCAGTCATATGGTAATAATATGTACACTAATATCCATACAGTACATATCCATACAATATCCATATAATATGTACAGTAGTATCCATATAGGTACCCTAAAATAGCTGGTAATAGATGGTTATGTACAGTAAACCATAAAACCATATAGGTTTTCATCCATTCCAATATCATCACCAATTTCATCCAGGTCGAGGCCTATGCAGTGGCGAGCCCTTGAAATGTCGCGGGGTCTCACTGAGCCCGGGACCTGGCTGACTTCCCGGGATGGGAACACCCTCCCGGCAGTTTAACAACATTTACCAACAATGGGTAAATGATGGGTAAATGATGGGTAAATGATGGGTAAATGTTGGTAAATGTCAAAATTATGGTATATTTACCAACATTTACCCATCGCTTACCCTAAAAATCACCCAGTTTTGTAGGTAAATATGCCATAACTGGTTGGTGGTTGAGCCTACCCGTCTGAAAAATATGAGTTCGTCAGTTGGGATTATGAAATTCCCAAGATATGGACAAATAAAAAATATAAACATGTTCCAAACCACCAACCAGGGTAAATGGCACAATTTGGTTCGATGATTTACCTATTAAAAATAACATATCCCGATGGATTAGTTGAAGGCAACATGCTTGCTTTCAACCAATTCGGGGAAACAAATTGCCCACAGTCAAACATGTACTATACATTTAAAAACACCCTTGGAAGTTCAACATATGTAGAAACCTAAAATATCCTATTAATGGTATAACCTTGTTCAATGTTTGACCATCGAAACATGCAAATTGAAACTGATACTTCACCTGATCGCCAGCTCATACTGGCTCATAGCAATTGGAATTTCCGTGGCGACATCTTGGAATTTGAGACCCAGCCCGGCCGCCGGTCTCTGGCCTTTTTCACCAGTGCAAAGAGCGCGGAAATTCTCCACGGCCATCGGAGCCACATCTTTGAAGAGCTCAAACCTTTCCAAAGATGTGGGACCCGATGTGGAACCCAGGGTGCAGATGCACGGCCGCATGTCCATGATCAAAATGGGAGATGCCCGGAGTCTCCGGAGTTATGGCAACCTTATAGAATTTATAGGCAACATGATATAACATGATGATATCATATGATAAGCCACCGGGTTCTTGAGCAATTTTCCCACTAGACTCATGTGGATTGGGCTGATTCCATGCGAATGAGGTCGGAGTTGCTGTTTCTTACCTCAGGAAACACAGCAGCACTGCAGCACCTCAAGTATCGTCTCAATAACATCCAATTAATCTTGGTGTGTGTCGAATGGGTTTGGTTCTTGATTATCTTACTATCTTTTACTTCTTTTTGAATCTTTTTGACTGTGAAGGGATGAGTTCATCTAGCTTCTGCCGAGATCTATGCTTCGTTTCGGCTGCTCTCCCGCCATCCGCATCCTCCACAGTTGAGGCTGTGCTTTCTTACGCGGTTGTTATCATTGTTGTTGCGGCGGTGGCTTTCTTCCAGCTGCATGTCTTAGGCGGAGCGCTTCCTAGGGTCCCAAAACAACTACCATCTGGTTATTTAACATAGCCATGGAAAATCACCATTTTTAATAGGTATACCATCTAGAAATGGGCCATCTATACCATGGCTATGTTAGTCATAACCAGAGGGTATCCTACCCATTCGTGTGCTGTCACAAGCTGGACGAAATGAGATCCTACTGACTCAGCTTGAACCCCCAGGGCTGCTGGGATGCCCTCACTCGATGCGGCCCAGGGCTTTCCCACCAGCCTGCTGTGGGATCAATCTTGGATAAAATGATCTTGGGATGGTTGTTAGTTTTTACTTAGCTAGTTGATTATATATGATTATATATGATTATATATGATTATATATATATATATGATTATAGATGATTATATATGATTATATATGATTATATATAATTATATATGATTATATATGATTATATATTATTATATATTATTATATATGATTATATATGATAATATTATATTATATTATATGAACTTGGGATGGGTTACCGATTGGGTGATGACGTTATCTTATATCAATTCACATCTAGGGATGGGTGCAGGGGTTGCGATGGCCCACAAGCGCTTGTAATATGGCGCACAAATAGCATAGGACACCATTGGCTCCACGAAAGTGTAGCCAGAGGTCCAAATCAAAAATCAATCCGCATACTTTGGGTATTCCGATGATTTCAGTCAAGCACTGGCTAAGTAACAGAAAATTCTCTTAGGTGTTCCCGGTGTTCCCCTTCAGCACACAGTTTTGCGATGTTTTTCTTCACCCCCATACTAAACGTGATTATCATCATCAATATCCGGTGGCCACCATTGTTGTTGGTGGAATCAGCATCAAATCAGCTGACACTGCCACCGGACGCGCAACGGACCTCCAAGTCCAAGAAGACGTGGGGGTTCCCTTTGGCGTGCACCAGGCTAGCCAAAGGAGTCACCGGACCCGGAGGCACCCCTTTGCTCCTGGAGGCCCAAATCAAAAAATCCCCAGGTGGGGAAAAAAAGACATGGGGATCCACTGCCTAATTTCCTCCAATGGTTTGTGCATCTCCCCTCCAGTAGGCCTTGCCAATGCCATGGAAACTTGACTTTCTATTTGAGGCTGCCATGGAGGTGGTGAAAAAACAACCCCTGGAAACAAAAAACGTCAGTTGGCATCATCCTCCCCAATGAGGTTGGTCTGGTTGCAAACACATAATATATATATATATATACACTGGTTGGTGGTATACCTACCCCTCTGAAAAATATGAAAGTCAATTGATGTCAATTGGGATGATGACATTCCCAATCTATGGAAAGTCATAAAAGCCATGTTCCAGTCACCACCAAGCAGATATATTTGAACCCACCAAGTCGTAATGCTGTGGCACTCTCCCCCCTGCTGTCCCGGTGAGCCAAATCACCAAGAAGAGCAGCAAGCCCAAGGCCAAGAGCGCACCGAGAGTCATCATGGAGAAGAAGGAGCCGCCTGAAAGGTCGGGACGGGGGGCTCTACCAATGGATTGAGAGGATGGGAAGGCCCGGGAAGGCTGGAAAACAGAAAAGTGAAAAAGCAAGAATTCATCGGATCAGCAGCTCAACACCCTATGAAACATACGACAGATGTACTCAGTCATTTGAGATAATCATCTCAAGTAGGAACATAAATAACATGAAATAACGCATCCTTTCAAACCACCCTAGATGCTCATCTTTCGCTCAACTGTGTATATATATATATGTATAATAATAATAATAGTAATAATAATAATATATATATATATATTATGAAATAATTACTGTGTATATATATATGTGTATATATATATATACACGTATAATCACGTATATATCAACGTCACATTTTGGCGGTCCTGACCATTATTTAACCACCAGTTCAAGTGGTGATTCACCCAGAAAGCAAGAGAAAAACATCTGGGGACCCGTCATCGGAAAGGAACAGAGAACTTCAGAGAACTTTTGAAACCACTCCACCTGATGTCCCTCGTGCCTGAATCAGCACCAACCTTGGTGTCGCAGCATGTCGCAGCACGCAGCTCTGTCCCCATCTTGGGGGGTTTAAGTGACTCGACCAACATCTGATGCCACTCAAGCCTGTTGTGTTGCTTTGCTGCATCGGATGGGCTTCAATTTTAGTCCCATCCGCGTTTTGCTGAAGAGGTTGCTAGCTTGGTAGCTGATGCTAGCCGAGGAGAGGGATAAAATGGAATAAAATGGGATAAGATGGTCTGTACTTGAAGTGTTCTTCTGTCCCTGAGAGAGGGTTTATTCCTCAATTTGATTTCCATGTAGGAACGGTTTGCCTAAGCACAAAACAAACACAATACCAAACTTGGTTCCTTGCGGTGCGATTATATATGTTGATTAGAGCAAATGCTGTGTCATGTTGTGTCACATTTCTGGTGAAAACTGATTTTTGTTGAAGTTGAATTCCCATGAATTCCCCAGAATTTTGCTGCTTCACTGCCTATGTTGTTATAGTTCCTCTCTTTCCGGCCTCCAGCAACTCCAACTCAAACATCAGCGTGGCATTGGGCGGAATAGGACCGACCCCTGGCAGTCACGGCGGGGTGATTTGGCAGCAAGATGCAGCGGTATGTTTGAAGCCATTGGATGCCCCATTGACCACGCCATAGAGCCATTCTGGGCATTTCAGCAGTTAGTATTATGATTTAGTATTGAATTTCAGTTTCATACTAAATTATTCATTTGAAATTTCAATATACTCAATCATACTAAATCATATTTAATATAGTTTCTCTTCCTTTGGTGATTTAGTATGATTTAGATTGATTTAGTATTGTTCCCCTTCCCATCCCAAGCATTTGTTCATCATTTACCACGCTTTATCTCAGCATCTGCACCTCGTTCTCCATAAGCTAAATGGCTTGGCAAAATGATCTCCCACCTGACTTGGGGACTTGGTGCAAGCCAGAGGAAGTGCCATGGGAAGTGCAACCAAGAGATCTTAAGCTTTTCAAACATAAAACATCTCAAGAAATCAAAAATCACTTCATCTCACTACATTGAAAAAAAGCCCTCTTGGATCCTCTTGGCATTGTTGAACAGTCAAACCTTTCGGCTCAATATGGCTCAATGCTGAATCTCAACTGTAAGGCTGTTGGAAAACGACTTGAGACACGCTCATTCTCCTCTCCATATACCCTCTGGTTATTTAACATAGCCATGGTATAGATGGCCCATTTATAGATGATTTTCCCAGCTAGAAACCTCCATTTATGGTTGGGGTTTTCCATGGCTATGTTAAATAACCAGAAGGTATATCACCACCACCAGCAAATGGCTGTGCCCGGGGATCGCCACCTGGGCCCCTTGGGCCACCCGACTTCTCTCCCTGTCGCATGAGCTGCAAAGCTTCAGACCAGCCAGGAACCACCTGGTCCGGCCTCCCGACGTGGAAAAGCCGAGCAAATGAGCAACTACTTGTGTGTCACGTAGTGTTAGTGTGCTGTAGTTTTTCCATACCAAATCAGAATCAACACTTGACTTGAAGGTCGGCTTGGATTTGACAAATGGAATGCATCTTGATGACTTTGGTTGAACTTTATACTTCTTACCATTTCATTTTTTTTGATGTCCTTGTCGCATCCTCAAGAATCCGGTAGACACACGCACAAGCCAGTGGACACCACCAAATGCGTCCCTACCAGGCCTGAAAAGAATTGGCCCTCGATCGTACCTCTTGCCACAGATTTTGCCAGGGAACCAGGGACTAGCAGTACCAAACAACCCTGGATCTTGAAGGTGTTCTCAAACAGCTGCCATCCATTATACATGAGAGTGAACATCTATCCCACCCTCATCATGATTGTAGTTGGTGTGCCAGGTCAGCAAAACTTCAGCGGCGATGCATCAATGGATTAAACGATGGATTACGGACGATCAGGATAGAGAGGTACTATCCGAATCCTCTTTAACGCCTGAGCTGGACGCCTGAAACATGATTTTGGCGTATGTTGGGAAGCTATTTTCCTTAATTACTGGACATAGCCATTCTGTGGCCATGGCTACATTTGATAGTTTGACTTTTTTAAGGAGTAGAAATATAGGTCAAAGCATCTGCGCCGTTCATCGCTATTTTACTTCCTCTGATGTATCATCCCCACATTTCCCGAGTTTTACTGTATATATATAATATATAATAGTCCTAGTTGGATTGGTTGGTGTCTACAAGTCACCTTAGAAACTTAGGCAGTTAGGATAAAGCTGCCTAGTCACGGGGATGGAACGTATACAGTAATTATAAAATGATATAACATGCATTTCCTTTCCGGTTTCTTTTCTATGCATTGTCATCTTACTTTCAGATATTTCCTCTAAGAAACAACTTTGACTTTTCTTGCGAACAACCAAACAACCTGGTTTGTTGTATATCCTGAATCCTGATGTACTTGGATTTGCCCACTTCTGCAGAAATCAGACTATGCTGATTCAAAAATCACACTTCCCCAAATCCAGTTATTTCCTCATAAAGCAAGAAAATACATGAAATACCCTGCTTTCTTGGCGAATTTATTGATATCCTCTGTTGCCAAAAAATCATGGGTCACATCGTCCATGTAGCCGAGCCACGAGCTGTCAAACTCGGTGCCATCCGTCAATGTGCCGCGGTAATGGCACCTGGACAACCGGCTAGTAGTGGCGACCATCCCATATGATTCATATGATGTAAGAATCAAAATCAAGGCAAGTCATTTCATGTAAATATACTCTATGATTCATACTCTACGTCACAGATGTCACAGTACACAGACTATCATTCTATCTTGTAATCACTGTTACATCAACTTGCAAAAGGGAAAGGCATGATCCACACCCTGCCTGCATGTGGTTGTAGGTCCCGGCCTGATAGTTCAGAGGTTCACCAGGTGAGCCCCGAATTGTTCCCTTATTTTTGGAAATGCTCTGTGGTTTCAAGATCCCAAGATGCAGAAAGTTTTGACCTGACACCCATGTTTTTCCATTCATCTTCCAGCAGACTCAGCAAGACTCAAGTGTATAGTAATCCCGAAAAAAAGTAGAACAGTAATTCATCACCATTTTAGTCGGAATCATATACCTTTCCAATCTTTTTAGGGGCATGCAACGGACGTGAACATCTGACCGCTCGGCCTCTCTCCTGCAGGATTGCTCTTCACCACCTGGACAGTGTGAATTGAAGGCCACTAATGAAGTGGACGGTCCCTTCAGGGTCTGAAGTGGGTTCGTTTTCCTGATTCATTCATATCATGATTTTTATTGATGTTTATTGATGTTTGCTGTTTTGTGCCACCGAACACTTTAGCAAGTATTATACCAATGAATCTCTGTCCTCACCACCATTTTCGTGATGTCATGTTTGAGAGGTCCAGTGGAAACGTATTCGATGACCCACCCAGGCCATGCCCCAGGCCATGCAGGGTCTAAAGGCGGGCCTTGTACTGCAAGCCCGACTCAGTCTTTTCAAATCCACGACTGCCAGGACGGCTTAGGGCAACAATGGGCAACATATACCCTCTGGTATCCTCTGGTAAATTAACATGGACCCTGGCAGTCATCGGGGTTGGAAGACTAGTTTCCATTAAAAATGGGTGATTTTCAGGGTCTATGTTTATTTACCAGAGAGTACTTAGCATCCTGCATGTCTTCACCAGGGCATAAGCATGGCATAACGGGACTCTGGATGACACTCTGCAACTACACTTGATGGGAAAAATACGCAGTAGCCATCAGTAGCCAATGATGCCAATGGTTTCGTTGGTTGGCGCTTCCCAGCCAGTTCAAGAGCATTGAGCCCTTCGAGATCAGTTTTTTCATTCAAATGGCGAGGTCAAAGTAATCACATCACCACACCTTTGCGCGGAGTCGTCAGTATCTGCCTTCCCTCGGAAACGAAGATCCTCAGGAACCCGCTGCTATTTGGTGCAACGGCAAACAACCTTCGCATTGGATTCATGGAGGCTGAGACCGCAACTCCTTCGTCCGTAGTGGTCATTGCTTTGGACCAACGTCTAAACTCGTTTTTTTGTTTTCTGTTGACAAAAAACAAATGACAGATTGGCAATTCAAAATCTGGTCACAACATGATTTCTCATCCACTTTCTGATCGTCGATGCCAGTTGAATTCTGCTGTATGTCTTCGCATTCTGTTGTTGCTGAGGCTTGCCGGAGCAAAGACACCCTTCGCCGCAGCGCGTTGCCACAGGGATGGAACAACTTCGGAACCATTCCAAAGCATTCAAGGCAATGACTACAAACAAAAAACTACAAGAACTACATAGAAACACTGCCAACAGACCCTACCAGAATCTCTTCTCCGTAGAATTACGACTCAATGAGGGAGGAATCACTGACTCTGGCAGCAGCAGCTCTTTGACCAGCAACACTTGATACTTTGAAGCCTTGCCGCGGATGACACGATGATCTTTGGTGCACATCCTGCCTGCCAACTCCGCCCGCTGCCCAACTTTGGGGATATCACAGGTATCAATGAAGTCAATGGGATCCAATCATGTTGGAATCAGCAAACATACATAGAATATCATGGTGGATATCATAGAATTTCATAGAAACTCATAGAATATATATATATATATTTTAGAAAAAAAAAACGTAACAAGAAATCTTTGAAACATCCAACATGTAAATGATGTTGTACGACGGGACGCTCCACATCCGCCATCACCATTGAAGCTCACCCAAGCCATGCGAGGAGTAGGACCTCTGGGAAAGGCCGGCAATGGGGCAATAGGGGTTTTGAAACCAGCACTAACATAATCAATATTTACTAATTGGTGGTTTCAACCCCTCTGAAAAATATTAGTCAGTTGGGATGATTATTCCCAATATATGGAAAAATAAAAAATGTTCCAAACCACCAGCCAGATATTTAATATATGTCAATATGACCAAGATTGTAGCTAACATGGACGATTCTTATAGCATATTGATGCATATTGTAGCTAACTGGCCTGTGATTAAATTTATGGTTATGATTGCTGGTTATCATAATCCATGAGCCAGGTTAATGCCCAGGGGTTATTGCTGGGGTAGTATTACTAGTGGGGTCATTACTGGATTCCATACAGAAGGCTTTTAGAAAAAACAAATGCAGACTGATGGATGCATCACATGTTCCTCTGAAGCATGAAGGACCATTGTTCCACTGAAGCATCAAAACATTGATGTGTTCACAACACCTGGCAAGAATCATCATTCATCATTCAGAGGAAAACGGATGGAAAATTGCTTTGAACATAGATTAAACATAGATTTTTCACGGAAGAGACATTGGATGGAAGATTGGCAGATCTTCAAAAAACTCCAAACGTCATCCTCCGCTTTGTCAGAGTCGCCTCCAAAGGACCCCGCCGGCCACACCGGCCATCAGCAGTGAGATGACTAGGAGAATCTGAAGCCTGGAGCGATGGAAATGCCCTCGGAATGGAGCTGTGGAATCGACGAAACAAAGACTTCTACGGATCTGCAACGGCGAGTTGTACAAAAAAATGTACGATATTGCTATAATGATTTCAGCGATTCATGATATGTTTCATGCAATAAGGACGCAAATTCGTTGAATCGAATCTGATGCCCTTAGTGCTGATTACTCCAAATGGATTCACCGGCCGTTTCTGGCTATACAGAACTGGTTGCCTCTTGTGTTTTGCATGCCGGGGAAGAGAACCAAACAATTGAATCATGCTGGGCAATTCATAATAATTCACCTGAATTAAGCCCATTTGGGGATGATTTCCCTTATTAACTATGATTCCAGGGTTCGGGAGAACAGTGAGGTCGTTATAATTTACCCAAAATCATGAATCTCTCCAAAGGCGGCGTTTGCAGTGTGCCACGGTGCAAAGCCTCAATTGGGACAGCGACAAGGCATCATCCTCTACTCGTTGGGCAGGAAGCACTCCTGACGGATCTGTACTTTAGGGCTGCTGCAGTCCATGAAGATTTGCTAAACTTGTTGATGTTTGATTCACATAATCCCATTCCTAATACCAAACACCCCAAGAAACCATGGTTTAATCGGAGATGTTTTAGATATTAGGAGCATCCATTTTAATAGACACTATATACTGATCCATATTGGATATCAAGTGTTTTGGTATGTTTTGGCCTTTCTTAGCATTCTCTTGGCCCACTGATCATCATGATCATCTTTGGGCCTGCGATCAAAAGGATCAACATGAGGAACGGCCTCGAAGCTTCAAAGATTGCAACTGGTCAGTAGCTGCTATGGCTCTGAAACTGCTCTTCAAATAGGCAAAGTTCACTGGCTGAGTCCTTTGGGTCGCAGAAAGTCTGGTTTGGCAATCCAGGATGGTCGGATTTTTTCGAAAATTCTCAGATGCGGACCAGTATGCGAAGCAGAAAATAGGGAAAAGCATTCCGCCAACGCACTTGTAATCCCGAGCAGCCTGGGAATGCTGGGTTCATCCCAACTGATCATCCAAACGCCATCAACTGGGTCATCTTGGGTCGCCATTTTGGTGCCAAGAGTTTCAATAAGATGCTGCGGTCAGCTCGAACCTCCAACAAGTAGTCAATCTGAGGCACTCACTCATAGTATACAGTATACTCATAGTTCATCATAGTTCCTCTTATTCACTGAGATGTTTAATTAGCCCTCATTTTGCCTAGACTTTTCATGCACGGTTTTTTGCAACTCCAACCAGGCCAACCAGGCCAACCAGGCTTCAACCAGGCCAACCAGGATGCCCCGACCAGGCCTCATAAAGCCCCACCAGCAAGTCCGAGGACAAGGCTTGCGCCAGTTGTCCCTGCGACCAAAAAAACCGTCGGACCGAATGGCGAGTTGAGCAGTTGTTCAGAATCCATCGTTAAAACAGATCGAAACAGGAGGGAATTATGATGAACAATGATGAACCGTGGGGGATCTATGATGATTTCCGGAGATTATATGGATTTATCATGATTTATCGATAGTTTACCTATAAGAATGCAATTTTGTTCAGATATGGAACCTTTAACCAAGAAACCAATCATTTATGGAGATTTATGTTAACATTTATAACTGCACATGAGACCACTACCTTTGTACATTGGGATGATCCATGATGAACCTAGGTTGATGGTTGAGCCATCCGTCCCCCGATGAAAGTTATATTGTTGGCATCATTATCCCATTTAGGATGGAAAGCTACAGTATTCACTGGTTGGTGGTTGACCTACCCCTCTGAAAAATACTTGAGAGGGGGAACACGAAAGGTAGGTAAGCAAGAAAGGAACCGAAGAAAAAATGAAGGGGAGAGGGGAGGGAAAAATACATAAAGTGGAGTCTGGTAAAAGCGACGCGGCCATTTTCTTTCCAAAAATATGAAGGGGAGTCTGGTAAAAGCGACTGAAAGGCTTCGGCGATGTGGTTGGGGTTGGTGGTGGTTGTGGTGTTGGTGGTGGTGGTGCTGGTGGTGTTGGTGTTGTTGGTGTTGTTGGTATTGGTGTTGTTGGTGTTGTTGATGGTGGTAGTGTTTCTGGTGTTGTTAGTGTTGTTAGTGTTGTTAGTGTTGTTGGTGTGGTTGGGTTTGTTGGTGGTGTTGGTGTTGTTGGTCGTGTTGTTGGTGTTGGTATTGTTCGTATTCGTGTTGTTGTTGTTGTTGTTGCTGTTGTTGTTGCTGTTGTTGCTTCTGCAGCTGTTGATGGTGTTGTTGTTGTTGTTGATGATGATGTTGATGTTGATGTTGATGTTGTTGTTGTTGTTGTGTGTTGTTGTGTGTTGTTGTGTGTTGTTGTGTGTTGTTGTGTGTTGTTGTGTGTTGTTGTGTGTTGTTGTGTTGTTGTTGTGTTGTTGTGGTGTTGTTGTGTGTTGTTGTGTGTTGTTGTGTGTTGTTGTGTGTTGTTGTGTGTTGTTGTGTGTTGTTGTGTGTTGTTGTGTGTTGTTGTGTGTTGGTGTGTGTTGTTGTGTGTTGTTGTGTGTTGTTGTGTGTTGTTGTGTGTTGTTGTGTTTTGTTGTGTGTTGTTGTGTGTTGTTGTGTGTTGTTGTGTGTTGTTGTGTGTTGTTGTGTGTTGTTGTGTGTTGTTGTGTGTTGTTGTGTGTTGTTGTGTGTTGTTGTGTGTTGTTGAGTGTTGTGGTGTGTTGTGGTGTGTTGTGGTGTGTTGTGGTGTGTTGTTGTGTGTTGTTGTGTGTTGTTGTGTGTTGTTGTGTGTTGTTCTGTGTTGTTCTGTGTTGTTGTGTGTTGTTCTGTGTTGTTGTGTGTTGTTGTGTGTTGTTGTGTGTTGTTGTGTGTTGTTGTGTGTTGTGGTGTGTTGTGGTGTGTTGTGGTGTGTTGTGGTGTTGTTGTGTGTTTTTGTGTGTTTTTGTGTGTGTTGTGGTGTGTTGTGGTGTGTTGTTGTGTGTTGTTTGTGTTGTTGTGTGTGTTGTTGTGTGTTGTTGTGTGTTGTTGTGTGTTGTTGTGTGTTGTTGTTGTTGCGTTGTTGCGTTGTTGTGTGTTGCATGTGTTGTTGTGTGTTGTTGTGTGTTGTGGTGTGTTGTTGTGTGTTGTTGTGTGTGTGTGTTGTTGTGTGCGGTTGTGTGTGTGTGTTGTGTGTGTGTTGTGTGTGTGTTGTGTGTGTGTTGTTGTGTTGTTGTGTGTTGTTGTGTGTTGTTGTGTGTTGTTGTGTGTTGTTGTGTGTTGTTGTGTGTTGTTGTGTGTTGTTGTGTGTTGTTGTGTGTTTTTGTGTGTTGTTGTGTGTTGTTGTGTGTTGTTGTGTGTTGTTGTGTGTTGTTGTGTGTTGTCGTGTGTTGTTGTGTGTTGTTGTGTGTTGTTGTGTGTTGTTGTGTGTTGTTGTGTGTTGTTGTGTGTTGTTGTGTGTTGTTGTGTGTTGTTGTGTGTTGTGGGGTGTTTGTTGTTGTTGTTGTGTGTTGTTCGTGTTGTTTGTGTTGTTGTGTGTTGTTGTGTGTTGTTGTGTTGTTGTGTTGTTGTTGTGTTGTTGTGTTGTTGTGTGTTGCGTGTGTTGTTGTGTCTTGTTGTGTGTTGTGGTGTGTTGTGTGTGTGTTGTGTGTGTTGTGTGTGTTGTGTGTGTTGTGTGTGTGTGTTGTGTGTGTGTGTTGTGTGTGTTGTGTGTGTGTTTTGTGTGTTTTGTGTGTTGTGTGTTGTGTGTGTTGTGCGTTGTGCGTTGTGCGTTGTGCGTTGTGTGTTGGTGTTGTTGTTGTTGGTGTTGTTGTTGTTGTTGTCGTCGTCGTTGTTGTTGTTGCTGTTGCTGTTGTTGGTGTTGGTGTTATCCCTGCAGCGTTTTTGCTCGGTTCCGTAGTGGCCGAAAATCGTCAAATCGGTGGTGTTTTCGCGTGTTTTTGCAACTCTCGGAGCAAAAAACACCGTAAATACCAATGTTTTTGGCGGGTCGGAAGCCCAAAACCACGGTATTTACGATGTTTTTTGCCTCTGGTAGTAAAAAGCACAGTATTTACAGTGTTTTTTGGCCAGCACCTAGCAAAAACACTGGTATTTACGGAGGTTTCACCATGTAGCAAAATGTGGTTTCTTGATCCGAAAAGAACAAAAATACTGTAAATTACAGTATTTTGAGTCTGCTCTTAGGGTGCGTGGGAGGTGTGGAGGAGGGGGGGGGGTACTAAAATGACTAGCAATCTCCTGAAGAATCAGGTAACGGGGCTGGCCGCCCTCCCCTTTACTTCGTAAAGTAAAACTCAAGGTAGCCCCTCTGGAGCTACCTTTCGTGATGAGTTCGTCAGTTGGGATGATTAAATTCCCAATATATGGAAAAATAATCAACATGTTCCAAACCACCAATCAGTTCAGTGTTCGAAACTGCCAACCAGGGACAGGGGTTGGTGGTGAGGTAGATCCATGCAGCCATGAAACTTGTGCAAGAAAAGGGTCAATTAACTTGCGCAAGAAAAGGGTCAATTGCGATCATCTTGCCCAAAAAGAAAATTAAATCTGATAAATCGAGGCCAGGCATGCAGGAATACATCCCAAGAAGTCAACTTCACAGGGGTTGATTTTGGGTGCAGCCATAAATCATCCATAAATCATGTAAAAGCACACCGACATCAGTAAGGTTTAACAGGACAAATCGGTCGCCAACAACCGTGGTGCCAAAGAAAAACAACCGAAGAACAGACCTGTTGCAGCCACTGCACCAGTTGCCATGGCCTCACAATTCAGAGACCGTTTTTTTGCACTGGGACCATGGAAACCGAATTTCTGTTTCTTCCCTTCGAATTTAAAGATGTACCATCTGGTTATGACTAACATAGCCATGGAAAATCACCATTTTTAATAGGTATTTAATAGGTAAACCATCTATAAATGGGCCATCTATACCATGGCTATGTTAAATAACCAGAGGGTAGGTCCGGTGATCAGGATTTGGCTCGAATAAAACATCTGGAGAAACGCCACAAAAACGCACAAACTCGATAGTAGACAGGCGTAGATCAACAATACGTGGATCAAAAGACGATTTACGTGGCTTTCAGAAAAAAGGTACCCTCTGGTAATTTAACATAGCTATGGAAAATCACCATTTTTAATGGGTAAATCCACTATAAATGGCCATTTTTAATAGCTATGTTAGTTTACCAGAGGGTAGGTGACAAGTTTTGCCTGTCCTGGTGCAGATCTTCTTTGCCGACAAGATACAAGGTGAACACATCTTGACAACGGCTTCAACTGCACCCCGCATCACCAAATACACAAATTAAAATCAAAGAACGCAACGATGCCCAAAGCGGGCCCCAGCCCCAACTCTCCGCCCAAGGCCCTGGCAAGAATTTCTGTGCATTTCGCGGCACTGATGGCACGATGGTCCTCAAGGAGCTATGGCTATGTTATCACCGGGTGATGGGTGTGGAAGGAGCGACATTTAATGAATTTGCGGGACCTTCTTCTTGAGACATACCGTGAGCAAGACATGTGGCTCTGCGGCAAGATACAGCATATCTCAGTCCAATCTCACATCTCTTCCAATCTTAATTCTGATACAAAGCTGTGAACAAGATCGAGCAGCAATGGCTTTGTACATGCAACAATTCAAATGAAATCATTTGCAGCAAACCCCTGAACTGTCAACTAAGACAGAGACATCTCGTAGAAGCGCGAGATACTTACCTTGGAAAAGACTCTTTCATTCAATATTTTATAATATATTCCTTAGGTGCAACGCTCCAACATGGCAGATTCTTACACCATATTCACCCATATATGTGTCATGTTTGTAATGCCCGGATTTCGAGGACATGTGACATGCTCAAAAAATATCGGCCAACTAATGCCTTACAGAAAAGACATGAAAACACAATAAAATGAGGCTGATATGCTGATACTAGTTAAAATTGACCGCAGAGTCGAGTGTGTGTATTCTCTGCAATAAGACATGGCTAAAGAAACACAAAATGCTGGTCAATTGACTTCATCACTGAAAAACATAATGACCTCAAACAGCTCCAGCCGAGGTGCCGGAAGTTGTTCCAAGTGGCTCAAAGCCGAAGACCGCCTCGGTATGTTTTGGGATGTGGAGGTTATTGATGATGATGATGATGATGATGATGATGATGATGATGATGATGATGCTGCTGTAACTGCTGAGACTGCTGGGACTATTTGTAGGTTGTTGGCAATGACTACCATCTACTGGGCAAAATCAGTGCAATGACTCCCGACACACACTTCCAGTAACACATCTGTATACAGTTCAAGTCTGAGATACTGGCACAGTTGGATGAACAAACAGGAGGAACGCGTTGCCTGAGCCCGATGGTTTCTGATCTCAACGTAGAGGGTCCTTCTCAAACTCCAAGGGACATGTTGGATCATGTTGGTCTGTTTCTAGACATCCTCATCATCCTGTGTCACAAACACTTAGAGCAGTATTTGCCACAATGATGGCGGCCAAGATCCCGACAAATTTGCAGTTGATCCAATGGGACAAAGTCCACTACCAAGAACGGACAGAGTTCATGTATGTCATGTGACACCTATATAAATATATGATATATCAATATAATATGTATATAAATTGTATATATAATTATATACAATAAATCAATGTAATACTGTAATAGATTATATATATAGAGTATATACTGGGAAATCTGATCGTTTTCGTCGCCTGTCTCCTGAATTATGACTACGTTGCAGGGATCCACGACTGGCTCAGTCTAGCCTAAGATAAATCAGATCGAATAAGGTTCTTATTTCGGGGGAAAGCTGCGAAACAATCACAGTCAGTCTAAGATGTCTAAGTTAGACATATTAAGGACCTCTACTCTCACGATTGCGGAATTGACCTTAACCACAGACACACATGCACCTTAACTATGGAACACGGACACGTCATGGCAGCCCTTCGGCGCGCCTGCCAAGAAGACGAACAAACAGAGCGATCTGAAGGGCCTTTTTCTCAAATTCATGGGCCTGAGCGCCAGATCGCTAGATCGCCAGGATGCCATGAGTTGATTGCTGAACAGGACATGAGGGACGTGAGGCCTGACCATCACCAACGAAGGTACCTGGCAAACAGTTGAAGCAAACATGTTTCGACCGTGACTGTAGCGAAGCAAAAATCGAAAAACACTGCGTGACACGACCAAGTACAGCAGCGGAATGGAGCTGGATGGTGATGATGGAGAGAATCCCACAGGTCGACATGCTGAGTCACCCACTAAGATTCTCCAAAATTACAATGAATCCTGCACTATATTGGTGTGTCTGAACATGTTAAAATGGAGCATACGCCCAAATTGCCCTTTGAATAGGGAAAATTATTGATAAACCATCAATCTGGGGGTACACTATTTTGGACAAACCCGCATTCAATTATTAGTCGGTATAGGAAAGATTCTCCAAAATGATTCTTGCAATACATTTCAACACTTTCCAACAATTTTCCTACAATGGAGGTACCCCCACATCATCCATTTTAATAGGATTTTCCAATTTTCCAGTACAAACCTTCCATTTTGGGGTACATCCATTTTAGGAAAGCCCCATATCCAACAACCCCTTGACCTCATCTTGACCTTTGGTGCCTGCTGCAAGCCATGCCAGCCCGGCACAAAGGATCGTCAACGGCACGGCCAGCGACCAGGAGTAGATCGTCACGGGTGCCAAAACTGCCAGGAGCCTGGGGATACTCATGGGATATTTTATGATATTTTAGTTGTATCATGTTGAATAGGTTTAAATGGGATACCGTAATAATCCGTAATATAAGAATGTAATATCGCATGATATCTTATGGGATTTATGACATATAATACGTTCCCATTCCTTAAGACGATTTTGAGTGACAAGACAAACCATGACATACCCACAAGATCGCACCAGGCCATAAAGTTGCAAATATATTGTGTTTTATCTGTTTTTAACACTTCACACCTCCTCCGTTCACTTCCCGTCACGGATTGCAGGACACTTCCCACTGAGCCAAGAGACGCGAAACCACTGGCCACACGCACCTTGGTTGAATTGGCCGTGCCAAGGTTGACGCGAATGGTTGCCGATGTTTATTTGATTTCGATCATCTTGTGTGGATCATATAAGTTCTAGGACTGTAACACCAGTGCATTTGTCTCAAGGATGCATAGTATAGATGCCAGTCAAAATTGCAACTGTCAAATTCCCCGGTCCAGCAAGCAGAAGTCTGTGCAAACTTTGCGTATCTGAACTTGTATGAACAATTGATCTGATTGGCGCAAAAGAAAGTGTCCAAAGCCAGTGCATCTGAAATTAACTTAAAGAGGCCCCCTCTCAGACAAGCCAGTGCATCTAAAATGAACTTAAGTCAACCCCTTACCCTGCAGAATGATGTCTCTGGGACTCCAAACAGCTTCCCAAAGAGGACATGGCAATTGAACGCCCTTCAATTTGGCACCTGCCAGACTGGGAGACGAACGGCAAGAGACTGGCTCTTGGATCTCTTGCTCTCTTTATTTGAACATGACTTCCGTGTGTCGTTTGCACCGTCTCCTTTAAAACTTTATCTTCCCACATTTCCGTTGTGACGGAATCCAGTGATTGTTCAAAGAGAACCTTACATCTCTACTCTGCTCGCAACTACCCTCCAACGGGCAAAGGAAAAGCTATCATGATGTCTAATTACTTGGATAGTGGCGTCAGGTCGTCCCAGTTAAAAGGTGATTACAGTATATTACAGTTAGTCTCAGTCGTACAGTCGTATTGTTTAAAATCCACTCACAAGTGAGGTTCTAAGATGTTCTAAGCTGGTTGGTAGTTTCAACCCCTCTCAAAAGTCTTTGGGATCATGAATCGGGGCTCGTTGTTCTTTAAACATGTTTGGAACAAAGGTTTTTCCAGCTAGCCTTCACTTAAGCAGGTTTACCTCATTTCACTAAATGGATTTGTTTGAAATTGGGTACCAAAATCTATCCCCTGGCTAACGATCTCATGTTCATCATTAAATTGCCATCTTATATATATATAGAGAGTAGGTCCATCCACCATTCTTAGATACACCCACATATCATATAATATCAAGTTGGAAAACGTGTTGCTTTATGTAACATATATATATATCATATTTATAACAACTATTTCCCCAGATTTTTCCAGTAAAAACACATTGATCCATAAATCAAAACTGGTCTCATCCGATTCCAAGAGGTCACGGCCTTCCTCAGAGTACACCGCGAAGGCATAGCGCCGCAACGCCAGGGCGGCGCAGGCGGCAACAGCACCGCCTGTGTCGGGGTAAATGGGGTCCTCCAGAAGATAGAAATGTTAGTCCCTACTATTTTGCCGGTGGTGATGATGATGATGATGATGATGATGGTGATACTATTATAATATATTATAATATAATATCTTAGATTTTATTAGTTTTCCATTGACCCTTCCATGCTCCCATCTCAAGTTCCCTACCGTTCCCTACCCCCGGTTCCGGACCTACTGCCAGCCAGCTTTGGGCCAGCTTCCGACGGTCTGCCTCCTGACATCGTGGGGATGATCAACTTCTGACTCAAGCTCTGACCCAACTCTTCTGGGTTAATGATAAAAAAAAACAGGTTACCTGTCCGGGTGTTCCAAAAAACAGGTTACCTGCTGTTACCTGTCATGGTTTTGAGGGGTCGATAGTCTTGCTTAAACCAAACTTAGCCAGGATTCATGAGTTTCAGGATCTTAAACTCGGCTACCAGGATCTATGTCGACAGTTGTTTGATGGGGATTCCTGCCAGGATTGTGATCCGTACACCGAATTTTTTCAACACCATGGGTACCCTCTGGTTATGACTAACATAGCCATGGGAAATGACCCATTTGTAGATGGTTTACCTATTAAAAATGGTGATTTTCCATGGCTATGTTAAATAACCAGAGAGTAACAAGAAACTCACCGAACGATTCATTCCACCAGTACTGACAGTATCACTTAATGTATCACGTGCAGTGGCTGGTTGCCTATCGTTGCCACCTTAAGGCATTCCACCTTGCCATTCCACCCATGGATGTCCATCCAGCGACCACGCCTGCAGCTGCGGTCGTCGCACACAGAGTAAGCCCTCAGATCCTGACCTGGCGAAAAAAACGACAGGCGCCCTGCAATTTGGATCTACCCTCTGGTAAACTAACATAGCTATTGAAAATTGCCATTTATAGTGAGTTTTCCCATTAAAAATGGTGATTTTCCATAGCTATGTTAAATTACCAGAGGGTATGGCGAACCCATGGCGTTTTAGCCAGTTTTTTCAGATTTTATGGGGATCAATGAGACATGGTTACTGGTTGGTGGTATACCTACCCCTCTGAAAAATATGAAAGTCAGTTGGGATGATTATTCCAAATATATGGCAAACTAAAAAATGTTCCAAACCACCAATCAGGTTATATCATGTTATATCTTATGGGGATCTTGTAGTGATCAAAAATCTTGCCACATCAATGATTTAGGGATCCCCCAGAAGTACGGGAAGGTCATGGTTGCATGAGACCCAATCACGCCAAAATATTACCCTCTGGTAAATTAACATGGCTATGGAAAATCACCATTTGTAATGGGAAAATCAACTGTAAATGGCTATTTTCAATAGCTATGTTAAATTACCAGAGGGTATTACAGAATGCAGCCCCCAGTTTGCTTTGATTCCGCAAAAGCCTCTCTGCTTCACCCATCGCCATCACTAGCATAGCACTCCCCGAAGCCTTGGGACCGGTGCCAAAATCACCGAGTTGCGAAGATGGTGAAACAAAGAATCAACAAAAAAGGTGAACATTCAATTCAGAGTGATAATAATTATCATCATTACCTCTATTGCGGTGATGATGATTATTATTTCTTTATTAAACGTATTAATATTAAGCATCATTATTATTGCATTATCAATATTATCATTATTATCATTTATTAGTGTTGTAATTATAAATATTTATTATTATTATTACATAATATGACCATCATTCATATTGTATCAACATCATCACAACGGTGATGCAAACCATCATCACAACAACCAGTAACGATGACGATAAGGATGATGACAATGATAAAGAACAAGGAGAAACAAAAGCTGATGCAAACATTCCTGAATGTCATTTCTATGAAACAACTTTGTTATAAAGGTCATGGAAATCGGTTTGAAGGCCTGTCTGGCCGCCCAACGCATACAGGAGTCACAGCCGGATTATTGAATTCCGGGCACCAAACTTGCGTCTAGCTTCAATGATATGGCATCAGGATAAGCCATGGATATATTTTACAACACATTGGTGACCTCCCGACCAGATACCGGTCCAAACAAGTTGATGGTGGAACATTTATAACCACACATCAACCGTGAAATTAGCCCATTGGAATCATCATTCCTAATCTAGGGGCGGACAATAACAAATACACATATATTAAAACTTACAGACACACACACACAAACCTGCATGTATATATTCAATATACACATTTGAACTTCCAACCAGGATCCTCTTCTCTCACAACACAGTCACATCTCTTTCATATATATATAATATAATATCAAATATTATCTAGCTGGTGGTTTCAGCCCTCCTGAAACTTCCTGACGCGTATTAATCAGTTGGGATCATCATTTAGTTATATTTACTGTCCACGGTCGAAAATGACAACTACTTGAAACCATCATAGATCTGGGTAAATTATAATAATTCACTAACCTGAATAGTTCGGCCATTTGGGGATGATTTCCCTATAAAAACCATGATTCCAGGGTTCGGTCGCAGTGAGGTCGTTATAATTTACCCAGATAGATTTGGGACCCAAACCTACCATACATCGTCCGTCCCAACCTCGGACCTCCGACTGCGCTGATGGCAAAGACTGAGCCCAAACCCACCAGCAAGGAGCGGATGTCCCGGTAGGCAGGAGCTGTCCTCGTCCACTGATTCGTGGGAGCGGGTTGCCACTGGGTTTAACGAAAAGTGAGTGTCTTGACCCACTGGTGACACAATACTGAACTGGTGGTTTCAATCCCTCTGAAAAATATGAGTCAGTTGGGATGATTATTCCCAATATGGAAAAATGATCCAAATGTTCCAAACCACCAACCAGATGGTGACACAATACTGAAGCCATCTTGAAAAGTTGAGGTCAGCGGGTCATGGACCCGGCAGATCCACAATTTTGAGCCACGCTGATGAACGCCAAAATAGTTGATATGGAGGTTTCCATAAATGGGGGTACCCCAATAGCTGGATGATTTAATATGGTAAATCCATGAACATCCTATTAAAATGGATGATTTGGGGGTACCCCCATTTTAGGAAACCCGGTAGCTATACATAAAGGTTGATCAGCCCATTCCAATGCTTCGGTACCCATCTCTGGGAGCAACTGGGAGCCCTGGCCCCAGGAAACTGATGAGAAGCGACTGCATCGCAAAGACCGGATAGAGGTAAAACCTGGCGACGTTGTGTGTCATCCAATCCAGGAATGCTAGGCCAACTATAGCAAAACTCGTCAGACTGCTTGAGGATTCTTTAAAAATTGCTTGGACATTCAAATCCATCTGTGCCAGCTAACTTGAGATTTGAATAGATTTTGAGATATTTTCAGACACTTCCCCCCCCGGTTGCATTCTTCGAGCTCCCAAGCACCCGTTGGAGATGTGGCTGCTGGGTCCAGTGAAGAAATAGAAGTTGAAGGAATGATGTAGCTGCTGCAAGGCATTACTCATACACCTGGCATGGGCCACCAACAACGGCCCTATGATTTCAAAGCGACTGCCTTTTGCAACGCCAATTTTCAGATTCGTTTTCCAACGGTGAGTTTCAAAGGTGAGTTTCAAAGGATGCTCAATGCTGATTCAATTAAGATATACTACCCTCTGGCTATTTAACATAGCTATGGAAAATGGCCCATTTATAGATGATTTTCCCAGCTAAAATCACCTCCATTTATAAGGGATTTTCCATGGCTATGTTAAATAACCAGATGGTAATAGCTAAATCCACATAATTCGCGTATTAGCACCCAACCGACAAACAGCATAAATATGCATTCATCACTTACGTCCTTATCATTGGTCAAGTCTCCATCATTTGTCAGGCAATTCCCCCATGGTTGGCGCTTCAATTCGCACCAGCATTCTAGGCAAACTATAACAAAAAGTGGTGTAGTTGGGGGCTGCCACCAAGGCACCTACCTATATAACAAACAGGCCAAACATACTCAATGCCACTATTGGGATGACTCCCCCGAGATCATGCACCAGCTGCACCTCAAGAGACCCTCAATGGACATGGTCAGGCCATCCAAACTGGGACCGTGGGAGCAAAATGGCAATGTGGCTCAAAATCATACCACGATTTGGATGCCATATTGTGTATAATAGTGTTATATATATACAATTAATAGTGTATAATAGTGTATAATAGTATTTATTATATACAATATACAACATGTGTATTGTATATGCACACAACATAATACATATTATATCATGTTATATTCATATCATCAAAGAAACAAAAACAAATGGACCAAGACGGACAAAAGGAATATGAAGTGAGTGCTCACCATTGTGATGTGTACTAATATATGTTATGTTATGTTGGATATTGTTGGATACTCTTGGGGGATAAGTTCTCAGTATTCTTCAGGGTTCATCAATTCTGGGCCATGATACCTGAAACTGGAGCATTGCAGCTCTGTGTAGAGCCAGGGCATGCCGGGGCGTTGACTTTGCTGCATTGCGTGCTTTCTGGCTTCACCCCTGAAAATATGAACCCGTAGGCACTTGGAATCATTGTTCCAACTAGTTGGGACAGAACTCAACAGAAAGTCTCACAAACATTGGACATTGGACTTTGAAGTCCAAACATGTCCAAACCATGTTGTGCCCCATCAGCAAGTGTGGCCTCCCAGGCCTTTGGCCAATGCACTCTGGGCGAACGGACTTCATGTTCCCTCGATCACCCTTCTTGTTCCTCAGCCGGGTGTCAACAAAGCATGGGAGTTGGACTGTTCTGGACCCTGCACTGCGTAATGTTTGGTTTCTGGAAAGAACATACACACATAAAAACAGGGCTTCCTTATAATATTGTGTCGGTTGCAGATCTGAGGGGTTCAAGGGAATCAATTCATTCCTTTGTCTGCACCACTCAGCCACTTCTTCAAACATTTCAGAGATATCGCCATTTTCTCAGAAACAGATATATACACTTTACCCTCTGGTAAACTAACATAACTATGGAAAATCACCATTTTTCACGGCTAAATCAACTATAAATGCTATAAATGACCATTTTCAATAGGTATATACGTACTCATACCTTTGAAAGACATCTCCATCCAGCTGCAGTGGTCAATCTAAAAAAGCCCTCAGGTCCTGGCACACCTCGAATGGTGAAAGCTGGCACCTGAAGCTCCAGAAAGGGTGCATGACCTCAGCAACCAGAAAGGGTTGTTGATTGGTTATCTTTAATGATGACTGATAGCATTGGATTGGTTTGAGGGAAAATCTTAACCGGAAACCATGGTTTTTACCATCAAATATAGGGCTTTCCTGTAAATTTTCCCATCATCCAATTCTATGATGATAGCATTGAAGGCTAACTGCTGGATGATTAAGATGATTAATTACAGAATTCCCGGCGAATCGGTAAAGGTTTGTTAAACACTGTGAAACACTCAACACTATCAAGTAAGATAGAAACCTTCTTGATTTTTAGGAAGGACTATCACTTTGTTCCATTTCAGATGGTAGCATTTGCGGCTGACATTGTTCAACCCTGCTGAGAACCCTGCTGCTGTGCACGCCACCGTTCCTGGAGCTATGTAAAGCTGACTCCTGCGATCTTTCTATGACAAAGGATTCACCAGATTGTAGTCACAGTAAGTAAGATTCTGCACTGTTGGGACTTGGTATGCATGAAGTCTTGCTTCTGTCATTGTGGTCCTTCATCATTGATACTTCACCGCCTCTTCATCATTCTGGATGAATGAATTGGACTGACTACTTCAGCACTCTGACACTTGTTTTCTTTGGGTGTTTTCCCATGTAACATACACGCTAAATCATACTGGTTGTCTCACTGGCTTGGTTCCCTGACACTACTTCCAGAAATATCAAATGCTGCCAGTGGCGGGTCAGAATGGTGGCCCAAACCTTGGACGGTTTTGCTCTGCAGCAAACCCAATCATAAAGCATCTAATTTCTACCAGAAATACAGTACTTGGTCATACAAAACCATCTCAAATGGAAGCTTGATGCGGTTTATGATACAAACCTTGTTGGGTTTACCATATTTTACCACATGGCAGTGTGTCAAAACCAATAGTACCCCTTCTGTTCACATCAAAATAGCTGGGATTCATGGATGTTCATCCCCCTAAAAATGGTATTAATAGGATTTAATAGGTATTGATCCATACCCACATTGTTAACATGGCACCTTGTTCGGTGAAACCCATGGCCTTTTTCCCAATCGGGCCGCCTGGCATGGTGCAGGACCGATTCCCAGGCGTCGCGATGCCGCAGCAGCAGGCCGCCTTTATCCTGGCCGACATGATTCTCGGCGAGATAAGAAAGGGTGGAACAGATTGAAACAGCCAGCATTTTATGGTCACTCTATATGATTATATATGGGGATTTATGATTTTTCTGGGGACTATATATGATTATACTATGATCATGTGGATTTATGATAGCAATGGATTGGTTTTGTTGGGAACATCTTAACCGGAAACCCATGGGTTTTTACCATTAACTATAAGGGTTTTCCTGCAAATTTTCCCATCATCCAATTCTATGAGTGATATTTTATGGGAACTATACCATGATCATGTGGATTTATGATATTTTATCATCGGATAGTTAGCCAACAATATGATTCTTGGGTCTGAACATGGTGGTACAAGTACAATACCACAATTTGTGGCCATATGAATGGGACGTGGCAAATTTTCAGACCATGACAAATCCATATTAGCCTCATGGGAACCGAATGGGAGGTGTATCAACACATGTGTCCGCTTTCTCCACCCTGCCAGCGCCGAGATTTTGACGCTGTCCAGTAGTACATCAACCGAGAAAAATCCGAGAAAACCGGCGCAAAACAATTGCCATGTTGCCATGCAACCAAAACGTGAATTAGCAGCATGATGCAGGAGTACCGCACTTCCTCGTGACTTTGGATTCAATTGAACAATATTCAGAGGGTAATCGAGGAGAATTCATCAGCTCCATCATCAAGCCATTTCAGGTTGGAAAGAGTGGGAGACAGAAAGCCATCATCAAACAAGATCGTACCCTCTGGTAATTTAACATAGCTATTGAAAATGGCCATTTATAGTGAGTTTTCCCATTAAAAATGGTGATTTTCCATAGTTATGTTAAATTACCAGAGGGTAGATCATCAAACAGGCCGATCCATGCAAGCACCGCAGCATAGCACACAGTACAGCCGGGAAAACTGGCGCACCCGAGCAGAGACAGAGTAGCTGTTCACCAGATCCTCCCAGTGACAGTGCAGGTCTCTATCTGAAGCCCATGATTTTGGCATCTCTGGCTGAATATTCATCAAACTGCAATAGGGTCATCGTGGGGATTTTGTCTCTGGCTAAGCTTCATTTCTGATCGTTTGAAAGGATCTATGTCATGGTCAAAACAGGGCTACCAACGCCGAAGATGGACTGGTCGCAAAAGTATCCGAAGGATTCTAAAGGTAGACACAATAAAGGTAGACCTTTATAACCAACGACAAAACATCCGCAGAGGAGTCCTCCAGGTCCTCGCGGTTAAAAATTCTATGGTGGACACACACGAATCCTTTAGAATCCGATACTATGAAACCTGAAGGATTCGTAGCAGGATTCGTAGCCTGAATCAAAGTTTAAGCCCATCCTATAGGAGGACCTGGAGGACCTGGACATCCATGGCACCGCACCTGGTTGGGCACCATGCCGTTGATCCCCTCCACATCCAAGAGTAGGGAGGTGGCCTCAGGGCACGGAGAGCACCGTGAAAACCAGTGAGGATATGTCGAGAATATGCGAATTTATATACATAATATATACATATAATATATGTAATATACATACATACATATATATATATATTATATATATTATAGATATATAGAATATAGATCATGTTGTGGCTGTTGTGGTACTTCTGCCCCAATCTGAATCTGGATTCAGCATCACCCAATTATATAAAAATTATATGGACATTCACCAACACAGAAAATGTGTTTTTGCTGACATTTGGTGAACAGAACCAATATCATCAATATGCAATACGCGCAGGTTGCATCCATCCTATTTGGCCACGGGTCAAGATTGGACTGATTAGACACACAAGAGCTTCACAAGAACTCATTCCTATCAAGAAGCCAAAGCAGAAGCTCTAGGTCCAGCCTTTTGCCCTCGCCACGTTTGCTATATAATTCTCCAGGAGCTTTGTTAAGCAAAACATCTACATTGGAAATATCCCTTCCAAACACCTTGAAACAAAATCAAGGAAGACATCACTTAGGTCCACCCTTAAACCCTCTGAGGCAAATGCGCCGTTTTTGATCTGTAGTACCACAGCCTTGCAATCTACGCCACGATGAGCTTCAAGTCTACGATTTTCTGCCACAATCACAAGCCATGAAACAAGAAGAGAAAGATCCTCAAGGTTGGTAGCAGCAGAAACCCCCAAAACACTGGCAGTCTCGTAATCACTCTGGCACTGTCGCCTGTCGCAGCACCCCGCGGCGCAGCTCCGAAAGCCCCCCGAGGTAGTTCTGGAGCCATGCCTGATCAGGGGGGACACTGGATCACCGTGATCACCTCTGGATCTTTTTGTGTTTTGTGATTTGAATTCAGAGGGTTTCTAATAACCTCTCGTTTTCAGAGGCTTAGGTGGACACCATTGGGACACCATCAAATAGCCCAAGGTGTATGAAATTGGAAAACGATTTAAAAGGCAAGCAGCCGGAAGTGTGCAACATTTGTTCTCACAGAAGTTGCATCAAGTTGCATCCCATGCCAGGCCAAGCCCACGCAACCATTTGGCCAACATTTGTTTACCGAATCTGCCAAGCATCCCAACATGACCATAATAAATAGATGAGAATCAAACCATCCAAAAAGTTTTGCGGGTATGGGTCAATTTGTTCCCCACCTGCCAGGTGAGGGTTGTTAGATTTTATGTCAGTTGCCTCCTCCTCCTCCTCCTTCTCCTCCTTCTCCTCCTCCTTCTCCTCCTCCTCCGCCTCCTCCTCCTGCCTCCTCCTCCTCTCCTCCTCGTCCTCCGTCGTCCTCGTCGTCCTCGTCGTCCTCGTCGTCCTTGCTCAACTGCGACCCGCGATCCACAGTGTTCTCTGCCGGACCTCAACCACGACCATCCACGCCCAGTGTTCCCTGCCGGACCTCAACCACGACCATCCACGCCCAGTGTTCCCTGCCGGACCTCAACCACGACCATCCGCGCCCAGTGTTCCCTGCCGGACCTCAACCACGACCATCCACGCCCAGTGTTCCCTGCCGGACCTCAACCACGACCATCCTCGCCCAGTGTTCCCTGCCGGACCTCAACCACGACCATCCACGCCCAGTGTTCCCTGCCGGACCTCAACCGCGAGTATCCACGCCAAGTGTTCCCTGCCGGACCTCATGTAGGAAGATATGGGACAAAGAATGTGCAGAAGAAAGTTAGAAAGAATGTCAGAAAGAATGTCAGAAGATATGCCAGAAGATATGCCAGAAGATATGCCAGATAGAATGCCAGATTATATGCCAGAAGATATGCCAGATAGAATGCCAGATAGAATGCCAGAAGATTTGCCAGAAGATATGCCAGATAGATATGCCAGAAGATATGCCAGATAGATATCAGAAGATATGCCAGAAGATATGCCAGAAGATATGCCAGAAGATAAGATATGCCAGAAGATATGTCAGAATATATGCCAGAAGATATGTCAGATAGAATGCCAGAAGATATGTCAGAATATATGCCAGAAGATATGCCAGATAGAATGCCAGATTGAATGCCAGAAGATATGTCAGATAGAGTGCCAGAAGATATGCCAGATAGAATGCCAGAAGATTTGCCAGATAGAATGCCAGAAGATATGCCAGATCATATGCCAGAAGATATGCCAGATAGAATGTCAAATAGAATGTCAGAAGATATGTCAGATAGAATGCCAGAAGATTTGCCAGTAAGAAAATGTATAAATGTCATGGTGGGGATCACACGAAGTAAAGTAATCTTAATTTTTTTCCCCGATACTAGATGGCTATGTAATGCCATAACTACACATAATATATACTTAAAATTGGCAGTTCAATCTGTGGTCTCCCAGTCAATTCTGACCTAGGATCATTGGCCCAGCCATGGGATACCCGGCCTGGTAAACTAACAGAAAAAGCTATTGAAGCCATGGCCCAGTCGAAATAGTCAGTTTTCCCCTTCAACATGGTGGATCTTTCCCATCAGTTTTTTGGATGTTGACCAGGCCATACCAGGCCGGGTATCCCATGGGATGCCTCAAGGATACACCTCCTGGCCCGTGGACCCGGGAGGACCCGAGCCCCGGACCCGTGCCGACGCGCCATAGGCCAGGTCTATGTCCAGGAAGACCACGAAGACGTCGCGAGAGAGCCAGTGGACCGTCCTGGATCTGGTGCTTTGTTTTTTTTGGGAAAATTGCCTCCGGTGTCACAGGTGGCAATGGAAAATGGCCTATTTATATATATATACATATATATATATACATATGTATAATATCATAATATATATATATATATGTATATTATAGTATTGATTCTCCCATTGAGAAAAACTTGAAGACTCGAGGTTCCATTTATAGGGGATTTTCCGTTGCTATGTTTGAGTACCAGAGGGTAGATGTGGTGACCATAGTTCGGAGGCACTGGATATAGGTAAGAAAGATAGACAAACAAACATTATTTAATATCACTAATATCACTACTATAGATGGGATAGAATCTAGATATATATTTCAATGAGATGATGAATGGATATAGTGGGATACAGACTAGATATTCAATGATATATGTGCATACGGAATATAAAGTATATGAAAGATATAGTGCGCATCGCATGGGTTAAAACTGCCCGGCCTTGGGTCGCAGGCAACACAGCGGTGTCACAACCTTCCTAGGGGAGCCCACAACCAAGCCTGGGCCCCTCTAGGATCTAGGTACATTACAAAGCCACCCTGAACTAACCTGAAAACTCTGAAAGTCAGATGAGATCATCTTCCTTCAGTAGGAATGACCAAAAACTTGGCGGTTCAGCCGCATACCCCTTCTGTGGCCCAGATGTACTGTTGACTCAAAAACCCTGACATGCCGAGACCTGTCTCGTTCCTGTCCTCAGGTACCGTGCCAAAGTGACTCCGATACCAACACCCCAGGAGAATTTGGCCTCAGGTTGTCGCTGTGCCTTGAGACATCCGCTACGCGCTACGCCTTGGCCTGCACAGATTGCTTTAGCTGCCACCTGTACTGCAAATGGGCAAGTGTTCACCTCTCTAAGCAGACAATAATGATGAACGTTTTCTGAGAACGATGATGATGATGATGATGATGGTGATGGTGATGGTGATTGTGATTTGCGCCAGGGTCAAAAAATGGATTGGATATTATGACAATCATTATATCCAGTAATCCTCAAAATGACCCAACTTTGTGGCTTTCTGGAATCTAACAGACCCAAACCAGCGAGCCCTCCCTGAACCTGCGGACCTGCTCATCTTTCATCATGCAACTCTCAGGTAGCGGCCCGTACCCGGTACCCCCAAAAAAATCCCCATATCATCTGGTTGGTGGTGCAATAACCATCTTGAAAAATGATGGAGTTCGTCAATGGGAAGGATGACATCCCATATATTAATATATAAATATATATATATATAATATATACATATAATATATATATACATATAATATACATTATGGAAAAAAAAATGTTTGAAACCACCAACCAGTCATGGATTCCAAGATCCAGAAGTCAGGCTTGACGCTTGATGGCTTCAGAATAGCAAAATGCCTAAGATTTCCATCTGAGCTTCCAGCTGGTGCCTTGCTGGAAGTCCAGTTGGAAGCGATGACCTGGGGTCAAGCTGCCGTAGGAAAAACGCCAGTGGAAGGCTGGCTTTTTGGGGCATCAGTATGTTCGATGTTTTCAGGGACTGTGAAACAATCCACTGGTTGGTGGTATACCTCTGAAAAATATGAGTTTGTCAGTTGGGATGATTAACTATTCCCAATATGATGGGAAAAATCATCCAGTCATGTTCCAGTCACCACCAACCAGTCCACAAAAATATGGATACAACTGGATGATACCCTCTGGTAATTTAACATAGCTATTGAAAATGGCCATAGAAATACTGAGTTTTCCCATAAAAAATGGTGGATCTTTCCATCAGTTATGTGTACGTTTACCAGAGGGTACCAGTCCAGCAACAGTTTCCACCATCGGCTTTTCCCAGGGCCCGGCACCAACACCAAGGACTCGCGGGAATCGGCTCGGCGTGATTCTGCCAGGGTGTACCTGAACCCCAAGGAATCACTATAGGCAATTGGAATCATCCTCACTAATATGCTTAAAACATATCTAATAATATATATATAATTATATATATATTGTGTATGTATCATAATTTTATGATGTACTATACTTCATATATACGCACATGTACATTCTATGCTATTCACTTTGGTTGGAAAATCATCATGATGAGGTACAGTATGTCATTGCTTGTTAGTGTTGTCAAACCTAGCTGTGCCCATGTGCAAATCGTCTCTTTTTGGAATGAATACTGCTTTATACTGCGAACACAAAAGGGCCATGCAGCCCCATACATTCTTCACTTGTGAAGACAAAGAAGCATTATCGCCTGGGCTTCACGTTGCAACCTCCCAATAGTATCCAATAGTCAAATCAAAACTATTGAAGATGTAAACATACCGCAGGCTCACGTGTTTTCATGGGTCACTTCACCCAGGTATCATTCTTTAAACGGGGATGTCAGCCCAGCTGTGCAGTTGGCGCACGTCAGAGATCGCTGACCCAATGGGCTGGAGAAGTTGAGGTGATAGGCTTCCAACCCAGCCTGCAACAGCATCGGGTTGCATTGGGAGTTGTCTCTATAGGCATTTCTTCACGTTACCCTTGCATGACATCTTCATCATATTTGTCACTTACCAGGTGATTTCAACATATTTCAACCTCTGAACGAAGTCACAGGCATCTTTGTCAAACAAACAGCGACCAGCTATGGGTTCGTTCACCCATGAATCATGGCATATCATGGCTTTCACACCCAAATATCTGTGGATGATGAACCCATAGGATCCCAATGCCTCTCTGAGTGAGGTATCGATGGCAGTGGGAAGATCTTTCTGTGCCTACGGGTCACAGCTGGTCGGTTGCAAACTCGCGTCGCGAGTTTGGGAGTGAACTCCATGACACACGGATCCAAGTGATTCCATATGATCCAATGTCCGTAGACGCTGACTCAACGACATTGACACAAAATGAGGAAAACAAAAAAAACACACGTCTCATGGTGTGAAAGTTCTGAAGCAAACCAATCTGATGGTAAACCAAAACTCAAACATGTACCACGCACCGAAAAAAAAAAACACAAAACATCCTTGGCACCTCAATGCCCTTGATGCAGGCATGTAGCCTGGCCTGGAAATCGACACAGGTTTTGTTTAGGGGACCACAATATGGATATCCCCATAATGAAACATAATGAAGTATCCCCCAGGGCAATCATCTTCTATTATGGGAGGGATACTTCATTAGATCAATCATCTTCTATTGTGGGGGATGTTTCTTTGCCACTAAGGATTACAAAAAAAGCGTATCAATATCAGTGGTAGATTGATACATACTGCCAGGTTGAATAAACCTGAGTAATTCTACATACTGCTGTCGAAACCGTTGTGGGAAACATCCAATGGGATGAGTCATCCAAGGACATGGGAAATGCTGAACATGTCTGATATCAACAGCTTTGAGACAGTATGCATGCATGAAGAACATCCAATCGGAGAATCATTGACTATCAATAAAACTATATAATTATATATATATTATTGCTTTGTCACCATATATAATATTAATTATAACAGATCATAATATACTACATATATATATACATATATATATATACTGCATATATCTACATATGTTACAGGACCCCTTCTACACTCAATTAGTAGCCAATAGCTAGACATTGAAGCTCCGTCACTGGCAATATTTCCCGTCCCCACTATCCTCCTGGAAGGGTGAGCGTCGCCACAGCTGAATTTGGATGGTTGGGATCTGCGCGTCGTATCTTCTTTGTTCTGCTTGGTGGTTAGTATACCTACCCCTCTGAAAAATATGAATCAGTTGGGATGATGAAATTCCCAACTGAATGAAAAAATCATCCGAATGTTCCAAACCACCAATCTTCTTTTTTGCTCCACAAGCAACCTCTAAAAGGACCAATTAATTAAGCACAGTTTCAACAATTCAGTTGGAAAACCCTCCCATTTTGACTGCACGCACCGGCCATTTATGGATTGCCGCAGGTGCCCACCTGCCACTGCTGGTCGAAAGCGCTGCTGGCATAGCCAGCGATCAAGCCATGCTCCTCAAGGCTTACAACTTGGATCGATGTTCATACTATAGATATATAGGTATATTGGATACGCATTCTAAAAACATAGCCATAAAATAATAATATATATACATATATGTAAACATGTATGATATATGATAATATATGTATGGGTATCAATATTAATTGACTGTGTACCTGTGTTTTATCTACTGTAATTATATGTTACAGACTAGATAACAATTACTTATATCAATTCTTCTCAAACATCAACAAGTCTTGGGACATACCCGGATAACATGTGTCTTCGCACGAATCAAACAGGGTTGAGTTGATGCAACATGCTTCAACTGCTGTCGACCTGACTCCACCCCTGTCCTCGATTTCTGTCCTGGCTGCCGGGGAATTGAATTTGAAGCCAAATGAGCTACCAATATCTACCAATATCATGGCGTAACTCAGTAATCCGAAGTGATGGTCTGATGGTCTGATGGTCTGATTGTGGACCCCGTTAGTTTTTTTCAAGCGCTCGAACAGTGTGAGTGGCGCTCGGTTACGGTTAAACCCATTTGGCGATGTCATAGGTTTTCCATGGTTTTCACATCATACTAGCCATTAAGATTGATGACACTGAACATTTATACTAGCCATATATCATTAAAATGATCAATCATTATCAAATTCTCCTTCTGCTGGTCCCATCTTTTTCGGCTTTTTGCCTTCGGTCGAAGCTTGGGAAGATGGCCAGCACAATCAAGGCCGCCACAAAGAGGGCGCCGGTGATCAGCTGGTGATACCGTGCCAGCCTGGGCGGACACGGGGAAGTGTGATTGGAGGTATTTTTGGGCACCGAAAGCATGGAAAAACATGGAACAATTGGGATTTTTTTTTTCACCCAGACTTGGGACATCTGGGGATATGAAGCCATAAAATGCCATAAACAAGTACCAAAGCTTGGGTAGGATATCACCAACAAGACTTCAGATATAAACCAACAAGAACCTGACAATAACCCAAGTCATTGGTCGGAGTGGAGACAAGACCATTTCTTTTTTCGAGCCCTGCAACATCGGGATAATCCCTGTTCAGCTACAACATAAGACTGGATAACGATGGACAAATGAACATGGACAGAAACGGGCCGCTATATAGTGAATATAGTGAATCTAGAATCTATGTGAATCTTTGGTACTAGAAGCATCTGGAATTGCAGCGCGGGGCCTCTTGGAAACCTCGACAGCTAAAGACATCTTGCGTCAAAGGCAATCCATGCCTGTAGATCGCTATGTGTTCAGCAGCTTGACTTAATATGTTTCAACTGAGCCTCAAATGGGACACTACAATGAAGGCTAGCATGTCACATGTCAGTGGAAAGAACCATTTTTAAGCTTGAGACGGCAGGAAATCAGCAAGACATGGATCTTATCTTACAGTCTACAGAGTCTACAGTCTTACAGCCTTTGCAATGTCCTTGTCATGGTTCAAAGGTCGTGTCCTCAATTTGACTGTTCGACATTTAATGTTCAACCAGCTGCAACATGTTGTCACCAGGATATCTCCTGAGTTCACCCCCTACTCTTCTCCTCCTTATAGCCTGGTTTTCACATGGATCTTCATCCCGATTCATTCCCCCAAGCCACAAATCCGCATATCTCATATTTGTGAACGCAGGTCAGCCAGCTCAAAACCGAAACGGCTGCGCAAAACGACTGATGGACAGGTGGGAAGTCCATACCCTCAGGGGCTGAAAGGAGGTTTGGCTGCATAAGAGACCTGTTCCTTCAAACACTTTCATAGCAACTATGAACCTTATAGCAATCTTTGGCAGAGAATTCAGAGAGATGGGGAACAAAACTGTTGCGGAAAGGGCAGACCTGACAGATTACTAAGAGCACTTGGCCAAAACTCTCCATATCCCCGACAGCAGCCCTCCATAAATGCTATGTTTTATTGACGACGCTAGCATCTTTGTAGCCTCTGTGTGCTGGGCACATGTTGTACCCTGTGCTCTGCCCCGGCACATGCTGCCATCCAATCCACCTGCATAAATTATCATAATATGAATATGATCTGCAATGGCATGGAATGCGCAAGGGAAAAACGAGCACACACACACACACGTGGAATCTCTTGGAGGTTCATGATCATGTTGATGATTGGAAGTGGACATCTTCAGAGAATACAACATGTTTGCCTGTCTTGTTGCAGGTGTATTCACGTATTCAAAAGCATTCAAAGACAACTTACTCTGGCATGAACCACCAAGATTTGTAATTTGGTGAAAACATTCAAATTCGGATCCACAACATGGGCCTTGGCGTATCACTCTTCAATGTGATGAAAGGCCTGGCGTCAAAATTACAGAAAGCCAGAGCTTGACCAATTGAGCCATGGGCGGTTCTTAAAATAAAGGGTACCCCAATAGCTGGTTGGTTTAGAATGGACAATCCGAAAATTACGTGGATGATTTGGGGTTATCCCCATGGATTGGAAACCACCAATTTTAATTGGTAGTGAAACAACGTTGGCATAACCTAGCTACCTGTTTTGGACCCCCATGCTAACCATGCCTCCACACATGCATCCTACCCTCCAGGGTGTGCTTGAAGACATTGAATGCAATGTGATTCCCACCCTCCAGGGTTTGCTTGAAGACATTGAATGCAACGCGATGGCTGAACTGCAAGGCTGTAAGCTGCCCCACAGTCGTACCAATGCAAAAAAGGGTATGTGTGTGTGTATATATATATAGGGTATATATATATATTATATGCCACACTTGAAAGTTCCTTCCACAGTAGCCTGAGTTTTCTTGGATGGCTGCAGGGTAACAACAGTCCAGTGTCTGAGAGCCTAGTTATATAATCAACCAGGCTTTATTAATAAGCCACGTGTTATTAATCCAGAGTGGATATGAATTGTCACAACCACTTCTTCCTTCAGCATCCTGAAACGCAAAAAAACTGGGCCTGAAACGCTTCCTTATCCGTTAGGACCTGGCAGAATAAGCCATGACAGTCATGGAAAAACATGCTTCATGTTGTCTCAAAACTGGAGAAACATGCAGAAATCATGCGGAGCCACAAATGTCATGTTGAGTACTGCAGACTCTGCGTCTCTGTTTTTTTGGGGCTAATGTATAAGCACGATAATTTACCATACATGATTGATCTGACTGAGGGTATGGGTATGGATCAAAACCCTGACACCCTGGTAAATGCACCAACATAGCTCGTGAAGAGACGGTACAATAGGCATGGTCACCTATCCCCATCTATTTTCTTTAACTGGGCAATGGAATTCCTGTGTTTGAATCATTGTATAAGTATATAGATTGGGAATTCTAAGTGGGGACAATATATACAAGGCTGCAACTGTTTCAACTGTTTCAACTCATGAAAGCAAAGCTGAAAGTCAGGTGGGAACATCTTACCAAGTAGGGTGCAGAAAGAAAAGAATTGAAACCAACAATCAGCGAACTGTAAAAAAAATGCGCATTGACATGTGCACTGTCACTATCACATCATCCAAGGGTACCAAGGCCCAGTTTTCCCACAATGCTGGTGGTGATGTGCCCACATTTTTTACTTGGTACATACAGTCATATCATATGGGGATGGGTCAAAACCACCTGGTGAACCCCAAATAGCTGGTAAATGGATGTTCATCCCCCTAAAAATGGTATTAATAGGTATTGATCCATACCCATATCTTGTATACAAAGATGATCAAAGAGCTGCTTCTGCTGGGGACCCACCACAGCCCCATAAACCGGGATTTGGGATTCTCCGCAGTGTCTGCTCATAGCACCCCTTTGTGGAGCGCTTCATTTCAGGTGTTCTTTGTCAAACCACCCAACGGAAGCACACTAAAGAAAACCATGGAAATCTAAATCAAACTAAATCCACCAATGAAAATCTAAGAAAAACTAAAAAATATCCACATGTTTCCCCATATCCAATCAGGTTTTTTTTTGGTTAGTCTGTCGTTGATTATGTTTTTGCTAGAAACTTTCTCTGCTCCCGTTGGCCTCATAACCTCGCCACAACTGCACACCACTCCCAACCATTGTTCATACCTACCAGCCACTACCCACCCCTACCAAACACTACCCAAAACTAAGCACCCATGCCCACAACTACCACGCATCTACCAAAATTTAAACACCCGTTAGCACCACAACAAAACCCCCGCCAAAACCAAACAACTAGACGACGGTTGGCCCGAGAGCAAAAAAAACGTTTTTCAAGCAGCTCTGAGTATGGTAATCGTGAAAAATAGTCGGTGATAGGTTGGTGAATTTTATATGAGCTATGGAGGGGTAAGTTGTGAAAAGTAAGATTGATTAAGAAGAGGATACATGTGACAACCCATGCATATGCACTGTGCTGCTTGGTAAAGGGCATCATATGACACGTGTCTTGCAACCACAGAGAGACATAGATAGAGAGAAAGGGAGAGAGAGAGAGAGAGAGGGAGAGAGAGAGAGAGAAAGAAAGAGGGAGAGAGAGAGAGAGCAGGGTCTTCTGTTGTTAGTATTGAGACACTATATTGCAAGACAATATATTAAAGATGTATTTTAGGCAGGCGAGACAAGTAGTATCAAGACAATATACTACAAGTACAAAACACTAGTTTGCATCCTATCCTTCGTATTGTTTTTCACACGCAGACGCTTTTGCACAGAAGCTGTTACACACAGACGCATTTACACACAGACGCTTTTACACACAGACGCTTTTACACACAATTTTCACACACACAGGCTTTTACACACAGAAGCTTTTACACACAAACACTTTCACACACAGAGGCTTTTACACAGAGGCTTTTACACACAGACGCTTTTACACGAAGCTTTTACACACAGACTCCTTTGCACACAGACGCTTTTACACACACACAGACGCGTTTACACACAGAGGCTTTTACACACAGACGCTTTTACACACAGACACTTTTACACGCAGACGCTTTTATACACAGGCGCTTTTACAGGCAGATGCTTTTACACGCAAAGACTTTCACAGACGCTTTTACACACAGAGGCTTTTACACACAGACGCTTTTACACACAGACACTTTTACACACAGACACTTTTACACACAGACGCTTTTACACACAGACACTTTTACACGCAGACGCTTTTATACACAGGCGCTTTTACAGGCAGATGCTTTTACACACAAACACTTTCACAGTCGCTTTTACACACAGACACTTTTACACACAGACGCTTTTACACACAGACACTTTTACACGCAGACGCTTTTACACACAGACGCTTTTACACGCAAGTGCTTTTACGCACAGAAGCTTTTACACACAGACACTTTTACACACAAACGCTTTTACACACAGACCCTTTTACACACAGACCCTTTTACACACAGACGCTTTTACACACAGAAGCTTTTACACACAGAGAGACTTTTACACACAGAGGCTTTTACACACAAACGCTTTTACACACAGACGCTTTTACACACAGACGCTTTTACACACAGACGCTTTTACACACAGAAGCTTTTACACACAGGCGCTTTTACACACAGACGCTTTTACACACAAACGCTTTTACACACAGAAGCTTTTACACACAGAACTTTTTACACACAGCACTTTCACACACAGAGGCTTTTACACACAGAAGCTTTTACACACAGGCGCTTTTACACACAGACGCTTTTACACACAGACACTTTTACACACAGACGCTTTTACACACAGGCACTTTTACACACAGACACTTTTACACACAGGCGCTTTTACACACAGACAGTTTTACACACAGACGCTTTTACACACAGAAGCTTTTACACAGACGCTTTTACACACAAAAGCTTTTACACACAGAAGCTTTTACACACAGACGCTTTTACACACAGACGCTTTTACACACAGACGCTTTTACACACAGACGCTTTTACACACAGACGCTTTTACACACAGACGCTTTTACACACAAACGCTTTTTACACATAGGTTCTTTTACACACAGACGCTTTTACACACAGACGCTTTTACACACAGACGCTTTTACACACAGACACTTTTACACACAAACGCTTTTACACACAGACCCTTTTACACACAGACCCTTTTACACACAGACGCTTTTACACACAGACCCTTTTACACACAGACACTTTTACACACAACATTTTCACACACAGAGGCTTTTACACAGGCGCTTTTACACACAGACGCTTTTACACACAGACGCTTTTACACATAGACGCTTTTACACACAGACGCTTTTACACACAGACGCTTTTACACACAGACGCTTTTACACACAGACCCTTTTACACACAGACGCTTTTACACACAACCGCTTTTACACAGACGAAAGCGTTACGATTGACCAAGTAAAATCGCAATTTTTCCTCAGTTTTTGACGTCCAACGTCCATTTCGTGCGTAAGGGTTGCGATTGACAACTCACAGTCGCAATTTTTCTTCAGTTTTTGACGTCCAACGTCCATTTCGTGCGTAAGGGTTGCGCGGGACACTTCAAAGTCGCAATTTTTCCTCAGTTTTTAACGTCCAACGTCCATTTCGTGCGAAAGGGTTGCGCTCGACCAATAAAAGTTGCAATTTTTCCTCAGTTTTTGACGTCCAACGTCCATTTCGTGCGTAAGGGTTGCGCGGGACGCTTCAAAGTCGCAATTTTTCTTCAGTTTTTAACGTCCAACGTCCATTTCGTGCGAAAGGGTTGCGCGCGACCAATAAAAGTTGCAATTTTTCCTCAGTTTTTGACGTCCAACGTCCATTTCGTGCGAAAGGGTTGCGCACGACCAATAAAAGTTGCAATTTTTCCTCAGTTTTTGACGTCCAACGTCCATTTCGTGCGAAAGGGTTGCGCGGGACGCTTCAAAATCGCAATTTTACCTAGGTTTTGGACGTCCAACGTCCATTTCGTGTGAAAGGGTTGCGTTTCGTGGCGCTCCGGCGGCACCGCCCCCGCCTTAAGAGAGAATAGAAGAAGAGCGAGAGGAGATCTGCAGATGTGAAGGTCTGAAGATCTAGATCTGCAGGTGTGAGGGTGTGAAGATCTAGATCTGCAGATGTGAGGGTGTGAAGATCTAGATCTGCAGGTGCGAGGGTGTGAAGATCTAGATCTGCAGGTGTGAAGGTGTGAAGATGTAGATCTGCAGATGTGAGGGTGTGAAGATCTAGATCTGCAGGTGTGAGGATGTGAAGATCTAGATCTGCAGATGTGAGGGTGTGAAGATCTAGATCTGCAGATGTGAGGGTGTGAAGATCTAGATCTGCAGGTGTGAGGGTGTGAAGATCTAGATCTGCAGGTGTGAAGGTGTGAGGATGTAGATCTGCAGATGTGAGGGTGTGAAGATCTACATCTGCAGGTGTGAGGATGTGAAGATCTAGATCTGCAGGTGGGAGGGTGTGAAGATCTAGATCTGCAGATGTGAGGGTGTGAAGATCTAGATCTGCAGGTGTGAGGGTGAAGATCTAGATCTGCAGGTGTGAAGGTATGAAGATCTAGATGTCCAGATGTGAGGGTGTGAAGATCTAGATCTGCAGGTGTGAAGGTGTGAAGATCTAGATCTGCAGGTGTGAGGGTGTGAAGATCTAGATCTGCAGGTGTGAAGGTGTGAAGATCTAGATCTGCAGGTGTGAAGGTGCGAAGATCTAGATCTGCAGGTGTGAAGGTGTGAAGATGTAGATCAGCAGATGTGAAGGTGTGAAGATGTAGATCGGCAGATGTGAGAGTGTGAAGATCTAGATCTGCAGGTGTGAAGGTGTGAAGATCTAGATCTGCAGGTGTGAAGGTGTGAAGATCTAGTATAACGGCTGCTTTTTTACGAAGAACCCTTCGCAGGCGCTCTCGGGAAAAACAAACAACTCAAAAAGACTAACATTGAAAAAACAATAAACAAACTAGAATAAACTACAAACAAATCAATAAACAAACTAAAATAAACTAAACAAAAACTAGAAACTTCCAAACATGTTCTTTGCCTCCTGGTGGGTTTTGATTGCGTCAATTGAATCGCCCTAAAGCTGCATTTGTATATTCAGGGCTGCTGCTTCCAACCCATGATGACAGGTGGGGTCTGAAAGCTCACCCTGGGGGCCTCATGCTATCAAGCCCACCGCAAAAGTCGACTGTCTTGCCACACAATTTCTGGAATATTTCTAAACAAATCCTTGGGGAAAATCTGTTTGGTTCATGGTTTTTCTAGCTCCTGAGGCCTTCTTAAGGCATTCGGATCTTACGACGACCGAAAAAAGAAAATCGATCGGATCTGCTCATCAGATCCCAAGTCCGCCTTCAAAGATTCCGCATCCACCACACCGGGGTAGTTGGTCCTGGGAGGTTCACGAGCCACCGAGCATATCCAGAAAAACATATGAGTCAATTTGGGGATCATCCCATGTTTGGGTGGAACATAAACGATGTTGGAAACCACCAACCAGCATTTATAGATGATTTTCTCTGAAAGCTTGAATAATGACTAAAGAGTAGTCCTATTCTGTTTAAATATTCATTGGTCAACCAACAATAGACCTTGGGAATACGGGTGCTTGTTTATACGGATGGCATCACCTGGGTGCCTGCGTCCAGAAATCGTGTAAACTTTTTCGGTGGGAAATTGGCAAAGCATGTGGGTTGAAGCCCTGCCCACAACCATCCAAGCCTTATGGTGACTGACTGCTACAGTTGGTGATACATTGTATATTTGCTATTCAGTTCAGACTTGAATGGTTTAATGGTGGGGGTGGTATAATCCCCATCATGTAGGTTTGGAGCTGACAGCACTACTCAGCCCTGATTAGCAAACCGTGACAAACCCTGGTTGATCAATCTGGGGGACTGGGGAATTACCACCAAACAGTGGTAGCATGCAGCCAAAATGGGTAAAATTATGTGAATTCCATCTATTCCAATATATTTATTGCAAATTAAATCGCAAATAATTTCATAATCTACCATATATGAAGCCACATGTTTGATGCGTAGGAACTACTTCGTGATCCACTCCAGCAAGTGGGTTAGTCCACCTACTATATAAACTGGAGGATCACCCCATTTAACTAAGTGGACTGACCTCACCTTCTTACGATTCCTGGAGTGAACCAGCAAGTATCCAATTGCTTGCAACATCCATTTGGAGGTTTCCTGAAATAGGGGTACCCCCAAATCATCCATCTCAATGGGATTTTACATTATAAACCATGCATTTGGGGGGTACCTCCATGGAAACCCCCAGAATTATGGACATTAATATCTGTAGTATTGATATGTATTGATCATTATTAACCATCATTAAGCATCATTACCCTCTGGTAATTTAACATAGCTATTGAAAATGGCCCATAGAAATAGTTGATTTACCTATTAAAAATGGTGATTTTCCCATCAGCTATGTTAGTTTACCAGAGGGTAACCACCTTTTTTTCAAAACATCGGAAGAAACTCCACCTTTTTTGGTCACCTCAAAACTTCCATCTCGAAGCGACGACTTTTCCACCGACTCGCCGAGGCGCTGTGGTCCATGCAACTTGCGCCAGCCGATCCACAGCTCCTTGGTGTGCTCGTCCCATTCGTCCTGAGGCGACGTTTTTTCGCACCATCCAAACATCGGAGAACGCACCATAAAACATCATAAAAATCATAAAACACCAGCGTTTTTAACGTCAGAAAAAAAAAAAACGGAGATGGTGGAGGAAACGTCAAGAAACCAGGAGGACGCGTGAAATAATGTTGTTAGGACTTTAAGATCAACATTCACAGAAAAGAGCAAGAAACACCTATGGAAAACATGTGAATTCATCACCACAAACCACGACGAATTGAGATAATTGAGACGAACACGTGTGTGTGTATATTAATAATATATATATATTACGTACTAGCTATTATGTACTATATAGTATATAATATAAATGACAAAACTGACGAGAGTCTCGCTGCAGCCGTTGCCCTGTCTCATCATGATGAAGATGCTCGCGAAAATACACGATGCTAATGGCCCCGTTTCGTCATCTGAAATAAGTAAAAGAACGACTTACCTTCACAATGTTCATATGTGCATCATTTCAGGCTCCTAGCCATACCATCCTTCAAGTATATGATGAACTTCCTATTGTCCTTCCATTGCCAATTACATCACCATTTAGTGTTTTTTCAAATTCCTATCATATCAATGTATATCATCCACATTGGTATATTATATATATCCACTTTTAGATACTATCTCAAGGTATATGGTATATATTGATCCACTTGAATAATTTTAGATACTATCTTAAGGTTATGTATATATGTAATACGTCCACAATTTGCGATCTATGATGATATTAATGTGATGTCCATCCACCATCATCCACCCCACTCGTCCGCGCCTGCTCCATGTATTTGCCCTCCGTGTCCATCAAAGAGTGGCCCCAGGCGCGTAGCAGTTGAAGGATCAGGACGATGTGTTCACCCTGGAGCCACCGACCAGGGCTGATGGATCTGATGGCAATGAGTGAACGTTGCTTGGAAATGGAGGCTCAAACGGATGGCTTTTTTTAGGGTCATGAAACACATATAATCACATATATATATACATATAATCATATATACATATATAACATTATATAATATTATTACATAATATTATATATGGTTATATATGTATATGGAACATCTCATCTCTGGGGATTCCAAACCGTGGTTTTTCAGGCGCAGTTTGAGGGTCTAATGGAATGGTTCTACTGGTCATATCGTTGAGTCGAGAGTGGGATTTGGTGGCCGTTCATCGAAGCCAATGTACAGTTACTGTCTCCCAGAACAGCTGTAACCTTGAACTTGTATATGCTTTGGGGATCTTCGGGGTGATTCCCTGTGTGCTAAAAAAATATAAAACAAATTATCTGATCACATCTGATCACTTCAGGACTCGGAAAACTTCTGAGGGACCACAAAAAATCGATGAAACAACAGAAAGGATCCAGCAATCATCCCCTTGACCCAAGGATCCACCTGCCTTCAGATCCATGGGATACGCCAAGACTGCACCCTAAAGATCGAAAAAGGTGGGCCCGGGGGGCCCGGTCAATTTTCAGACCACTGGACCATCGACAAATTACGACACATATCAATGAGGGAGATCTCCAGGATCCAACAGATGGAGGTATGTTAGTACCATATTTTTGGCCATATGAATTGTGGGGATATTCCCTGAAATTTAGGCCTAAAAATTAGGCCTTATATATGGTAAGTACCTCCAATTTAGGTTCCTGAGATGGCCAGTGAACATACTATCAAATAGTGCAATACTGGACTGAAGAAACAATTGTTGGAATATGTTTGGAACAAATCCCTCAACTCATCATTCTATTGGCTATTAAGTGAGGTCGTTGTGAAATGAGTATGATTTCGGGAAAGCCTCGGCCGGCATATGATCGAGAGCCATCCGAGAAATTGGGGTACAGGATGACTTCACCCATGATTTCAAGTGCATCATTAGCATGTCTGATTATGAGAAGATCTTCTGCAAACAGTATGTTTGGTCAAACGAAAAAAATAATTAAAACACAATTCACAAACTATACATCTTTCCGTATGCTGGTGATCAATTGACCCAGACCCAACTCATAATCTTCATAGTCGCTTGAAGCTTGTTATCAATGTTCTTTATCTTTATCCTGTTGAAGATGTTGAAGCTCACGACCAAAATTTGCTTGGGGATGCTTGGGGGTGATTAACAATGTACACTATTCAATAATACGTCCAACTCAGATCTTGAGCTTCCTTCCCTCCTGGCATCAAGTGCGAGATCAAGTGCAGCCTTGATCATGATCTGGTTCAGCTCCGGATTCAGATATGCATCCGCACACAAAGTCTCGAATTGCGCCTGGCAGAAGAGCTTGGAGGAGCAGACTGGCATAGCTGGGGAAGAGAACCTTGATACAGCCCCCAAAATCTCCAAACCATCCCAAACCATGGGACAATCATAGACAATCATGGACAATACACCATCCTCCGATGAACTTCTCTACTACCCGGGGTCCAATCCAACCAGAAACGATGGCCACCTTCAACAGCCGCTGCTGCCGCTCTTCCTCGGCAATGTTCCTGGGCAACGCGAAACTTACCAGCCGGGGGTGCTTGTGGGGTTGGTGGCCGTAGTCCCGCCATACGAGTACCGTTCAAAAAAAACTGATGAACCGACATGGTCCATGGTTATCATATGCTTGTTTTGGGCACATGTAATCCGAACAGCCTTTAGTTTTCATGGCTCATCCTCCCATCATATTCGGGTTGACGGTTATAGAATGTTATACACACATACCAGTATAAACAATTCCAAAACAGTAGTCAGTTGGCTTCCGGTTCGCATCTATTCCCTCCTTTTTGTCTGTGATTTGGAGGGATGGAACAACTGAAACCTCACCCAGCGTCGCTTCTCTTTGCCGCTGTCTCTCCAGGGCATCTTGCGCCTGGGCGATGGCTTCACACCAAATCTCGAGGAAAAAAAAACATCGTTCACCGTTCACCTCCAAAGAAAATGGCAATCTGGGTGAAAAATTAGCTGAGGATCGCTAAAATTGGCCGATCAAACATCACTATCCACCAGGATTCACCAATTCACCAGGAGGTTTCGGTTTCAAGGATTTCAACCACCCATTTATCACGGGGCACCTCCTGCTCGGCCATCTGCCGTCTCTTCTCGGCATTTTCAAAGACCTCAGAATCAGGGAAATTCCGGGGGAAAAAAAAGATGTGGGAACTCACATCTGAAATCATTCGTACAATATTCATTGGATTGGTTTAAGGGAAAATCTACAGGAAGCCATGGTTTTTAGTTTTTACCATCAAATATAGGGCTTTCCTGTAAATTTTCCCATCATCCAATTCTATGAAATATCCCAAACCATGGATTTCCCATGTTTTTCCATGGCTTTCTGATTTTGTTATGTTCACTTCCTCTCCAACAGCACCAAGGATCACCAAGGCAGAGCTCCATAGAGCTCCTAAACATAGTGTAGGTAGAGAAACTGCTGAAATTTGGTCACTGGGAATGAAGATCACTGCATTGGTTTAAGGGAAGTTTACGTGACACACCCATATATTTGATGGATGAAATATGGTTTCCTGTAACTTTTCCCGTAAATGAGTCCAGTCAGAAGATTAGCACATGCAATCTGATGTGTGAAAGGACACGAAACGACAATGTTGCGACATTATATATTCGATATAGATTTATGTGGCAAAAAACTTTTTTTGCATCAGACCGTTTTCGCCCATTCATTGCAAACTATATACTGTCATTTGAAATCCCAGTTTCACAAGTCCATCAACTCAGCTTGGTCGAATCGAACTGCAAACAAATACCAAAGGGAAATCAGACAAGATTAGTGCTACGAGTATAGCTATTGGTTTTGACTTTCTCTGCCAGAAAAACATTAGCAGCACTTCGCCAAGTCCCGTCCAGCCAGTCCATTTCCATCCATTCATTCCCTCTTCTGCTGCAAGCTACCGAAAGGCGAATCAAATCGTGTGTTGATACAATTTCCTGTCCAAGCTGCGGGCTGAAGGATGCTGAAACTTCTTCTTTCTGGCCAAGGCATCCCACTGAAAAAGGGTTCATACTATATAGCTTGAATCCCCAGATATTGCTGGTCACTGTGTCTTATAAATCTCTAGGTCATCTTGGGCGCAGCATCTCAAGATCAAAAGATGCTTCAAAGCTGAAGCAGACCAGTGCCTCAAAGAAAGTCCAGAACTCGTTGAACGTCACCTGTAGAAACCAATGGATACCAATGGTGGAAACCTGGGACTGGTTGATAAAACCGTCCTTTTCCCGGCCACTTCCTTGCTGTGAGGGAACAGAAGCTGCAGTGAAGAAACATCCCAGAAATTCGATGTCAGCATCACATATGGCCTCTTTCGTTGCCTCGTCCCCGCCTTGTTGGGATCTGCACAAGGAATTCTGGCGGCGAAATTGGCGGGCAGGCTCCTGGGGTGGCTAACCGCTTGATGATGGACATGGTTACCTCAAAAATGGCCCAAAGGTCCTGGGGGAAAGTCACAAACCCATGTCATGAGTTATGGAAATTATGAAAGGTGTGGCCTTAACATTGCAGAGAAGCTTTGGACAGTCCAGGTCCCAGAATTTCATTCTGGGCTGGGATGTGAAAGCTGGGTCAAGGATTTCTTCCCTGTTTTTCCAATTTCATTTTGGATCGTTTCCACTTGCTGAGGTGCAAAGGTTCGACTGCAAGACTGGGGCGTTTGGGCAAACAACAGCATACCACTGTAGAGTACAGTCCATTTCATGTGTGACCCGATCACCAGCTTTTGTACTGGTGATGTGAATCCCAAAAAAAAGCATGTAACGAAGGGCTAAACATCGTTTTTCAGGGCTCATTATCAGAATGATCGACAAATTGTTCATACAAGATCATACAATTACAGTAGTTCATCGATAGTTCATCGTAATCATGTAATTGCAGCCCACCTCATCCCTTCTTGTCCTCTAAGTATCAATGTGAACTGCAAAATGTTTTTTTCTCTACATGGGGCGCATGCCCAAGACAATTACAGTATCCAAAGTGCTTAGTTTCACTGTCAACCCAAAAATGAAGCATGCCCCTAAGTTCGCTGTAGTTTTTTCAAACATAGAACCAGTAAGGATATCCTATTTCTTGTTGATTCAAGTGTAAGGCCATTTATTGACATATATTGACAACACCAATGTTTTTATGTTCTGCTCCCCCATTCTTGTTGACAATCACATTTCCCATACGAAACCACAAAGCGCACCTGATGAATTGGCCGTCCATATTCCACAGCGTGTCCAGTTGCTGAGCGACAGGGACTAAAACCCAGGGGAGCCGTTTCCCAAATGCAGGTCCGTTCTGGATGGTTCTGGTACAATTTGTCAACTTGGTTTTGCCTTTTAATATGTGTTTTCAAAAACATATTATTTTACTATAATTCCATGTGTTTCAGTCAAAAAGGGTATTTTAGAGTCATTCAGTGCTTGATGGAGACACTTATATAACTATTTACTTACACCAGTCGACTATAGATAATTGCGTTCGTAATTGCTCTGCTACTACATGTTGCCAGCAAACATCAGTTTCTTGATCCTTCCCGGAATTGTATTGCAGAGAGTCGGCCACTCCAATGCAAGTTCCTTGACTAAGCTCCTTCACTGATAAGTCTGTACCACAAACCTCTGTATACTTTATCTGAATCTCAAGGCTTACATTCAGCACACCCTCCATTTCACCATCAACATCTGCCACCAGTGCCTCACCTGAAACACCTGCTCGATCTGTGACGTTGAAAGGCCGTCTCCCTGCAGGAAAGCGTGGAGAGTTCTATACCACCCATTAGTAAAAATTTGGATGGTTCATGATGGTTCACTATTGGGTTTCGCACGTTACAAAAAATTGAAAAATCCTGTCAGCTTTGTCTTTCCTGGGCGCTTGAACCATCATTATGTTGGGCAAACAAAGTTTCAAAGCATGAAGGTATATCCCTAAAAATTGGATTCCACGGTGATGCATTCATGACTGGGATGCATTCATGTCTCAGTGCCCCCATTCGCAAAAAAATACATCTCCACTCCTATACCCACATTTGAATTTATCAGGGTCTCATTGAGGTATGTGTTGGACTACAGTGTCACCCCATAACATTCCGTCATAGGCCGAGCTGGGCACATGGGTGAAGAGCTGCCAGGTCGTTTCAAATTCCGGGAGGCGTCTCAACAAGTTCCGGCGACCGCGCTCAACCTTGGCGGCCGGTTTTGGCATGCAAATCAAAGTGCAAAGTGAAAGCAAACAATATCATATTCACATTTCCACGTGTGCTAATGATGACACAAATAATGAATATATGTAATATTATTATAGATAAATATTTATATGTATGCGATTGACCTACATACAGACATGTTTTATTGTTTCATCATGTTTTGAAGTATAATATATAATCACCATCTGGTTATGACTAACATAGCCATGGAAAATTACCATTTTTAATAGGTAAACCATCTATAAATGGGCCATTGTCCATGGCTACGTTAAATAACCAGAGGGTAACTCTATAAATGCGCCGTCGCAATCCGCAATCCGTTTGCCAGTGGAATGCATTGGATCAGTTTCGAAACGAGCCAGCAAGTACTACACACCCTGCAATGTGACATACCCTCTGCTAAACTAACATAGCTATGGAAAATCACCATTTTCAATGGGTAAATCCACTATAAATGGTGATTTTCCATAGCTATGTTAAATTACCAGAGGGTAGTCCCCTTTGCTATCTTTGCTACCTATTCAATTTGTTTTTGGCACTGGCCAGTGGCATTCCAGCCTACGGAAACCGTCTGGAGGTTAGACAACAAGATTCGCTTCAATATACTGCATGAAAAACATTGAACAATTGCTACAAAGGACACATCATCAAACGGCACAGTCACAGAATGCCTCGGTGTTTTTACACGCCCCCGTTGATGGTAGTATCATTTCTATTCCTTTCTTGCATGTCAGGGCATCTGACAAAGCTTAGCCCAGCCCGGAACACTCCACCAGTACCCACCGAGGGCACCGATGCCAGTTCTCGCAGATGCCGGTACCTTGTCAGCGTATGGGTTCCGCTTGGAAACCAGGCAGCGCCACTGATTCCAGGTATGGGTCCGGTATGAGTCAAAATTGTGGTCCCAAGGAAAGGATCGATTTTTCACCAGTTTTTACATTCCACTCTGCTCGAGGCCATGCCGCCTGCATGCAAGGCAGCACTGCCTAAGATCCCTCAGATTGCACCCAAAACTCCTCTGTGGAAGTCTGATGCTCTGTTGGAAATATGCAAAATTGTAAGGATCGTGAACCGCTGTTAATACCAGTATCAAAAAATAACCAGCATCTGTGGGTTGACTCATCTCATATCCGTCCCACCATCCAACAGCCCAGCACCATCCTTTTGCATCCAACTTGAATGCGTCCGGTCACTCACACCAAACACATGGACACCGCCCTGGCGCTGGACGTGTTTTTCAAAAACTTACATTAAAGTATATTATATATGTAGAATGAAATAGACTGCCAGGGACTGGCAAGTCTAGCCACAAGCCCGACGTCATTACTAGTTTGGATGGCCAAGGGCCTCAACGCATGTCTTCACGAAGTTCTCTGCCTTGTCGTGGCCTGCCAAAAGCATACCTCCACGGATGGCGAAGGCGATGCAATTGGTGATAGTCGGATTGGCCAAACCCTGTTCACTCTTGAAGCCGGTGACGCTCAACTTCTTGGCCAAATCTTCCTGGACGTACTGGACCAGATCGCCTGCTGGTGTGAAGCTAGTGAATGCTGGGGTCTCATCGCAATCGGTCAAAGGGACGTCATTGACCATTGTATCGCGAATTCGAGCAAGGGCTGCAGATTTCTCCTTGAAGAGAGTCACCCTCACGCATGTAGTGAAACTCTTGGCCGGTCTCCTCAAATTTGCCAACTATCAACAGTCCAGCATGATAGACTGGGCTGCGGCGAGTTTCCGAAAAGCCCTTCCCGACCACGAACGAAAACTTGTAAGGCACTGATGAGTTCTTGATAAGCTTTCCCTGCAGCTCTGCTGACAAAGGTGTCAGGGCCTCAATGTCTTCAGCCTTGAAGATCTTGAACGTTTTGGTGAGGGCAACTCCGCCTTCAACAAGATCTGGTAGGTCTGGCGAAATGCTACATCCGCAATTTTGCATTGCATGGGAAAGTACTTAAGACCTACACCCACAGTTCCACCAACCACTGCAACAGCCAGCATCACAACTTCCTCCACGGTGATTGAGCAGCTCCCATTATGATTGAGCCTGTGATGCGAAAGGATTAGTCTCTTGCTTTGGGCCAAAGCTTGTAAAGCCAAACCATGAGGCCCATGATCCCGATTAAAAACCTGACAGCCTGAGCCTGTCGGAATCACACGCAATGGAGGCCATTTCTATAGTCGACGTATCCATTTCTCACCGTGAAGAAAAAAAGTGCACATCAGTGCACACTGTTCGCACTTAGTTAACATATTTCTATATGGATTAGTCGGAAAATAGGCTACCCCAAACATTGCTGGTTAAGTGATCATCATGTTCCTCACCATGTCCAAAAATCAACCAGCTGTTTTGATAAACAAGTTCGATATATAACCAGTTATTTTTCAATATCAACCAGCTATTATCAACCATTGCTGGTTCACTGATCATCATTGTCCTCATTGTCTGATTTAATCTGGTTGATGGAAAGGTTAACTGCAAAATAGCTGATAAATCTGATCATGGGAAGATTTCATCTGATAATGGTTAACTTAACTTCCCATTATCATTAATCAAAATTCTCAGATCATAGTTAATCTGGTTAATGGGAAGATCAACTATTATCTGACAATTTTGATTCATGATACATTAACCATGATTAGTTAATTGTATTATCTGACAATAATAACCATTAACAATCTTAATGTTAATTAATGATTCTTATCTGGTTACCTATTATCTTCCCATTAACTGCCATCAACCATTAATTATTATTCGATGATTCGATGATTGTTACCCTCTGGTTAAGTAACATAACTATGGAAAATCACCATTTTTCATGGGAAAACTCACTATAAATGGCCATTTTCAATAGCAACGTTAAATTACCAGAGGATAATTTTCCGCATCACATCGAATCGCATCGATTTTTGTCGGCGCACAGCTCGTCTCGATGATCCGAGCTGTGCGTTGGATGGTTGCGCAACAAGTACTGGGCCAACCTGGGCGTAAGGAAAAAAACCTTGTAGCATGCTATGTACATGGGGATATGGGGATATATGGAGATATTATGTATGATCTATATAGTTGGATAATGTTGGATATCCATACTTGTGATAAAACTACTCAGAGATAATTTTGAGATGAACATCAGCAATTTGATAGATCATCCTGACACGTTCATTTGCCAAAGGGTGTAGAAAAACAAGGGCTTTCGTTCAAGGGGATGGCAACATTAACCTGTAGAAAACCCAGGAACGGCCACAAAAAGATGCACATGGCAGAACTACATCAAGCTGTAGAATTTCTGCAGCCAAGGTCTGTTGTGAGTTTCAACCTATGGCACAGGTACGTACAGGTACTCTATATAGTCCATACTCCCGAGTGAGGCTAGTTTTCAAGTGGTGAGTACTAGCCGGTCAACATTTCGCAGTGTAACTGGATTACATTCTCCTGAACATATCCCTGATACAATGGGGTCTATATGTCATAGTCAGTCATAGTCTCCAAATGTCCCTGGTCGCGGCTCCCTCACCCGTGGCATTCCCTCTTGGGATCCCCTGGGCCACCCGTGCCACGTCAAGGGGTTGAACTTTTGCTTCCGCGCAGAGGAAGCATCGCTCTTGCCGGACGCCAACTTGTCCACATGCCTCATGTTGTCAACCCCACATGAAAGGATGACTGTCCCGGGGATTGACCCCAGGAACATCCACTAACAAATGGGCGATATCAATATTTATGGTGAAAGAGGATCTATCCAAAACGTGTCTAAGCATTAACGGTATCAGCAACCCAAGAGTCCAAGGCATGCAAGCTGTAGGTATGTGATCCATTGTCATCACATCCTTTACTTGGAAGTTCTCTGGTGGTGCGCTGGTGGTTTCTTTAGTTGAGGAATCCATTTCCCAGAAAAACTTGCCGTAAACTCATGTTGAAAGCATTGCGCTGACATTGTGCCATTGTGATCCATTGTGGTCAATGGATGTCAATGGCGTATCTGCCCCATATCTCATGACACAGAAATGGAGCTCCCGTTTTTGAACACATCTCAAAACCAAAGCTTTTGCTCACATAGAGCTGAGGTTTTTTGCCATGGGTCACGGGATTGCCTCCATTACGTGACACGATAACAACAACATTCAATTTTGGACCTGTAAAACTATCTTTTCATCACTTTGGCCAGTCTTGGAGACTCCTCTCCGCATCCGATTTCGTTGTATCCCTCTCAATGGCATGATCGACAGCCACATGGCTTCTGAGAACGATTGAAATACGATGTTTACAGTACTTGTGTTGGTGAGTGCTATGTAACACTTTGATTCATAGCTGCATAGTGCTGCAAATAGATGACTCACTGTACCATTGTTTGCCACTATTGATGGCCAGGTGAACGGAAAACAACAATGATTTCATTTGCACTCATCATAGAATGGAACATGCCATATACCCTCCACATCATCATGCGATTGAAAGCTTTACAATATGTGATGTGTAATGCAGCATCGTCCTCCCATTATTTTCCATACTGTTGTGTCCTGATAACATTGGTGAGTTAGCAATATACCAGTTGGTGGTTTATGATGGATTCAACCCATCAAAAGAATGGCAATGATCATCGAGGAAAACATCATACACATCTTGAAGACATCTTGTGTTCGCACCAACCAGTGTACCATTCCTGGTAAATGGTCATAGTTCGGCCAATTGAGGATCCATATTTTCATTTTTTTTTCCATGATTTCACCCCTCCATTGATCTCATCGCTGATCAATATATTTTAATATTCTTTTTTGATGGTGAATCCTTAAATGTTGCTGGTTAAACCGTGTTAATTCTCATGAATATCCCATCAATAGATCAGTAGTATTGCAGTAGTATTTGTATTCCATCAACTATCCCAGTATTTTCCAAACTCTTATATCATTTTATGTCTTATTAATCCCATCAATAGATGTATTGATGGCATCCCAGATCTGTTGATGGGATCAATGATCTATTGATATCCCAGATCATCCCAGATCTATATCCTGTTATATAACCATCATTTTCCAAACCCAAAAGGGCACCGGTTACCGGTCCAGATCCCGGTCTGGCACCTGCTGAGAGCATCGAGGCCTTGCAACAGCACCGGCATGACCTGGGCCCAGAAAGATGTCAAGATGGAGATCCTCTCGTAATCAAACGTGGCAATTGAAAATTCTGGTTTTAATATGTTTTAAAAGGGTTTCAATGGGAAAATCCTCTATCACTTTTCCATTGCCATGTTTGATTACCGGAGGGTAAACCTTCAACAATTCTGGTAGCTACTGTACATACTGTAGACATCTGTAGACTGTATACTGCAGTGTGTGGATTATATCCGAATGGTATATCAGAAGATGCCAGTTTGACTCGACCCTGTATTCCCATGATGGATTGTGTTTGATGGTCAATCGAACCTCAGAGAGTGTCCAAGCGCTGGTCATGATCCTGATTGGATGAAGATGTGCTGGATATATCTGGATATAGCATGATATAGCATTGTAATATGGACTGGGGTCAGTTGACCCCAATGCCCTAGTTTTCAATGGATGAACTCATCCAACCATCCGTCTCACGGTCCCATTTGGTCACGAATTTCCAGACGCCGCCGGGTGACGTCATTCTCCATGAGGTATACGTCGAAATCTCCATCCGCCTGATGCTATCTATCAAGTGGGTCGAATAATAAACCCAAAGAATATCCCCAACAACCACAAAAAAAACGCGAATTTCACAACAAGTGAGACATGTGTAATTATGGCCCAGCCCTTCTTACTCTGGAGGCCGGGCGCGCTAGGCGCAATCACAGCGCAAACACTTAATGAAAACCACCTATAGGGCTCATATCTGTCTATGGTGTGCCAGCGCAGTAAATCGTTTAAAACCAAAACGTTCCAAAACTAAAATATATAGTACAACCGGCACTACAAATTTTAGAATTTTGCAGGATTCTTTTCACCACCACCACTACTACTACTACTGCTACTACTACTACTACTGCTGCTGCTGCTACTACTACTACTACTGCTACTACTACTACTGCTACTACTACTACTACTACTGCTGCTGCTGCTGCTACTACTACTACTACTACTACTGGCTACTACTACTACTACTACTACTACTAATGGCTACGACTCCTGCTGGTGGTGCTGCTACCAATAATTATTACGAATACCATTATTACTATCACCACTTCCACTTCTAGCACCACCATCCATCATACATCATCAAACTATACTTCTGACTTATTGGTAGCTGTAAGCCATCTTGATTGCGGTGCCGATTCCGACGTCAAATTCCGGCGCCTACTGCTGCTGCTACTACTACCACCACTGGTACCACACGGTGGGAAACAAAATGGGTGACAAGGGTAGAGACAAAGTGGGGGACAACGTGGGAGACAGAGTATGCGACAAGCTATAGTTTGAGACAAAGTGGATCAAAGTGAAGACAAAGTGGGAGACAATATGGCTTCAATATGGAAGACAAAGGGAAATAAAAAGGGCCAGGGTTCATTTTCTCGATGTGGTTGTAACTAAATAGGGGGTTCGGGTACCCATCCAACACACAGCTTGAACAGGCGCATGCCCGACTTCATTACCACGGCATTCGCAGCCCCTTTTCTATACTTTACCATGGCACTTTCATGTGCCCACTGCCTGGAGCCTCAGAACTTTTAGACCGGAGACATCCCAACTTTCGAGATTTTCGGTCTAAAGCAGTGCTGTGACAGGAAAAACCATCGGCTAGTCTCTGCAAAACACCCATGAATTTCAGAGCTGCAAAGCTTGAAGGGTCAATACTTTGGCGTTCTTTGTGACTCTGTGACATGCTGCACATATTTCACCATCTTGCATGTCCAAGAAACGGTTCCAATTGAAGGCTCAAAAGCGTTTCAGGCATGAGAAGAAATTCAGGAAGATTTACAGCTGGAGTTTTCAGAGCAAGAGCTCTACAGCATCTGACATTTCATCATTGTATACGATCAGACACACATGCGCGCGCGCACACACACACAGGCTGCCAGGCTGCTCTCGACTTTCTTTTCCAGATTGCTTTCAGGTTGCTTGCCATGCGTTTCCAAGTGTTTTCAGATTCCTTGCATGGGAGATGTGCATTCAAAGCGGCCGCTTTGAATTGGCTTACTCTTTCTGCATGCTGACTAGAACACGTGTTTCAAAGTTCCCTTCAGATTGCTGGCACGCTGCTCATTTCAGATTCCTTCAGATTCCTGCGCATAATGTTGTTAGATTTGTTACATTGGAGCTCGGCTTTCAAAGCGTCCGCTTTGAATTCGTGTCCTGTGAAGACTGAGCCATTTCTAGAGGAAATTGAATACGGGTCAAAAAATCCTTCAGACTTGTTCCAGGCTCCTTTCAACAGCGTTTCAGATTGGTTTTTGGGCATTTTTAGAATCCGGCTTTCCTTTCAAGACGAAGGCATGCGATACAGGAACTCTCGCATGCATGTGGAATGCTACTTTCTCCCCAAAGCATGCCCGCACTGAGGCTGTCTCGTAGTAACTGTACAAGCCGGGTTTTAATCAGGGTGCTCGCTCTGATCTTCGGCCTTTGTCCGCAGGCTCGCGCAAAAGTTTCCTTTTCGACTGCGCATGCTCGCAGTCGCACAAAACAGGTTTCTCGCTTTGCTCGCTCGTTTTTTGAGCTATGTCAATTTTTCATGGCGCACGTGGGGCATCCAGGACACTTTTGAAGTCTGAAACGTTGTTTTGCGTGGCAGGTGCAAGCCATCGGACACTTCTTCATTCGCATGGCAGGCATGGGATTTTCTGCAAGGACCTAAAGCGTTGGCAGATGTGGGTTGACATGAGAGGTGGTTGCGGATGCCATCTGTCATCACAATATTTCTTACAAGTGGACTTCAAGTTTTGAAAGGTCTCGTTTTGTGAAACTGCTGTGATCTTGGATTTGGGACATGACGGTTTCGCGTGGCTTGTGTGGTACTTCGCATTTCTCTTGCTCATTTTTCATGCCTTTTTCGCTAGACTTTGCTTACTTTACCAATTTCAAGTATTTTAAAACCTTGGTCAAACATCGCTGCTTTTCGATCCCCAATTTTGGTGGTGCGCACAGTCTTTGTGGTGAAAGTCCAACGTGTGCTCGTGCAACCATCTCGGCCCTCGGCATTTTGCGTCTATCAAAAATTGCTTCATTGTGGCGTGGTGGCAAAATTTCACTCACGCAACCCTCTCGGCACTTTGTGCGTGTCAGATCGCTCTCGTTTTAGCCTAGTACGAATTTTGACATCGCTCTTGCAACCATCTCCGCACTTTCTGGGTGTCAGATCGCTCCCACGAGTGCACGGTGCGAATTTTGTGCTTGCTCACGCAACCATCTCACCACTTTCTCCATGCCAGATCCAGTCAGATCGCTCTCCTTGGCACGCGTGGTGCTCACTTTGTGACATGATCTCGTAGAGAGCGCGGTGACTTTCTGGAGGAGGTTTCTGCGTGATCTTGTGCGGATTCTACTGAGAAAATCTCTTAGAGATCCTACTGAAAGCCTTGACGAGATCCTCGCATGATCTTGTACAGGTCCTTGTGAGAAGACTTTTGAGAGATCCTGATCCTGTGGAAATCTTCTAAGACGTTCCTGTATGATCTTGTACTTACATGTCCTTATGAGAAGATCTTTGTAGATACTGGTGAAATCTTCTGACACCGCAATACACCGCATGACCTTGGACAGGTTCCGTGCTAAGATCTTGTAGACATCCGGGAGAAACTATTCAGAGGTCCTTGCATGATGTTGTACAGCTCCTTGTCGTAAAGACAATGGTGAACCCGGTGAACCCCAGACCACCTTGCATGATCCGGTACAGGTTTTTTCGGGGGTCCAAGTGAATTTTGTCACAGGTCTCTGCATGCATTTCGAAGATGCTCTGTGTGCCAGGTGCTTGCATGAGAGTTCTTGTGGGATGCTCTTAGGAAGTTCTTGCGTGAAGATCTTGTTAGATCCTCTAGACTTGAAATCGCGTGGCATTTTCCTAGATTTCCTGATCTGAGGGCCTCCTGTGAGGCCCCGGTCAGTAGACATATTGTGGCTCCTTGTGACAAAAGCACATCCCTGCTGCTGCAGTTCCGAGGCTGCGTAACCTAATCTGCTACTGTTTCCGTAGCTGCTGAAGCCTGTAGCTTCGATATAGATTTCCTATCTGCCGCACTATTTGGGGTCTCTTGACGGTGTAATAAAATCATTTCAATTCCATTTGAAACGTTCTTTCTGAGTGCTCCCAGGCTGCTCTCGGCTCCTCCTTCCAGACTGCTTTCAAGTTTTTTGACTCATCGTGCTGTAGATGGGGACCGGACATTCAATTTTAAAGCCGTTTCAGACCCGTTTCAAACCTTTTGTCGGACAGCCCGTGTGCTGCTGTCAGATTCCCCTCTGTCACAATCTTTTCAGGTTCTGATTCCTTGTGACAAGGTGCTTTCGGATTCCTTACATGAGATTCCGTACATGGGAGTTGGGCATTCAAAGCGCCCGCTTTCAACCCAGTATCTTCTCGAAAATGGGAGTTGGGCATTCAAAGCGCCCGCTTTGAACCCTGTATTTTTGAAAATGGGAGTTGGCATTCAAAGCGCTTGCTTTGAACCCGGTATCTTTTTGAAAGTGGCAGCTGGTAACCATATGCAAATGCTGGTGGGCCAGCTTTGAAGCGGCTTCAACTTTTTTCACGTTTGCCAATCTTCTTTCAAAATGGTTCTCGCTGCTCCAGGTTCCTGTCTGGGCATTTTTTTTGGCAAATTCCTTCTGCAGGCATTCAAAGCGCCAGCGCTGAACGAACATATTGACAAACCAGCAGCTCAGACTCGGAACACACACCTGGAATCACGTGACAGTTGCCAATGAAAGAAAGAAGGCCTCTATACCATCATTTTCGAAGGAACCGTCAACCAGTCAATACCCTTGGCCGCTATAACTCTAACAGTCGGTTAAAGGTGATGAAACTTTTAGATTCGTCCCCTTTAACCGCATGTGCAGCCAGGACCGCGAAAAGGTGACATTTTTTCAATAGCAAAATCAAAAGGCACAGGTTCGTTCCCCTTAATCGCCTGAGATGGCTGCAAGGCTAAGGGGCACTTTAGGGGTGCTAAAGGTGATGAAACTTTTAGATTCGTCCCCCTTGAGCGATGTCAAGGCGCACAGCGATCGAGGGGCTCAAAACGTCTTTTAGATTTGTCCTCCTTGAGCAACATCAAGGCGCGCAGCGATCAAGGGGCTGTTTGAGCCCTCGAAGTAAATATTACGTTTTGAGCCCCTTGATCGCTGTGCGCCTTGACGTTGCTCAAGGAGTGTGTTCCGAGTCTGAGCTGCTGGTTTGTCAATATGTTCGTTCAGCGCTGGCGCTTTGAATGCCTGCAGAAGGAATTTGCCAAAAAAAATGCCCAGACAGGAACCTGGAGCAGCGAGAACCATTTTGAAAGAAGATTGGCAAACGTGAAAAAAGTTGAAGCCGCTTCAAAGCTGGCCCACCAGCATTTGCATATGGTTACCAGCTGCCACTTTCAAAAAGATACCGGGTTCAAAGCAAGCGCTTTGAATGCCAACTCCCATTTTCAAAAAATACAGGGTTCAAAGCGGGCGCTTTGAATGCCCAACTCCCATTTTCGAGAAGATACTGGGTTCAAAGCGGGCGCTTTGAATGCCCAACTCCCATGTACGGAATCTCATGTAAGGAATCCGAAAGCACCTTGTCACAAGGAATCAGAACCTGAAAAGATTGTGACAGAGGGGAATCTGACAGCAGCACACGGGCTGTCCGACAAAAGGTTTGAAACGGGTCTGAAACGGCTTTAAAATTGAATGTCCGGTCCCCATCTACAGCACGATGAGTCAAAAAACTTGAAAGCAGTCTGGAAGGAGGAGCCGAGAGCAGCCTGGGAGCACTCAGAAAGAACGTTTCAAATGGAATTGAAATGATTTTATTACACCGTCAAGAGACCCCAAATAGTGCGGCAGATAGGAAATCTATATGGAAGCTACAGGCTTCAGCAGCTACGGAAACAGTAGCAGATTAGGTTACGCAGCCTCGGAACTGCAGCAGCAGGGATGTGCTTTTGTCACAAGGAGCCACAATATGTCTACTGACCGGGGCCTCACAGGAGGCCCTCAGATCAGGAAATCTAGAAAAATGCCACGCGATTTCAAGTCTAGAGGATCTAACAAGATCTTCACGCAAGAACTTCCTAAGAGCATCCCACAAGAACTCTCATGCAAGCACCTGGCACACAGAGCATCTTCGAAATGCATGCAGAGACCTGTGACAAAATTCACTTGGACCCCCAAAAAAACTTGTACCGGATCATGCAAGGTGGTCTGGGGTTCACCGGGTTCGCCATTGTCTCCACGACAAGGAGCTGTACAACATCATGCAAGGACCTCTGAATAGTTTCTCCCGGATGTCTACAAGATCTTAGCACGGAACCTGTCCAAGGTCCTGCGGCGTCAGAAGATTTCACCAGTATCTACAAAGATCTTCTCATAAGGACATGTAAGTACAAGATCATACAGGAACGTCTTAGAAGATTTCCACAGGATCAGGATCTCTCAAAAGTCTTCTCACAAGGACCTGTACAAGATCATGCGAGGATCTCGTCAAGGATTTCAGTAGGATCTCTAAGAGATTTTCTCAGTAGAATCCGCACAAGATCACGCAGAAACCTCCTCCAGAAAGTCACCGCGCTCTCTACGAGATCATGTCACAAAGTGAGCACCACGCGTGCCAAGGAGAGCGATCTGACTGGATCTGGCATGGAGGCAGTGGTGAGATGGTTGCATGAGCAAACACAAAATTCGCACCGTGCACTCGTGGGAGCGATCTGACACCCAGAAAGCGCGGAGATGGTTGCAAGAGCGATGTCAAAATTCGTACTAGGCTAAAACGAGAGCGATCTGACACGCACAAAGTGCCGAGAGGGTTGCGTGAGTGAAATTTTGCCACCACGCCACAATGAAGCGATTTTTGATAGACGCAAAATGCCGAGGGCCGAGATGGTTGCACGAGCACACGTTGGAGTTTCACCACAAAGACTGTGCGCACCACCAAAAACTGGGGATCGAAAAGCAGCGATGTCTGACCAAGGTTGAAAAAACTTGAAATTAGTAAAGTAAACAAAGTCTAGCGGAAAAGGCATGAAAAATGAGCAAGAGAAATGCGAAGTACCACATAAGCCATGCGAAACCGTCACGTCCCAAATCCAAGATCACAGCAGTTTCACAAAACGAGACCTTTCAAAACTTGAAGTCCAATTGTAAGAAATATTGTGATGACAGATGGCATCCGCAACCACCTCTCATGCCAACCCACATCTGCCAACGCTTTAGGTCCTTGCAGAAAATCCCATGCCTGCCATGCGAATGAAGAAGTGTCCGATGGCTTGCACCTGCCACGCAAAACAACGTTTCAGACCTCAAAAGTGTCCTGGATGCCCCACGTGTGCCATGAAAAATTGACATAGCTCAAAAAACGAGCACCGCGCGCTGATAAAAGTAGACCTTGGAAAGTGGGCAAAGCGAGAAACCTGTTTTGTGCGACTGCGAGCATGCGCAGTCGAAATGGACATGGACATCTCACAAGGAAACTTTTGCGCGAGCCTGCGGACAAAGGCCGAAGATCAGAGCGAGCACCCTGATTAAAACCCGGCTTGTACAGTTACTACGAGACAGCCTCAGTGCGGGCATGCTTTGGGGAGAAAGTAGCATTCCACATGCATGCGAGAGTTCCTGTATCGCATGCCTTCGTCTTGAAAGGAAAGCCGGATTCTAAAAATGCCCAAAAACCAATCTGAAACGCTGTTGAAAGGAGCCTGGAACAAGTCTGAAGGATTTTTTGACCCGTATTCAATTTCCTCTAGAAATGGCTCAGTCTTCACAGGACACGAATTCAAAGCGGACGCTTTGAAAGCCGAGCTCCAATGTAACAAATCTAACAACATTATGCGCAGGAATCTGAAGGAATCTGAAATGAGCAGCATGCCAGCAATCTGAAAGGAACTTTGAAACACGTGTTCTAGTCAGCATGCAGAAAGAGTAAGCCAATTCAAAGCGGCCGCTTTGAATGCACATCTCCCATGCAAGGAATCTGAAAACACTTGGAAACGCATGGCAAGCAACCTGAAAGCAATCTGGAAAAGAAAGTCGAGAGCAGCCTGGCAGCCTGTGTGTGTGTGCGCGCGCGCATGTGTGTCTGATCGTATACAATGATGAAATGTCAGATGCTGTAGAGCTCTTGCTCTGAAAACTCCAGCTGTAAATCTTCCTGAATTTCTTCTCATGCCTGAAACGCTTTTGAGCCTTCAATTGGAACCGTTTCTTGGACATGCAAGATGGTGAAATATGTGCAACATGTCACAGAGTCACAAAGAACGCCAAAGTATTGACCCTTCAAGCTTTGCAGCTCTGAAATTCATGGGTGTTTTGCAGAGACTAGCCGATGGTTTTTCCTGTCACAGCACTGCTTTAGACCGAAAATCTCGAAAGTTGGGATGTCTCCGGTCTAAAAGTTCTGAGGCTCCAGGCAGTGGGCACATGCAAGTGCCATGGTAAAGTATAGAAAAGGGGCTGCGAATGCCGTGGTAATGAAGTCGGGCATGCGCCTGTTCAAGGTGAAATGCCACAACTCCACCCGGACCCTGCATTTTTTTTACTAACAGCTGGAAAAAATGGACCATGAAAAGGGCACGCACAGTGGGAGACAAAGTGCGAGACACACTCTGAGACAAAGTGAGAGACAAAGTGGGAGACAGAGTGGGAGAAACAGTGGGAGACAATGTCGGGACAAGCCGGGACACAGAGTGAAAGACAGAGAGGGACACAGTGGGAAACAAGCTGGGAAACAAAGTTGGGGACAAGTGGGAGACAAAGCAGGAGAGAAAGTGAGAGACCAAGCGGGAGACACAGTGGGAGACAAGGTGGGACACAAGCTCGGAGACAAAATGAGAAGTGGGAGACACAGCGGGAAACAAGTGGGAAATCAGGTCAGGGACAAATGAGCATCAGCAGCAGGAGGAGCAATAGTTGTTGTAGTCGTAGTAGTTCAGTAGTACTGGTAGAACTGGTGGGAGTACTGGTGTGCCCGCTTTGTCTCTCAGTTTGTCTCCCAGCTGTGTCCCACGTTGAATTTGGTATCCTCACTGCTGTTGCGTTGCAAAGCTGGATTAATTCTTTGGAACCTTGCCTGGGAATCTGTTCTTGGCAGCCTATTCTGAGGAATCTGTTCTTTGGAATGCGGATTTGTGCTGCTCCAACCTGCTCCGAAACCTTTACTATGGCTGAAGACCCCAAGCTTACGCCGTTGGGGAAAAACTTTGGAGGTGTAGTCACATAACGCAGGTCATCATCCAAAATCAAATCTACTGGTCTGAATCCGATGATGACCTGCGTGCTGACCCTTTGTTTGTCTCCGAATGGTTTCAAACGGTTTGGTATATCAGAATACCTAATTCAATCTAACTAATGGGTTCGCTTTTCAGTAAGGAACATATGATCATATATATATATGATTATTATATGATATTATATGTATGTATCACATCCATTTACATCCAGCTATCTCTTGCTGAGTAGCGTCTTTTCAGGTCTTTTCGCTTCTGTCGGTGGCCCGCCTCTGCCATGGGCAGCAGCAGCGACGTGAAGTACTTGCCATTGAGCTTCAGCTCCTTCAAGGCCTGACGGAAAGAATGGGATCCCAAACCCATGACGGATCCTAACGGTGCTGCTATATATGGTGTGCCATGGATCCCATCAGTATACCCCAGTCATGTTAGATACCATGGACATGGATCCGTCATGGGAAACATGGGAAAGTGAAGAGGAATCCACAGGATCCACCACTCAGGATTTTCTAGGCTAATCGAACAGGTAAGAATCAATTATTGATATAATATTACTGAATCAATTATTGAAAGTCAGTAATATGAATCTAGGTAATATGAATCAATTATTGACATTTGGGAATGCGAACAGATTCATATTACTGACTTTCTTCATTTTGCTTGAGCCATCAAATCACAAGAAATTGACCAACCAGGTAACCAGCCCGAAAGTGAGACAAACCGCGGAACGCTCCGGTGGTCATCAGAGATTACAAGAGTCATGAGACATTCATGAGACACCCTGGTACACCTGGTGAACACCAAAACAGATGGGATTTGTGGATGGTATAGCCATTTCATTATCAGTAAATTTATGTTGTTCCTTTTAGTTATATAATATAAAGCGCATTAATATCAATATATGAATTGGAATCACAACATATCAAAACTATATAATATAGTAATATAGAGCTCTAGTCTAGAGTGAATAAATTTAGTATATAGGGGATTGTTCAAAATTACGGTTCCTCAAAACTGCCCTTTCGCCGCCCTTTCGCGAACCTTTCGCGCCCTTATGAACGACTCCCATATGAATCATATGAATTATATTCTAATTGGTGGTTTCAACCTCCCTGGATTGTTCATGTTTAATTGATCTGGTCTGGAAAGGCCTGCCCAGGTGTCAGGTTAAGCTGAGTTGGATAGGATGTTGGCAGCTTTCAGCATCATCCAGTATATATGACTTCCCCAGGAGTCTTCGATGAACGGGGGCTATGTTAATATCTTGGTTTTTTGTTCTCCTGTGCTACGTTAGATTTCACCGGCGTAGTCAGATTGGATCATCATCCCAACTATTGGGCAAAATATTTCAGCCATGTTCCAAACCACCAATCAGTATATTTCATCCATGGCATCATTGGAATCAAAAGTTGACTCCCAAAGGCCTGCTCCTGCGCCCTGGAGACTGGCATGGCGCTGCCTGGATGGTGATTTTGCATCGGGGTTTCAAACGAAAAAATGGTGAATATTGACCAGACTTATCATGTTGGATAGGAACATGATAATAGGAACTTATCAGAGGATTTTCCTATTCATATATGATTCATGTCAAAATTAGGAAATTATAGGAAACTCGAATCTGATAAATCGATCATATGAATGCGATTGATCCAAAATTCAAATAGAAAGATGGGGTTCAACAAGCTTCACAAAATCAATTTCCTCAGGGTGGTTGGAAGATGTGTGGATCTTTGGTTTTCAACGGCACTTATCAAGTCATCCTGATGTCCTCAAAAGCCTCAAAAGCCCCTTGCGGCGCCTGCACTGAAGCTGTCAGCTGTCAACTGGTAGCAACGATTAGAAGGAATGGAGACAGCTTGCTAAATCCTCCCGTTCTTGACTTGCTAAATCCCTGCTGATGGCTTCTGAAATCCTCAAAGTCTTTGCACTTGGATTTTTTCTCTGCGTGGGGCATATGCCTTAAGCTTTGAGCTGAATGGCATGCGAAAGTGGTATAATGGAACCCCATATGCAAAAGAGGGAGATCAAGCGGATTCTTGCACCTTGGCTGGTTCTTTCAGCTCCCAAGATCATCTCTGATAGGATGAAGGGTACAATGGTAACAGTGGTAACCTGGTAACATATATATATGTATATAATATATCTTTATATCTTATATATCTAAAGCATTCTGAAACCACCAATCAGTCTTGATCGAGGTCATATCTGACCCCCCCACAAAAGCAGCAAAGGCAGAACCTGCTGCATCTGGCACACGTGTTCGGGCAAAATCGTGGTCCGTCAGCAGGGAAACGGACAAGAAAAAACAAATCATGAATATTCATGAACATTAACACAATATAACATAATGATACATAATGAACTATTAAATCATTAACTATTCATGAACAGTAACATCATGTAACACTTCCAACTATTCATTTGAACATTTGAGAGCGCCAGCGCTCGTGGGATCCCGAGGGCACATCCCGTCTTGGATTTCACCCCGCGGCACCTGTTTTTTTGCACGTCTGACTCCATTCGCATCCTTTCAGACCCAGCAAGTCGGCAACGAAGTTCTCTAAAGACTTGCGCTGAACGCAACATTTGTCTGAATTAGTTGGAACATGTATGATATTTAAGTGGAAATTTAATGAAATTGATGCAAATATTAGAGGACGTACAAAACATTACACAACCTGAACCTTCAACAAACAACTAATGTATGATTTTATATCTATATTTATATATATATACATACTTTGCGTAGGGCATAGCCAACTTGTTCCAATAACATTGCAAATTGACAAAATCTTAGCAGAATTCTTAGTTCCATGAGGTTCACAAACTGTGGAATGCTTGAGGAAAGGATCAAAGGAACATGTTTATCAAAGGATCCAGAAAGATTCTGCCTAACAACACCCTCAGTTTAGGCACTGCGGTGAACATTTACACACACGTCGAATTAGTATGTATGTGGATTGAAGATGTTTGACACACAAAAGCTGTCACGGTGGTCCAGTGGGCATCTGCTATGTCAAAAAAAAACTGCTGCTGGAGTCTGCTTGTGACACGCGCTGTTCAGCGCGCCACTTGGTGACACGACGCTCTGTGAAACGGGCTGCAGCCAATTGAATTCAGCGCTTCGCACTTGATTCGTGCAGCGATCTGGTGACACAACGGCGAGGGAAGCAGGTTTCCGTTGTCGGCCCGGTTGTCATCAATTCCACATGACTTTTGCTTGGCATGATCAAACAACCAAAGGATTTTTTATACACAGCATTCACAGCATTGAGTTTCTTAGAGATGTGTGAAGTACAGCAAAGTACCATAGCTGCCATAGCTAGCTCTCACTTTTTGCATGGGCACCAAATGGTTCCGAGCCCCCTATCGACGTTCACTGGCGATTGGCGGTGACCTTGGTTCAGGGAACGTCTTGGCTGATGGTCACATAACTGAAGTACCAACGTTTTGTTTCTGAATTGACCAGCAAGTCGTGACTTGTTTGTGTCTCCATGCAATTGTCTCAGTATGTCTCAGTCATATTATGACTGATGATGTCATTTTCACGTTCTGATACTCTAAGAGGGTTTTTCAAGAGGTTTCTGATCAATACCAATCATGTATCCTAATTCCATACACTGACATGGCTTCGTCCGAAAGTAGGGTAGGGTACCCCAGCTTTGATGGTTGATCATTGCATGGGAATCCTTCTGGAATCCCGTTGAATCCCCATGATCATGCTTGTGAAATGTTATGAATGGATACCCGGCCTGGTAAACATACAAAAAGCTATTGAAAGTGGCCAAAGAAATAGTGGACTTTCCCATTAAAAATTGTGATTTTCCAATATTTTCCATAGTTTTTTGTATGTTTACCATGTTTACCAGTTTACCAGAGGGTATTGATGACATTTGACCCCCAGCTCCCAAGATGGTTCAAGTCTTGAGCTGCTCGCGGTGGTATAAATGTGACCGCCCTTCTTTCGGAAGAGATTGATCTCTGCCTGGGCCGGCAGTGGTTGTCGCTCTCCGCGCAAGGCTTGGTGCAAGTGCTGTTTGCTTTCTCCAATCATACAAACATGTACCCACCTGATACAAACATGTACCCAAATTATCTGTTGCATCAGTGCAGACCCAAAAACGTCCAACATATTGTGATTATCATCATCATCATCATCATCATCATCATCATCATCATCATCTCCATCTCAAATGTTCCAATTTTATCCAATTTTTGTGGCTGTCGGTGGTCACTTCATCCTGGTACCCTTCTGGTCACACCATGTCACAGCCGGGATATGCCGGGATTTAGTTTATAGACGTTCCTTTAAAAAAACTGGTGCAACCCGGGTTGAAAATCCCAATCCTTCACGGCTATCAAAAGCCTGGCACCCTAAGTACCCTAAAATAGCTGGTACTGGATGGTAATGGATGGTAATAGATGGTAATGGATGTTTAATCCCCAAAAAACTAATCAAAATTTGATCATCTGGTGATTTCCATGGCTAACTTGACCCAATCCCTACATCCATCCATGGCTTCCACGTGCCGAAAAAAAAACCGCCGAGATGTCAGGTCCGTCGGCACCGTGCCTTGAGCGTGGCGATCTCTTTGGATTGAAGCGACAGCAAGTCTTTGCAGCGGTCTCTCTCCTGCGAGTCGATACGGAGCCGACCCGGTCGGAAACCGAGTCGTGGGTTAGTGGGTTATGAATGGATGCCAATGATGCGATGTTCCATGGATTGTCACAATTCTCCATCATTTTCCCAGTTTTATGGAAAAAGCGAGAAAGCTTTTTCCATGAGGCAGCTTTGAAGAGGTTTTCAAAGTGTGGGACTTCAATAAACAAATGAGGATGGCAAGGGGAGAAACGATTTAAAATGCTGAAGTGACAGCTCAAATATCTCGGATTCAGTGGTTTTATAGAGTCATAATCTTCAATTGTCATTGGCAAACCATGCTTTATCAATTGATCTTTACAAACATATCTGCTTGGTGGTTGAGCCACCCCTCTGAAAAAAATGAGTTCGTCAGTTGGGATGATGAAATTCCAAAGATATAGAACAATAATCCATTCATGTTCCAAACATTTCCAAACCACCAACCAGATATGGACAATTCGACAGCTTTATCAGTGTATCATGATATATCCATCGTGTATCCCATGATTTGCACATCAACTTCTTCGGCCACTGAGCGTTCGTGCCATCTCTCGCAGCTCATTCAACGGCTCGTTGTCGTTGACCGTGACCTTGGCAAACTCAATGGGGATAAATGATGGTTTATATTGTGATATATTCTGGATCAATGAAGACGAATTATAATATGGGATCAATAGATAAAACATGATAAAACATGATAAAACATTAAAAAACATGATAAACCATGATAAACCATGATAAAACCGATATGATCTACGAAATCCTAAGTCGATTTGTGATGAACATCCATCAACACCACCGCTCCATCGAGGTGATTCGAGCTTCCAACATTGGCGATGCGCGCGTTCAGTGCAGCGTCCAACTGCATCTGTGAATAGCCTGCTGGATGTGGAACTGGCGGCGTTTCCGAGGAATCTGCAGATTTTGAACGATTTGGATTTGGATTCACTGCGGATGTAGTATCCAAAGATTTGGAGAATGGAGTTGGATTCTCAAAACTGTTTTCCCCAACATCATTTCCCATAGGATCCATGTATGCTGTATATGGTAACATATGATAACATTTACCATCAATATACCCCCAAGGTTAGCATATATATACATATATATATATATATATATTTATACCATACATGGATCCTATGGGATTGGAGAGTTTCAAATCCTCAAAAAATCACCCGCCACTGGTAGGGCCGAATGGAAAACACCAATACCACTTGTGCCGCCATATAACTAGTAGTCCTAAATCTTGTGCCGCTGACAATCTGCTGAGGAAGGAACCCATACTGACAATCTGCTCCATCAGGGAGGTGTTGTCGCAGGTGATCTTGGTCAGTTCCTTCTTCTGTTTCTCCATCCTGATCGCTGTGACTGCAAGGTAGCAACCCAAAGGAAGTCAACTGTGCCTTTGTTGGATGATATTGGAAGTTGAAAAGAGAGCAGGGACAATTATGGAACGCCCTATTCTATCTATTCTGAACTCCGCTCCAGTGGTTTCTGCCTTCTTTTTACCCAGAGTTTCAGTCACTTGGATCACTTTATTGGCAGTGTGTCAAAACCTTGTACCCCTGTAGTTCACATCAAAATAGCTGGGATTCATGGATGTTCATCCCCCTAAAAATGGTATTAATAGGTATTGATCCATACCCTTATGCCACTTTTACACAGCATATCCAAAGATGCCCCCCATCGACATGCCATCGATCCGCACAAACGCCACACCTCTTCTGCCACTCAGCGATGCGGCGCCGGTGCTCGGCTTCTGCCTGGAGAACCTTCTCCTGCAACTCCTGCCGTGCCGAATGGAGTCCGAATGGATCGAAGTTCGAGGTTTCATATGGTTTTATGGGCGTCATCGACATTCAAGGACATTCAAGGACTATCTATAAGTTATTAAGTGCTTAGTCTTGGGAGAAGTGTGGTATGCTTTGTCAAAAGGAAAGGTGGGTTTGGGGAGATCAGAAAATCACATTTCGCACTATCGTGACTTCAGCAGGTTGTTGGACCCTTGAGCAGGGTACACCAATTTCATCCAGCAGTTTCCATGTGTCAAAATTTGGACAGAACAGATTGGAAAGAAAAAACACACATACGAAAATGACAAACATGTACCATCTTGTTATGACTAACGGTTCGCCATGGAAAATCACCATGTTTTTAATTACGGTAAACCATCTATTTCAATAGGCCATCTATACCATGGCCATGTTAGTCATAACCAGAGGGTAACATCGACCCATCGGTCCTGGACGTACTTGTTGGGCGCCGATCGTTCGATAAGATCCAAGTCAACGATCTGTCCAAACTTCAGCATCTGGATATCCTGTGCACCGTAAGGAACCAAGGGATCACCAGAAAAATGCCATGCAAAGAAAATATACAGAAATGGGCTGCAATACCAAGCAACAATAAGGGAAATGCTACAGACATAGAGCTTCAACATGCTGTAAGCAACAATGAGATTTCACCAACTGATCACGATTTGATACAAAGGTGCAATGTGCAGGTTTGAAGTTTGCCCATCTGTGTGCGAAATCATCATGGGCAATGAATAATGGAAATTCATGATGTCTACGTACAGTAATGGGAAATCTTCATGCTGAATAGGTATTGATTAATGGATCTTATCCAACAATCTATTTAGTTGGCGGGAATAACATCTAACAGGAGCACCCACCATAATCTCTAGCCAAGGTGGGTTTGAATTCTAGGTGACAATTGTTTAATTGCTTCCAAACCGGAGAACCAAAAAGCATGGTTCCCATACTGAACTGCATTGTTTAAACGGGTTGAAATTGCGGTTTGAGATCATCCAAAAATCATCAACAACCTTTTTGTCAGTTGGAATTATCATTGCAACTATAGGGTTGAAGTTGAAACAAGAGAACTCTAGTTGAAACCAGTTGATGAAAATGGACCTACTATCCATGATTAATCACTAACCATCATTGGTTAACCATCATTAACCATCATGAACCAGGCTAAAAACTTGCGGACCTTTTACACTCCCCCTCCGCTCGGACCGCAAGGCGTTGCGGGTGTCCTGGAACTTGCCGTGGAGATCCTGTGGCTTGGTGAAACCACCCCAAGGCCCCAAGGATCTCCCACAATAAATAGATCCAATCGTTTGGGTATATATATATATATTATATATATACTGTGTATATATATATATATATATCGTATATCTAATATATAATATTAATAGGAGGTCTACTTAACCAGGGATTAGTGTTTCATTTGAGAAGATATCTAACATTAGGGGGTGCAGGAATATAGTGAAAGTTCAGCTCCAAATGATACCCCAAGTGCTGAACCTCAGTTGTGGCCACAGTCCTCGATGTGTTGCAATGCCACGTTCTTGTCCTTCTTCCGCACCCGGAAGTCCCGTTGCAGCCTGGTTTGATGCCATGGACATGGGAAAATCCATGGAAAATCCATGGGGCATCCTGGGGCGCAGGCTGCTTATGTCGGGCTTTCACCTGAGCACATGCACATGACCCACAGCATAGATGGGCCCCTACTCGATGCGAATATGGGATTTCAATATGTTTCACTGGGTGGAACTGGGAGTCGATTCGGATTATCAGCCATTGACAAGGCGCCCATCATTGCAAAGACTGTTACTTGCTCACTTTTGCTACACCGCACACATTCTCAGGTGGATCAAGTTTGTGAAAAGTTCCTTTTCCACTTCCATGGATGCGTTGAAAGCTTTTTAGGCGTTCTAACATCTGAACCCAGTTTGAAACTCGACAAGGAGAAAAACTCAGCTACTAAGAAGCTGACCTGACACGGTCCCTCTACTGAACTCCGTCAGCATCGTAATTATAATTCATCTGAAAAACTTCGTATCAACAGATATCCATCCCCAACAAAAGGACCAGATCACCAAGAAATGCAGCCAGCAACATCTTCCTCACTTTCTCGCATGTTTTCGCATGGTTTTCCCGGTGAAGTCCCCCAACAAAGCCACCACGGACTGACCCCCACCTCTTTGATCTCCTGGTGCAGCTCGGTAATACGTGACATCAGCCGCTTGAGCCCCTGAGCAGTGTCTGAAGATGGGAAACATATGGAAACCTGACCACTGAGAGATATGAAGACATTATGAAACGTGTTCATAAACTATTCATAAACTTCTATACTGCTGGGTACTGTTACTGTACCATATTTTTTCAGACAAACCATGACAAGCCCCATGATTAAGATATTTTGTCACATGATTGTCACATGGGAATTCATTCTCCGGTACAACTTAACCGAACTTGTTGTAGGTCACATGCCTGATATCCAAATGGGATGCTTCCCGCCAGTGGTGCGCAGCTTCCCAATTCGCCTCGTTGGTGAAGATCACTTGTTGGCCGAGCTCAGCGGGCATTCGTTCCATCCTCAAGCAACGGCCAAGGCCGTTCCATCCAGGAGGCTTAGACTAAGTCCCGCTGACCCAAGTACCCTCTGGTAAACTAACATAGCTATTGAAAATGGCCATAGAAATAGTGAGTTATCCCATGAAAAATGGTGGATCTTTCCCATCAGTTACGGTAGTTTACCAGGCCGGGTAATCCCACTTGGATCATCTTGGATCCAGCGGAACCAATCAACAGCAATCAGCATCAATCAGCACCAATGTTGGACAAATATGGACGAATGGCGTGGGCATTTGCATCCCCCAAGACTATTTTAGAATATGACATATACCAAATATATACCAAATATATACCAAATATATACCAAATATATACCAAATATCAGCACTTGGGATTGTTCAATCATCCCAGGTAAAGGATGAACACAGTCGTCCCGCTCTGTGCCCCGGTACGCATCGCTCTCAGGGGCAAGGCATTGGACCTGCCAGCTCAAGACCTTGGGTAACAGATTTCGTCTATTTTTAGTGTTAACCATCCAATGATTGGGTACTCAATTTTGGCCGCCATATGGAAATATGCAATGACGGAATTTTGGTCATGCGCTTACCTCTTTATACCTCTTTCCCATCTTTGTTTACAAACACTCCTACAGAAAGTGTCTCCAGCTGAGCACTCGGCTCATTGGGGGCACAAATGGACCCACACAATTGACCAAAATTGTACATTTGAGGATCCAACTCTCCAATTATTTTCTTGGATCAATCATTTCGAATCATATCCAACCAATATGTCAAGCATGTCCTGAGTGTATCTGAGTGTATCAATCTTCCATCCCACTTGCTGGTTGGTAAACCACCAGCCGCGGCAGAAAGACCAGCGCCGCCTGAGAGAGCCGCAGCGCGAAGACGATTGGCACCTGCATGGCATGAATTGATCTTTTTGAGTCTTTCTGCGTTGCTAAACTGATCATGAAGGGAACAAACTCCAAACCACCCATCTTTTCTGAGGTATCATGATATATAATGATGAGATATCCACGTTTCTGGCAAGACATTCTTGTTTTTTTCAGTTGTCCCCAATCATTTTCTGGGTGAATTGCCATGTTATAGCTCCCACCTCCACACAACACCGTGCCTGGTTCAGCTTGCGCTGCTTGTCGGTTTGGAACTGTTGGATTTCTGCGTCCGTCATCTTCTGCTCCTGTCGGATGACCCTTCTGGACTCCAACGACAAAAATTCAGCCAGGGCCACTCTAAACCTAGCTACAAAGAATCTCCGAACATGGAAATAAGGATTTCCCTTATGACTTTTAAATGTATATATAGACTATATGTTATGTATGATGATCAGACACGATCTGATGGTTCATGTTTCTTGTTTCCGCTTTTTTACTCATAAGACAGGTGCAGGACCATCATGCAGGACGCGCTCGTCACCTTGTCAATGCGGCGTTCGTCATCCAGCAGCTTCTTGTGGGTCTGCTTCAGCCCCTGGCGCTATGTGAATCATCAGCAACTGCCCCATTTGACTTGTCTGAAAATTGGGAACCCCATGGCACCCCAAAAGTCAACTGATTAATACTGATGAATCATCATTTACCCTATTACACAAACCATTTTGGGGGTATACCCGGCATTTTCAAACAAACCCATTTATCAACAATTCACAAACATCAACTTAGCTTGTAGATGCACATCTTAAAATGAATAGTAGACGCTTGCTCATACTGTCGATGCTCAAACTTCACCGGCCTCGACAGCCTTCTGGATTTCTTGCAGAGCATCCTCCATCTCCAGACCTGAAGATAAGACCCCTAAAGGGACCAAGGGGGCAAGAAATCCGTCACATAACAAATCCAAGCTATGTCGCAGTAACAAGGGAATATATAGACGTATATATATATATATATACTATCGATCTCTTTTTTTCCAAACATAAACCTTCAGAAATGGGATCCATGAGTAGGTTTAGCACCTGTTTTCTCTACACATAAGTATACAGTATAACCGTTGGAGGAATTTACAACGATTGAACAATCACCACGGTGCATCACCACAATCACCACAACGATTGAACAACCACCACGCTTTAAGCCCCAAAAAAGGGGGTTGTCTGAACATAGATTAAACCAACGGTTTATCATCATATTACCGTTTTAGCTTATACACAATTCTAGGATATATTTCTAGGATTATATACTCCAAAATCATCAGGATATACACAAGGCTTGGATATACCATCATATACCCTCCGGTAATTTAACATAGCTATGGTATAGATGGCCCATTTAGTTCCTTGATTTACTGATTAAAAATGGTGATTTTCCATAGCAAATTGTTCAATTACCAGAGGGTACCCATACTGCCCTCCAAACTCAGCATGGACTTCCCTCACAGCGCTCTTTAAGATCCCAGGCGTTTATCTCGGAGATCGATGACGCTCTCGTAGATCTGATGGTCACAGCCCTGCCAATTCTGATATCGTGGAGTTCCGGAGAGGTATTCTTCTGGTTTTCTACAAATGTAGAAAATCAATGGAGGTTTTAATATGTTTTAATCTGTGTGTTAATGGGACAATCATCCATCCAAAAAGAAAGGGGATGTCTCAATTGCCACGTTTAATGATCTGTATTCCACATATTATTCCATTTTCTGGCAGCGGCAGGTGTACTGATTGGTGGATTCAAGACGTTTAAAACCTCTGAAATCGCAAAACACATATATCAGATCATATTATATAGTTGATCGATGATATAATTCTGCTCTGTGGGGGAACAATAACACAAAACCGACACCACCAACACCAACTAATACATTTATATACATTTATCCGACCAACAAAAACTTTGGATAAACAAACATGGGCCAATATCCTAACTACCAATATCTCTAATGAATTCAATTAATGACTACTCATAACCCCATTAATCATTCTAATCACTTGTGATCATATCCAAAGGATAAACCCTAATCAGAATCATATCATGCCACACAAAGTCTTTCAACTTACATGGCGTAAAACCTAGAAACAATTTGCCAATAGGTCAAAATGTCTCTTCAGGCTCTATACGCAGTGAATCGACAAAGGTGCAGGAAAGCGACCAAGAGAACACCAGTTTTGCATTTGTCATTGGTCTACTCATAACATAATTGATATGCACTAAGTATCTGCCATTTGTGATACCATAATAATGTGTATTATCTTTCTAATTCTACAATACCTTATTCACTTTCATTTGTCCTACTAAGTACAGTCATGTAATTTCAACATTTGAGCCACTTCTATGACCCAACGCTTACAACATCTTACACTTGGGATACCCGGGTTGCCCTGTCTGTCCTGTGGTGGGCCGGTGTCATCATCCTCCATATCTTCATCCTCGTCACTCTCGATATCGCTGCCCTGCCGGAGGTCGGTGTCTGCAAACATCAGCACTGGTAAAATTACTATATGATATACATATTATACAGATACAGTATATATGTTTGCCCACCAATTGGTTTCAACAATTTCTAACCAGCAAAATTGCCATGTGTTTACCTTTTATTCGTGGAATGGTTTCCAACAATGGAAAGGGGTTAGGCATATGATCCATCCAAAGCAACTCGATCATGATCACATTCCCCATCAAACAGCTATAAACCAGGAATAGGATGTCATGGGAAATCACAATTTCCAAAATGATGGGTCATGTTCATCAATTTCCCATATGGGTGTGTCTGAAAATGTCGTGTACCCCTACACCCAATGGTTTTGCTGATCATTATCCCGTTTTTAAATGCCTATTAACTATGGGAATATACCCAACATTTTCAGACAATTTCCCCATCTGTTTTCCCCTTTTGAGAGAGAAAATCAAACAGTATTCCCAGTGGTTCATCCAGCGTGCCAGGTCGTTTTATCCCAGAAAATATCTGGTTGGTGGTTGAGCCTACCCCTCTAAAAAAATATGAGTTCGGACCAGTTGGGATTATGAAATTCCCAACTGAATGGAAAGTCATAATCCACATGTTCCAAACCACCAACCAAATATCATGGGTTGTTATTCAATATTGTTATGGTAACTGGGCTATTGAATGACTATTGAATGATTAGTGAATGTGTATACAATTATCTAATGGGATGTAAGTTGCCAAATTAAATATCTACTTGTGCTGAAGGGAATATGGACACACAAGAGACACTAGCAAGAAATTTATGAAAAGAAACTAGGATGTATCAGCAAATCATATATACATATATATATAAATACATTTGCTGACGACAATCGAATGAAGGGGTTCCTAAGAGGTACAGTACTTCCCCCATAAACATCGCTTTTCGGGGGGCACAATAACTATTCAATCACCATTTCAAGTGATGTATGACCACCAAATAGGAGAGTTTTGTCAAACTCAATGGATTGGTTTAAGGGAAAAATTACAGGAAAGCCCCATATTTAATGGGAAAATCTATGGTTTCCTGTAGATTTTCCCTTAAACCAATCCATTGAAAAACAAATAGGAGAGATTAATAATATGAACATATGATGAAATCAACCAATTTAAGGATCCCTTTCACAGCCAGCGCCGCCTCATCGTCTTCATCCTCCTCATCCTCATCGAAGTCCTCCTCTTCCCCGCCCTTCTTTCGCTTGGAGCGCTTCACCTTTGGTCGATGGGAAGTTTCAAGAACACTGCGGAAAATGGGGCGACAACTGGGTATGCCTGGAAATGGGTATACCCCCAGATTCATGGGTGCACCATGGTGCACCAGTACCCCATTTTCAAACGAATCGACAAAGCCCAACTCAGCATTCGTCGCAGTTTGGATCAGCCAACCTTCTTCTTGTAGACCTTCAGCAAAGCGCTGAGGAACGGCGAATTCTCTCCCACCAAATCTGTGAACTCAGCCTGGCCCGAGGTGCAGGGTGCCGACAAAAGAGGGAATACCTTGTTACATTTCCCCAGTTGCCTAAAACATCCTAAAACATGTGAGATCATGTCAGTTTCGCGGACTTCCATCCTTGAACCAAGTCTGAGAACACAGAACACAAGCTTCGGTACATCTAATGTCTGCAATCTCTATCAGCCATCGGGTGCTATGACAAACGTTTTTGAACTTCAGCGCCAATAAATGATGTTTTGAGCAATATAACGTGACAGGCAAGCAGTACCCATAGGATCCATGTATGGTATATATGCTAACATTTGGGGTATATTGATGGTAAATGTTACCATATATAGCATACATGGATCCTATTGGGGTTCACCAGTGCGCGGTCTACTTGGGGGCCGTTCACTTCACAAAGTCCACACTGTACCGACGTTGCTGTCATGTTCTGAGACACGGGGATTGAACACCAACTATTTCAGAACTTGATGAACAGCTCGACCATCGCTTAACCATGGCTATCTGATAGCAGGGCTCTGGGCTCGTCTAAATCAATCGGCAACCATTTTTGGGGATGGACCACGGATGAGAAGAGTTCCTGATGTACCAATATCCTTACCCTCTGGTAATTTGTTACAGTTTGCTATTGAAAATGACCATAGAAATAGTGGATTTTCCCATTCAACATGGTGATTTTCCATAGTTATGTGTACGTGTACCAGAGGGTAAGTGTCAAACCATCATCAGCCGACGTCACCTGCAGGTTCTGCTCTTGAGTGTGCCACTCCTCAATCTCCGCCTAGCAGGTGGACGCACCAGCCAGAGATAGCCAGAGTATTTATTTCACCAAAGAATGGAAACCCAATGGCTGAAAGAAATAGGGCTAGAAAGTGCAATCAATGGTTCGGTTTAAGGTTATCCAACATGGCAGATTCCTTTTTGGCCAAGAATAGAGTTGATATTTATGAACAAAAATCTGCACTCTACGTATTCTTATAGCCAGGTCCAAACGTGAGTGGTTGCAAAATTGCAAAGTTTAATTTTTGCACCAGTGCACGCATGGGTTAACTTAATCAATCGTAATCACTAAACGAATTGTCCGTCTCATTGTCCCTAGAACTCAGAAGAAAATACAACAGAGAATTGACCCCAGATCCTGTGATTGGGCAGCCAAAGTAACAACATGCGTTTGGCCAGAAAACCATGTCTGAAAGTTTAGGTTGCATTCCCCGACAACATGTCCACACATGTCGTTGCTTCCCCCTACAAGACTGAACATTTCTTGCATAATATTTGAGTCATCAAGTTTGGGAAAGGGTCTCTGTTCAATATGTCCGTACATGTTTCATGTAAGATCAATCCGTACATCATCTGCACACATGAAAGAAAATTGCTTACTCACTTACATCCCCAATTTTCATCCCCAAACAGCTCCATTTTGATGTACAAAAAGTGGTCCTCAAGCTCCCCCATTGTTTCATGGCACCTTCTTCTCACTGAGCTGATCCTGACATTCCTTGATCTGGTGCATGACGCTGGTCTTATCCTGACGACACCTGGCCATCGGTGTGGTGTCGTTAAGGGCTGAGAAACTTTGGGCCCTGCGGCCGACAAAAAAAAGGTCGATAGATTCTACCATAGAAACCAGACACCAGAAATCTATGGCAAATCTATGGAAATATTGGCCATCAAATTTATGGCGGTTTTTAATCCAAAGTCTTGGTACTCAGATGATGAGAAACGAATGGATTAGACTACTCTGGATGTACATAGATTTACCTATTATTTAGGGTGTTGCATGTAGAGCCGCAAGCCATTTCAGTGTAATTACAATGATGTTCTCCAAAAAAAGTTGTCTCACTCGCCACCCATCTGGGCAAATGAGAATATCTTTTGTATCTCACAACGTTGTTAAATAGACCATAGCTGGGGATCTCCGAACTCCAGATCAGGTTGGATCCCAAATCAAATCCCCATGATTCCCCATATGTGATTGGTCGTTCCTGGCCCAATCCAGTTTTTTCTTGGTCAATCTTCATGCAAAAACAAGTAACTTGAAGGGTTAATCGCCATTGCTATTCCTTAAATCCAATCGGTTGATCATGTTGAAATATGTTGACATAATTTTAGAATCCTTCAAGCCACACTTTAGAATCATTTTAGTTGACCAAATCCCCATGTCTATCCATTTCTAGTGGTTTCATCCGGAATCATTGGTTACCCTCTCCCAAAGCCCAACTCATCGGTCAATGTTCTGGGGGAGACACACTGCTGGACACCCCTCGAATCGTCAAGGGACTTGGTTGCTTTCTTCAGCAGCGTCTCATCCTTCTCTTCCAGTTCGTTCAGGGTCAACAGCTCCTGTCGCTGAGAACTATGGGCACATGGAAATCCTAGCAATGACAAGATTTTAACCATCAAACATGTGAACCAAATTATAATTTAACCAATTTAACCATGGAAAATGGTTTAAACATGGGATACCTTCGAAAATGGTGAAACAACTGTGATTTAAACCGCAAATTTGGTGAACAATTGGGATTTAACCATCAAACATGGTCCCATGATGTCCCTTTTGGGCTTCCAATACACACAAGGCTGCAGCTGGCTGCAGCTGGTCCATCAAGATGCCCTCAGGGATGAGTCTCCTCATAGAGTACCAGCAGTTTCATCTCTGCATTTTTGAGGTCGCTCTCCAATTTGGCCTTTTCCTGGCTATGTCGTGTGCTCAACATGACATCTCTCGAAAGCTTGGGCCAGGAGGTTCCCGAAGAGGTTCCCTTGTTCAAGAACCGGCATTGAGGCATAGTGGTGGAAAAGTACTGGAGAGTTGTTAGATCATTTGGGTACACAGTTGGTCCTTGACTGCCCCAATCTGTCAACAACAAGGGACGTATGTGTATGAATTCTTTGTCCGTCCTATTCTTCCAGAAAGCTCTTGCAATTCTATAGAAGTCACCAGCAGGGGCGTCCAGAAACCAGTCTTGGCCTACCATCTGAGTACCCTTGGCATCACAGCAGGACGAAGCAGCACCCGGACAGGCACCCCCAGCCCCATAGGAATCCCGCGCCGAGCTTTTTCCACAGAATCTGCGAAGATTTCGAAGACGCTCTAATCGCTTAAAAGCTGGACCATCCACTTCTCAAGCTGTGACAAGTATTGTTCACTTGTTGTGTTCGCTGCAGTGGCATCAATGACTTTTATGCTTGTTTTCTTCACATGTATACCCAGCAGACCAGACCATGCCGTTTCGCGGCGGGTTTCAGTTGTCGACGAAGGTCTTTCGGCCTTGGAGACCTGTGGTGGCTCCACGACCGGCCAAGGAATCTTGCCAGGTGTTGTCCAAATAGGCCAAGCCTAAGGCATCGGATCAAGTCGTGTTGGGACATGGAACAGGTTCAGCTCTTTGGTGTGCACAAAAACCGTTCAAAAAAACCGGGTTGACGTGAATTTTGGCCGTCAAATATATACATACATAACTCATATATATATATAATCAATTATATACATGTATATACATATATCATATACATATACATATATAATCATATATACATATTACAGTAATATTACATATTTATATAATAATTATAACAAAAGACATGTGAAGTGTGTCCTTTGAGATCCTCATTTTCGGCTATCAGGCCAAGGAGCCCACAAAGTCCCAGGTCGCAGGGTTCAAACAGACGGCCTTCTCCAGGAATGCAGTGTCTGCTGGGCCGATCAACTTCTGACCCAGGTCGAACTGTGCAAAGACCTAGGGGCCGGGGCTAGGTGGGTGCCAGCTGAGCAGCTGAGGTGCCGAGTCAAGATCTGAATGGAAAAAAAAATGCATTTCGGGAACGGGACACAAGGTCTCAACATCTCTGTATAGTCATCGATCTGGTATCCAATGAATCTAATCCTTTGCGATGAAATGGTTTCTTCTTCAGCATCACAACAATTATCCGACTTTGACTTTTGAATGAAGCTTGTTAGCAGAATGGGAACAACCAAACAGCAGCTGCCTGCCATGTGTTTCTTTAGTCAAGACGCGTCTCGAGATCCATAAATCGCCTTTCGCAAACCAATTTCTCCGATGGCACCCCACAAGACTGTGGTGGAATACCTCGGCTTCATTCGGGAGCGATAAGTTCAGCCATCAGGACCCGGGGTTTTTAATACAATATAGATATATCATGATATATCTCGATATGTATGTTTAAATTAGACAAACAATGACAAACATATTATAATATTATCACTATTTAACGTACGGGAACTTTTCAAACCCCCGTAGTTGATAGCGAACGTTGTGAAATGGCGATGTGAGGTGATGGCCAGTCCTTACCATCAGTGCGGATACTTGAAGCAAACGGGTCTGAAACAGACAACGAAACCTGGGAAAACCCCAAGATCTCATGGTTGATGAGCATTGTTCCTATTAAAACGGCCATAGAAAGGGCGTACCCTCCAGTTTGAGACAGACCTAAATGCTGAGTTGCACCATGATTTGCACATCTAGTTCTAGTATGTTCTAGTAGCTTCATAGCCTGAAAATGCATAGCGTTTGGAGTTTTTCCGGGTGCACATCTCAAACACGACAGCGTATCATTATGTTCTTAAAACAGTACTTCGTCCATGAGCTGACTCAGCATGAAGTCTAAGTTCATCTCAAGCCACCCGGAAGCTTCTCAGCATGTTCATGCATTTTAAAATGTTCAGGTCCTTGCAGCCTTAAACAAAACCTCAACTGGTTGGTGGTTTCAACCCCTCTGAAAAATATTAGTCAGTTGGGATGATTATTCCCAATATATGGGAAAAAAAAATGTTCCAAACCACCAACCAGTCAAATATTTACAAATAGGGCACCCGGGAACCCAAAATCATCTCAGGTTCCCCAATCACATAGCAACAAATTGAGTTGCAAACCACCATTTTGCAATCTTTTCCCACTCAAACAGCTATAAAATGGTGATGACACGTGATGACTTCATTTTTGAATTCCCCTTGTTCCCCCAATAAAATAGTTGTGAAATGCCGTAGATTCTGGGTAAATAAATTATCATATATCATGATTCACTAACCTGAAATCAAAAGGCTGTTTACCTTTGATGAAGGCCCCCCCCTGCCAAGTCCCAAGGGGAGACCCGCGGACGATCTTCGTTTTCCCTCCCATATTAGGAGTAGTGAGTAGTGGAACTTAATTATGCTCCTGTCTATGTCGTCAAACTTCTGCCTGGCCATTCTTTGCCATCTTTTCCCTTTCCTTCCATTCCAAACTGGTGTTTCGTTTTTCCACCTCCCGTTTGCTCAGAGTGTCAAACTGTATGGCAGGCAAACCTTGCAATTATTCGTCGTCGTTTTGTGTAGGTATTCTGCCAGGATGTGATACACATCAGATTGTTTGGGATGTGATGGTCGCTGTAAAAAACCTGTCGTCCAGCCACCATATTCCTGAAATATAAATAATAAGGCCATTTTGGGGATGCTTCCGCGAATCCTAACATACCATATCCATTTTCCATTCCAAACACCATCATTCCAGTGAGGTCCTCCCCACACCACAACGGGCGATACGCCAGGCTTCTGATTGATGCCCTGGTGACGTTCCCACAATGCCAAACCGTCCATGATGCCACTGGCGCCAGTCACCGGACCTGGCTATCATCGGCGGATCCAGATGGGGTGGTTAAGGTTGCAGTAAGTGATCAAAAATCTTGATAACTTGGGATTTTAACATCAAAACTAATGAACAGAGATCTGACCCACGAATTTCATGGATATCTGATATCTGTGTGTCTGACAACGGGGTATGCACCCCAAATGGATCCAAATGGCTAATATTAGTGGAGAAAATTATGATAAACCAGAATTTTGGGCATGCCTATTGTCAGACAAACCCATAACATTTGATGGTGCACCTCCCAATCTGGCATATCCCAAGTGTTTGCTGTTAAACCCCTGTTGCCCCGTCCAAAATATTCCACAATGGGGCCGTACATGCCAAACATTGCCGTAGAAAGTGATACTTGACCTGTCTAGTTCAGGACCTCTGCACTGAGATGGAGATCATGGAGGGACATCTGGAGTCGACTCTGTTTTTGTCACCATAGGGGGGGTTTCATAAATGGGGGTATCCAAAAATTGTTGGTTTATAATATGGAAAATGCAATTAAATGTATAATTCGGGGGTACCTCTATTTCAGGAAACCACCATATTGTCAGATTGAAACCGCCACATAGTTTGATTGATGAATAGAAAGACGGCTGACTGGACACCTGGAGGGTATGTCACAAGTTGTCTATATAATGAGGATGTGCTAAATTTAGGCCACACATCACCAAAACTTTGCGTTTTTTTGATTCAGAGTCTCTCCAATCTTTCCAAAAAAATGAAACACCGGTTCAATTCGTTCCAAGGCAAATTGTTTGAGGGGCTTCCATTTTATAAGCCAGAACCACCTTTAGTAGATTCTACAGTCACATGGGGCTACCCGACGGGTACCCAACAGATACCCAACAGGAGCCTAGATGTCTTACTTTGTCTTACTTGTTTACATTACAATCTGCTGAGGCTGGGCACCCACATGCAAAATATACATGGCACTATCTAGTGATCTAGTGTTTCTGCTAAACTAGAGATATCTAGAGATGTTTGCCATTCTTGTGCATCCATGTGCATTCCATTTTTTCAACCACGCCCCTGGATTTTTCATCTCTGCCTCAACTTTAGGCCATAGGCCACACCATGGCCACACCATGCCCGGCACCTGAACCACCTTGACCCATGTAGACAGAGATGGAGGAGAAATGCACCGTCCTAGCGGCGAAAATCTGACTGCTGCAGAGATGTTCATCCAAAACTCGGAGTTGCCAAGTGGGTTCCCTACCCATGACGGATCCATGTATGGTATATATATATATATTGATGGTAAAAATGTTACCATATATATATAGCATACATGGATCCTATGGGTTATATCTTCTCATTCTTGTCTAGTGATGCCATGCGAATTCAAAATGGATCATGAAAAACCACCGTTGGCCCTCATTGCCACTATTTCACACACTGCCACTGTCCTGTTGATGGTGGTGGCGGTGATCAGCCTGCGTCGAATCACGAACGGTTCCTACAAAGTGGGGCCCCCTAGATAGCTAAGTTGGTTTATAACTCCAATAACTATGGTTTATGGTACCTATAACTATAGTTAATGGGGTTTATAAACCATCTTATAACTGGGGGGCCCCACCTTGTAGAAGAAATTCCTCCAATACCGATTTTGATCAATATTCTCCCGCACCTCCAAAAAAACACTGGCCAACTGCCTCTATAAAGCCCGGAGAAAAATCAGAGTCTTCCGAAATTCAGCATGTCTTCCACACCGCCAGCCCTACCAGCCACTTTGTGCTAGTGGGTCAACATCTTCCAGCAGCTTTTTGTGGGTGCCCTGGGTGCCTGTGGTAGTTGGCTGCAGCATGGGCTTTACTTCCAAAGGTCTGGAAGATTGAAGAGCTGACAGTTCCTGGCACCAGCACCAGGATGCCACCAGGCAGAAAAAATTTGCCCAAAAAAAAACACACAATTCATCATAATTTTTGTATCACAGGTGGGGGGATAACCCGAGGTGTTAAGATCAACAACCTGAAAAAATTGGATCACTTTGAAGGTCACGCATTTTCTTCAAGTCAACTTTTGATCGGGACTTCTCTATGTCCCACTGGCATCCACTGGCCATAGATTGGAGTCCTGTGGCTTGCACCAAAGTCTCCACCGGATGAATGAACTGTGGCGATGGTCTCAAAGGTTCCTCAGTCAGTTGTGGAACGGCACACGTTGTCTCGGTGTTGTAACTGTAGCGGCCGTGGACTTTGGATTCTTGGACTCCCAAGTACCCCAAAGTGCCAAGAAATGTCGGTCTATACTGGGGTTGATGCGAACATCACCCATCACCCATCTGCGGTGTAGGGATCATCTCAGCATCATATGGTGTACTTCGGGATTTGTTGGGGGACGTTTCCCACCCCCAATCTTGCAATTCACCGGCTTGTATAATATGTCTCCAAGATTCTGGCGGAGTCTGTTTCTGAACCACAGGCACTAAAGCCTTGGCTGTCAGTGTTGGAGGGCACCATTCCAACATATTTCAAGCCTAACATTTTCCGTGTTCTTTCCTGGACCCAGTTTCTATTTGGATTCAACAACGAAAGGTCGGGGACACCGGTATGCAGCTCCTGGAATGGGACGGACCCATGGACCCAAATGAGATCACGTGAGTTTGAACCCCTATCCCTATCCACCACCGTGATCCAGTGATATCCATTGTGGGTTGACGGTATGCACCCACAAATTCTCCATGGCTCATGTTTGTTCAGTGTTTGTTGATTGCTATCCCATTCTTGGTTGATTACAGGAACTCCAATGACCCTGTACATCATTGGTCTTCAATGTAATGCCTCAATCCGCCCTCGGTAAAATCTTCAACGACCGGTTGTTGGTTGGTAGATTCCCGATCCATCATGTTTGGCTTCTATCTCCATGATCTTCCCTTTGTATCCCTTTGTTGTATTTCAACATCTCTAAAGCACACGCCTTCTCATTTGCGTTTTCGACTCCCTGAAACAATATAGTAGTCGCCTGGGGACTATCATACCAAATGAATTTTATATTTGGCTCAACCTCGCATATTGTTATATATTTTCATATATTTTCATATATGTTCATTCTTCCACCATTCCCCCCCTACCTCAGCCAGGTCACTGCCTTGTCCTTGCGCTGCAGCGTGTTGCGCGGCGCCTTTTTCTGCGCCTCCTCCGCCGCGGCAGAGCCGCTCAAGAAGGCGGCAAAATTCAGCAGCTTCGAGACGTGCCTCAGCAAAGTTTTGAGGAGATTCTATGGGGATGGTTCTGGGGAAGTGGGACATTTACGGAAATTTATTGGAATGGGATATTATGGATATTTAATATTATTTAGGAAACTTCTTGGGATATTGGGAATTTACTTCGAAAATAGACATACCAACATTACCCAACATTATCCAACATTGGGATTAAGAGATTTGTAGTTCACCCTTCAACTGATTTTGGGGACCCCATTTTGCCACCCCCAACTCAGGCTCAGCTCCTCAGGTCGGTCTCCGGTTGCCGACTCTGCAGATAAGGTTCGGTCCATCGGGCGCCTGTGTGTTCATGACCTCGATGCACATACCTAGGTTCAAAGTCGGGACAGCTGTGCTTCAAACGATGATAAAAAGCAGGCGCGATCTGAGGGATGCTACAGGTCAAAATTCTGTACACCTAAACATGACCAGATATGGCCAGCCAATCTGCTCAACTGGGCCTGGAATTGACATATAGCGCCATCTGGACATTGGCCATTCAGAAATGCGTGGTGAATCATTTGCACATCTTCTGCCAGGATGTGTCTCCTAATTCCTAGATTTCAGGCTACTGGAGCTGATGTTGGTTGTTGCCCGAAAAGCCACCGCCTCCTTTGTAACGATTAGATACAATTGCGATGTAGATGTATGCATGTCATGGTATGGTCATGTTAAAATATGTTAAACTGTTAAAGAAAGTTAATGGTACAAGTAGCAGTGTTGGCATTGGCAATCCTCATGGCCAAGCTTGCGGTATTGGTACGGAATGAAATGGGAACGGTAGCGGCAATGGTGGCTATGGAATGAAATAATATGGCATTGTATGGTTGCATGTGCCCTCTGGTAAACTAACATAGCTATGGAAAATCACCATTTTTCATGGGAAAACTCACTATAAATGGCCATTTTCAATAGCTATGTTAGTTTACCAGAGGGTAACTGTCTTTATCCACAATAATTAATGATACTTAATGATATTGGTGGATTATTCAAACATTAATATGTTGAGTGTTGAGAGCAAAAATGGGAGCTTGTCACAGGTGCTACACAGGCCCCTCCAGGCCAGATACTCTTGGTGGGCTCTTCGATGCTATCCAAGCGCGGCAAATGTCCGAGCCTGAGCTTCCGCTGGCTTTCACCAGTGGTGACTTCCAGCAGAAAAAGTAATCTGCCGAGATTGATGCTTCTAGGGCCTAGGGTCAATGATATCTCATTATGAGCTTATAAAATGGTTGCTAAAATGGAACCATATCATGGAAAATTCCATATTATATCCAGTGATAAACCTTCATTTAGATAACTTCGTTCATGGATTTCCAAACCACGTTTGATTGGGGGGTAACCTCCCAATCCGAATTCATGTTCCAGTACTGTTCCATTATTGTCCCATGTTCACCGCATTTATACATGATGAGTTCATATTATATAGTTCACCATTGTTGGGGGATTGTAATGTGTTACTTATCCATGTCTTTTATTTAGAAGTCCATTGTCATTCCATTACTATCCCTGTGATATTTTTCTAACCTCCCATTTGTTTGGAGGGGGCATCTGGCAGTGTGTCAAAACATGTCAAAACCTTGTACCCCTGGTGAACATCAAAATAGCTGGTAAATGGATGTTCATTCCCCTAAAAATGGTATAAATAGGTATTGATCCATAGCCATCTAACCTGAAACCTTTCCAAATTTTCCAAACCTTTCCACCAAGGAGCTCGACGAAGGCAAAGTTGAGCCCCTTCGGCACAGCGTGCTGGAGGAAGGCCGAGGCCAGGGCCTCCCGGAGCATCGCAGCCTGAGCGATCGCAGATTTCAGCAACGAAATTGAGGGTTAAATGATGTTAAATGGTTTCCTAACCATAGGATTCATAGGATTTTTCGCACCAAAAGGGGAGTTTCGTATTTTTTTAGTCTTAGCAACTCCAAAAACTATCAGTTTAGCATGGTTTAATTTGTCTTAAACATCTCAAACATGTGATTGTTTTGTTTGCCAACCAGTATGTATGATACTTCTACTGTGTATATATGTTTTTTTGATAAAACATATTTTTTCCCCGGAACATGTATACCGACATGTCACGTTAACATGTAGCTATGGAAAAAAAAACATGAGAATCCTCTGGGATTGGTGGAATCTAACGGACCTTAAAACATGCCGACGATCCTTAAACGGAAATTCGTCAATGATAAACAGACAATACAAAAATTTGACAGTAAAATTTTAGTCAAATCTCTATAATTAGACAATGTAATCTCTCTCTCTCTCTTTTTTTTCTTACAATCTTGAAGTATCATCAATCTTCAGGTGATGTTTTGAACTGAACAGTGCAAACAAACTCCAAATTTGACAATGCCAACGGGCTGAGATCTGTGGAGTTACACCTGCACCATCTCGGCCAAACCACAAACGGATGGGTTTTGTTAAGCACCTTCATGGTAGGTAACTCACTGGTGATTTATCCAAGCCAGGTGTGTCTGAAAATGTCTAGTGTACCCCTACTAAACCCAATGGTTTTGCTGATCAGACAATCCCGTTTTTAAATGGCTATTTCATTGGGAAGATTAACCCAACATTTTCAGACAATTCCAGGTAGTTCTTATTCCAGTAGTACCGCACAAGGCGGCGGCGGAAGTTTCAAAAATAGGAAACCTATAGGAGAGATTGGTTGTTGTGAATCACGGATGGCAGAGCGAATCCACTCATGGACCGAAAGATGGTTGGTATGTCGACTTATTCATCTGTCTATCTATCCATCCATCCATCCATCCACGTATCCTTCTTTTCTGTCTACTGATCTATGTGTCTGTCAACCTATCCCTCTCTTTGTCTTTCCATCCATGTCTATGCAGCCGTCCATCCATCATCCTATTTCTGTCTATGCGTCCATCTGTCTATCTTTCTCTCTACTTTTCTCTTTCGAGATCTGTCCATTTCCTTGTCTCTCTATCTGTCTGTCGTCTTGCGGTCTATCTATCTAGCTGTTTGTCTATCTGCCCATCCAGCTATCCATTCTATTTAAGTACCGGAGCATTTCACCCGTCCATCAGTTCTTCATCTTTCCATCTAGACAGTTTAACAGCAAGCAAGCAGGTAACATTTGCACAGACAAGACACAGAGCGAACAGACCCTTGGTTTCAGTTGTGGTGTACAATGCAAAACTTAAAAATGTGAGACATCGCTCTAGCAAGATCCCTTGGGTGCACACAACTCGACCTTTTTCACCAAGCTTCCATCCCGTAAAGAAACATCGACGTGCCTCCAATCCAAACTTTCATAAACTTTCTATCTATCTATCTATCTATCTAACTACCTATCTATCCATCTATCTATCTATCTAACCTATCTAACCTATCTAACCTATCTAACCTATCTATCTATCTATCTGTCTGTCTGTCTGTCTGTCTGTCTGTCTGTTTATCTATCTATCTTCCTTCCCTATCCTATCCTATCCTATCCTGACCTAATCTATCTCTCCTATCTCCTATCCTATCCAATTGAAATAATAGTAATAATAACAAATGAAAATAACCAATAATTTAATATAATAAAATAAATATCATGATTATCTTATAATATTACATATATATATATATTCACCTGCAGGACCATTTGATATCTAAATTTAAGTCCAATAGGGTTTTGAATGGTTTTGATGTATTTCTTTGAATATCGGATCTTTTTGATCCCCTCGAGCCATATTTGGGATTCGACCTCTCTTTGTTTTTGAAAGATGCTATCAAGTGCTGTGGGCAATGAGTGCCCCGCCTTTGTCAGAGCAAGATGTAGTACTGCAAGACTAACTTGCCAAATTCGTACAATTTTGCGTTTTTGTGCAGGATTTGTGAACATCAGAGTTGCCAAATGCACAAAAAGGCGGTGCAACTCGAGCGCAATTTTCTGCAACCGGATGCAATTTGAAAAGCCACTGGCGTCCAGTATACGCCCAGTGTATACGTCCAGTTTTTGTCCGGTATACGTCCAATGTTCGTCCAAAACTAGTCCCTCTGCAGAAATTGCAGTGAGACGGGAAAACGATCTTTGTGTAGAGCTTTACTACAGTGTGTTGTGAATGTGAAGGAAGGGGTTGATCTCACATTCGAACTATTTTTTGCAGTTCGGACTCCTTTGAAGGGGTTCGGACTTCATTTTGCTAATCATCACCTTTTTTTCTACTGGAATTTCATGGAATTTCCATACCACGTGGTTCCCTAAGGCCCTAGGTACATATGGCCATGGATCAATACCTATTAATACCATTTTTAGGGGAATGACCATCCATAAATCCCAGCTATTTTGATGTGAACAGAAGGGGTACAAGGTTTTGACACACTGCCATATGACTACCCTCTGGTAAACTAACATAACTATTAACTATGGAAAGATCCACCATTTTTCAATGGGAAAATCCACGAACTAAATCACCATTTTCAATAGCTATTTTGACATAACCAGAGGGTACACTTCAACAGCTTCAACGACCCGCCACTCCGTAAAAACCCCAGCGGCCGTGCGCGCGCCGTGGCTCAGGTTGCTGACGCCTGCGGTGAAGCTGACCCCCGGGCACAGGCCTTTCACCTCGCTGACGGCATCGATGAAGTCCTGCCGATGGCACCATGGATTGATGGCTGGGTGACCCTCCGGTAAACGTTTACATAGCTATTGAAGCCATGGCCATAGAAATAGTGGATTGACCCATTAAAAATAGTGATTTTCCATATCTATGGGTAAATTATAATATTTCACTAACTTGAAATAAGACAATATTGGGATGATCCCCCTTATTAGCCATGATTCCAGTGAGGGAGAACAGTGAGGTCGTTATAATTTACCCAGATCAATGTATCCCCATAGGTTGGCTTTCCCACATGATCCACCTGATTTGATTATATGTCATGGGAAAAAAACAGCATAAAACAGGCAGAATATGATAATGTAAGATTGGTTGGTGGTATACCTACCATTACCTACCCCTCTGAAAAATGATGGAGTTTGTCAGTTGGGATTATGAAATTCCCAATAATATATGGAAAGTCATAATCCAGTCATGTTCCAAACCACCAACCAGAGAAGTGGTAAGAGTGTGTGGTGGATGACAGTGAAAAAAATGACGAGATTATGATCGTTTTTTGGGGATTTAGGGGATGGCACCAAAAAATTCATGCGGCTGCGGCTGTTGAAGATTGGGGGAATGTTGTTGTATTTTTGTTGTCGCATGTTGTCGCTTATCTTGAGGTTTATACCATGTTCACACCACTTTCTGCTTAGTTTCGGCCGTTTTCAAGTGTATTATGATTCATGATATATATATATATATATAATACTTCAAAAGGGCCAGCAGCAAATTGGTTGGAGTAGATGACTAATGCCACGTAAATCCATGTATTTTATTAGCAAGCGAGATGACTCAAGCTGTTCACCCTCGGAAAAGTTGACGGTCTCTCAGAATTTTCCATCTTCATGATGGAATCTTTGATTCACTGCACTGCACACTTCAAGTCTTGGCATGTCCCTTTTTGCACCGTGATTTTTCCCGCCATCCCCCTTACAAATCGTCCTTCACGGAGGCAGGCACCTCAGAACCCACGGGCGTCAGCAGGCAGTCGAAGATGATGTCCTCCTTTGGGAAGTCCAACTTGCTGCGCAGCAGCTGATAGGCGCGCTGGCACGACTCCACCTGGCACACTGGTCGACTGTGCCGAGCTGGAAATGGGGGGTGGTTTAAGATGTTTAAGCAGCCAACATGGTGATTTAACCAATCAAAAAGAGGGATTAAACATGATTTAAACATCAAGTATGGGGATATAGTGGGGATATGATATGATATAATATGATAATATGTAGTTGCACATGGTGCAATCTGTCCATGGCTGACAGCCCGTTGCAGACAAACCCACATGATTCAACCATCAAGTTGACAGTAAGCTACTGTAACTCTTGAGGTGAAAAAACATGTTGATATCATGTTGATCATGGTTGCTCCCGATTTGAAAAATACCATCAGTATCCAGTCAGTTTTCTCGGAATCTCACTGCCCTGGAAATGCTAAGCCAGCGCCGTTCAGGTGCTGTGGTTATCTGTGCTTCGTAGCTGTTGAAAGCCCATGATTTTTCGAGGTTTCCGCCTTTCGAGCCTGTGCTTTTGCAAGCATGGTACAAAATGGCTTAAGAATTTATATATATAATATATATAATATATATAATATATATATATTATATAATATATATATATATATTTGCTGTTTCTCTTTTTTCAATGGTCTGTGGAATTTTGGGGAACCTTTGCTCGATATCAGTAGATTTTCCAGGTGACTTCAATCATCAAACAAATAGAAAACTGGGAATCAAGAGACAGTCAGACATGCAAACGACACGTGTCCATGAAATCATGAAATTGCCACAGTCACTTACTTCATCTTACTTCAGAGGCAAAGCTTGGAATCTGCATGGTCTTAATTTATTTTTTGCATCCCAAATAGCAACCGCATAGAAAGCCGCTAGACCATTCACATGATTCACTTACCCAAACATTCACCAAATACTCTGAGATGTAGTTGCTCTGCTAAATCTAATCTTAACCATGTTTTTTTGACATGTCTTGACATCGTTCAACGACTCTTCACCCTCCATATCTTCAGATTTCCAGCTCAAATTGCTGTGTTTTTTTTTTTCCGGATGTTGATCCTCTGAAATATTAGGGGAAAATACGTGAAAATCATAGCTTTTGACTTTTGACCCCAAGAAATTATACCCTCTGGTTATGACTAACATAGCCATGGTATAGATGGCCCATTGAAATAGATGGTTTACCTATTAAAAATGGTGGATCTTTCCTTGCGAACTGTTAGTCATAACCAGAGGGTAATAATTATAAACCATTTCTCCCATCTCTCCGCTGCCTTCTCCTCTTTGTTGGGGTAGCCGCCCTCATGTCTCGGCAGGGCCAGGATGATCACCGCTGCGCCGAAGCGACGACACTCCGCCGCGATCCGCAGGAACTCCTCTTCGCTGCTGCATACGCTGAGGCCATTCACGATGCATTTGCCCTGCGTGTTCCTTAAGGGATGTGGGTTTGTCTGAATGGGTTAATAACTATGGTTTATAGGATATATCTATAGTTAATGGGATTATAAACCAACTCTGAATGGGATTATAAACCAGACAAACCCATGTTTGGGTGAGTCACACCCAAGGTTTCTGAAACAGAATGGGAAGAGGAAAATGCACTATTCATATCGAGGTGATTCAAGGTGAAATATTTACTACACTGCAACTAGACTAACAAAATGGGAGGGTTCACCAAAGAAAAGGCTGAACAAAGATTTGGGGATATTCACCAATAACAAGAAAGGCATTTCACATCAACGATCAATAAAAGCAATTAGGAATGGGTTCAGCCATTAGCATGCACCAAATTGATCGGACCCTGAAAAACATGAGGCAACAATCTGTGGGATATCTGTGGGATGTTAAATTCAAACCAAAATTGTTGGCACATGATTAATCCCTCCGTGTTGACCCTCCCCAGTTTGTGTGTGTTTGTCAAACATGGGTCTACGAATAACAACATTTTCTCCATCAAAATGTCAAGTACATATGTCGGAGAATTTGTGGTCCCCCATTTTTAACACCCGCAAATGGAACAGCATTAAATGTCGGACGACAAACATGCACAAATTAAGATTGGCGCCGAGTTTACAAGTGGGAACGATTTCTTAACATGACCGAATAGGCTCGAGCGTTTGAAAAGTCACTTCCAATCAACCCATACGCCAAAAACCTCCCAATTGATCCAATTTTCGTTCTGATGCATTCCAGTGCTTGTTGGCAAGTGCTTGCACATACAAACCCATTTGATGTTCCTGGCTACCTTTCAAATTGTTGTATTTCCCTCATTTGTGGATCTCCCCAAAGCTTGCTGCGTATACATCGTATAATAATGTATATCCATATATATATACAGATACATACACACATGTTATATCATGTTGCGATGCTGCATACCATATGTTTGTGCCCCAATGTCTTGTTGCGTCAATAGTCATCTTCCTTTTGTTTTGTTGACCATCACCTATAACTTGAGAGGAAAGTAGTCTTCCAACCCCTAAGTCATGGCAGGGTCTATGTTAGCTTGGGGGATGGTAGTTAAGTCCCCATCTATCATATGCCCCATAGGTTTTTTGGTTCATAAAAACCTTATACATGAGAATTGACAGTAAAATCCATTTGATTTTACGGCGAAATCCCCTCATAGTTTATCCCAATTCGGCAATTTTCGGATAGTTTCCCCCATCCCCAAAAAATCAGGCCGAAAAACAGGGCTAACTAAGTCAACTATCCTAAAACCCTATGATAGTTTCCATCAATTTCTGTAGTTTATCAACGGCTGAACGACAAAAACGAGATGCTTCAGGCCCTCTGCGATGACCTTCCAACTTCCTGAACTGATCCTGGGAAGAAGCAAAAATATTGATCAAGCATTTGGGGGTTCAATGGAATAGTGGGATATTTATATATAGATATATATATTTACATATAAATCATATATGTAATATGTATATCTATATATAATTACATGTATATATATATATATATGTACTGCATCTGGTAGCATAGAACCTAGAAATTCTATGCATTTCTTAATGCAAATTTTTAAATGAACATCTTCGGTTTTTTCGGTTCAGCGACGGCAACGATGGGTATTCCAAGTCGTCTCAAAACAGGGGATGGACGGACCATGAAAACCTTGGGGATTCACCATGGGATTCAGTGAAAAACCATCAAAGATTTTTGGAGATCCACCAAGGGGCCTACATGGGAATTCGTGTTGAGGATGGGGAATCGTGAAAAACCAACTTTCGGAAAGAATTTTCTATCTGAGGAGAGGAATGCGAAGGACCACATACCTAACCAACATGGAATCTATCAAGCATATATATATATATATACACAGTATATAATATATATTGTATATATGTGGGAATTTGCCCCGCAGAAAAAGGTTTTTTTTTTGGCAGCAAGTACTGGGATCCTTTTTTATTTCACATCACCAATCTGGGGTCAAGTCATTGGGTACCCGGGTACCCCAAAAAAGGGCTTTGTTTTGTAGTCCTGAAAATGAATGAAAATGACAAGTCCATCCCGCTATGTGGAAGTCTTGGGTGTCGGGTATTGTCAGGTCTCTTCACCAACAATGCTGAAAAATTACATGGCATTACGATCGGATCACAACTTCGAAACGATCAAGTTGCCGGCACCGGTGCCGGGCACCTCCCCTGCAGACGCGGTGCACTAGGGGCACCTGTGCCAGCTTCGGATGGAGGGAACATCTGCGAACAAACTTGCCCATGGCCTGGCGGCGGAATGGGCACCGAGTCACTCCCGGTTTGTCAAACTCCTGGCACTGGAAAATCCTGTTTGGATCTGTTTGGTGGGAAAAAAGATGCTTTGATGGGCAAATCATCTATGATTGCTTGCCATATTCAATGGAAGTGTTCCTGAAACAACTGTTCAAAATAGAATCTGCAAAAACTATAGTTGGTTTGAATTCAAACCATGTCAGTCACATGGTAGTCCCAGTTGAGCAGATGACATCTGTCATCTGTGACAGACACACATCTGGCACTTGAGTGACACAAGCTAGAAACCCCTGGCAACACGAGCGCTGTTGCACGTGCTCATCTATGAAGGGGACTGCATTGAATACCTAATAATGGATTCTGCCAGTTCTTGGAGGTTGCACCGTGACCCTTTGTTGCAGAGTGCGTCAATGGAAGCTTAAGATGGAAGATCACAACAGGTCATTATTCATTGTAGTATTGCATATCTATGCATATCTCTATTTCCATTCAGCTTCCCTTTTGCACACATTCATCCACAAAATCTGTTCTCGTTTCAGTCCTCAAACCCCAGCTGTGCCCCTCCCTTTGTGCAACGTTTTCCTCTCAACTGTCAGGCAGTCATCAGGAAAGCGATCTACAACGCGGCCAACGCTTCTGGTGCTTCCGGTGTCGGCCCAGTGTCATTTCTTTATGAGGTAATTAAGTGCACTCATTTCCATCTGCTCTGACCAGCTAAGTCCAGGTCTTTCCTGGCAGTACACATAACGACCAACCCTTTTCTGGTAACCGCTGCAGCAGGGTTCCACAACGTGGAAGTTGTATGGGATGATGTTGTTGGGAGTATCCCCTGACTTGATGCAACAACGTGCACGTTTGGAGTTGCGACGATCCTTGGTGCGCTTGGTGCGTGGGAACGTTCAACATCTACTTGGTTGCATTAGTGGCTCCTATCCCGCAAAAAGATTAGTCATCTGAGTCATCTGGGATCATCATTCCAGTCAAAAGTGTTCAAACCACCAAGCAGATGGATTTCTGCGGCGGTCAATCATCTGTGTAAACAAAAAGAACAAAAAAACATAAATGGGTGGCTGAAAATGCTCAACTCCGCTGAGTCTCCGGCTCACAACGGATGTCTTTGTCATAGGTGCTCTTGGCACAATCCGTGTAATAAGGGATGGAGGAGGGAGTACATCGTGCCCCGAGCGCTGGTTTGCACGTGTTGGTGGACTTGCTACATACCAAGCCGTTGTCGCAGCAGTGCTGAAACGATGGCGATGTTTGCCCACAGGAGCACGCCTCGCCGTACCTGGGCAGTGGAAACGTTCCACCAGGTCCTACCATTGCTCAATGTATACTGACAATGAACAAAATTCTACCAATGTTTTCAGAATTCACAAAACATATCGAACCTGAAATGCTTGCCTTGCTGAAATTTAGGCAAGTTTCTTTGCCCTATTTGGTAGTCGCGGTAGTTGTATCTCTGCCGCTGAGCTTTCATTGCCATGCTGGACATTGCTGGTACGTGTTGCCAAACCGGTGCTTAGGAGCGCCAGCACCATGAGAGCGGATGCCATGCGCGACATGGAGTACTGGAGTTAACGGACTTTTGCAAAGCTGATCGGCCAGTTGTGGCTGCGCAAACCGGGTGCCAGTTTGGTCTGCACAAAGGTATAGTATAGGAAAGATGGGAACACACTTCTATAGATTCTTGTGCAACCATTTGGAAGTTCTGAGTCGTCACAACATTGTGCCAATGCAAACTGATCAACTAGGTCAAGTCTTGCCTGATTACATGAAGAGGGGAGTACCACTAAAAGTACATGTATCTGCAATAAGACTGTCTATCACACGACTGTTTTTAGAGGGAAACCATCATCAAACGTTCAACATGGGAATGATGCTTGGGAAGTCTCACATCTCACCTTTGCGGCAGGGTCAAGTGAACACGACCTTCACTGGCCCACATCTTTCCCACTTCTACAGCTTCCAGCTCCGCAGCTCCCCAGCGCCTCCGGTGCGTCGACGTTGGGCGAATCAAAGTTGAGGTCCAACAAATCCGCATGGTCCTCGGCCTGTTTCATCGCCACTTCCAAGGCAGCCTCCCAGATATCATCGTCGTCACCTCGGAGAGATCGCTGGGTGGATATCTAGGGATGGTCCAAGCGCACTTGCTGGCTTTCATTGTGTATATATAATATATACTAATACATACGAATAATCACCTGTAAGTAAGTCTAGAATATGCATGTGAAATGTATGTGTATATATATATACATATTTATTATATTATAGTTATATTATATATATGTACACATTGTAACTAGGTGATACTATGTATATACACGGTGCGTAAAAATAGTATATTAATAATGTATATAGTAATGGATATATCATCTAATAATTATAGGAGTTATATCGATTTATGACGACAAAAATTTCACCAAGGCACTGGTGTATTTGCACGCATGCACCAGCCCCTTGAAGCGATGCGAGCCCTGCACATGGCAGCGCTGCCCAATAAGTTTCAAGCCATCCGCGGGCTTCACGGCGTCCAAATTGCTGAGCTGCAAAGTGCTGCTGATCTCCGAGGGAAGGGCCTCAAGACGACTGACGACTGATGACGAGTTCGCACTTCGCAACAGAATGATGTTTAACTAAGAGCGAATATAAAATAATATAAATACTGTAGCTGGATGGTTTGTAGTATTGTAATGGAAAATCCTACTAAAATGGATGAGAACTGGGGGGTACCCCTATTTTAGGACACCACCAGTTCTTCAGTCACAAGCAACTCTTGGGCTCGCTTTCTCCATCTGCGCCACCGCGTCTTGAATGTCCTGAGCCAAGCAACGCTGGCACCTGTACCACCTGAGAGCACCTGATCAAGGATCCCCAAGGGGATCCCCTTGGGCCTTGATTTTTGACCAATGGAAGGTCCATTGGACATATTACATAATGTTTACATCATCATTCCAATATCACATCACATTACATACATATCACATATTCATATATATATGTACACATACAGTATACATATTTTACATTATATATATGATTATATATGTACATATCACTCTTCAAACACTCCAACACAAATGGGTGACACCATCACAGCCGGCGCACCTTTGGCTTAGATCCGCTGGGCGAGAAGATGTTGATGCTGTCTGAGGGTGCAGTACCTGTTCGGGGACTGCCGACTGCCTACAAGTTCACCGTTCCGTTCTAATTGGGATAATGAGAATATAAAGAGGATACTTCCCATCACATCACATCCCCATGAATCCCCATATGAGCCGTGGTCAAAAGGTTTTGTCTGAAGGCACTAAGGGCATGCTTACGCCGAAGCTTACGCGCTGCTTGCGAATAGCTTTGGCTGATGCTTGCGCGGGCTTGCGCACACCCGGGTTTCGCGAGGCCATGAGGTCCTTATTGCCTCTACTCTCCCTACCCTCTGGTAATGTAACATAGCTATTGAAAATGGTGATTTATAGTGGATTTTCCCATTAAAAATGGTGATTTTCCATAGTTATGTTAGTTTACCAGAGGGTATCTCTCCCTTACTGAAAATTGTCCAAGTGGGTTTTGACCGTGGCTCCTTTGTTGCCTTCCAACTTCCATCGCCAAGTTGCCTGTCCACTGGATCCAGCAGGAGCAAGTCCCGGAGAGCTGCGGAATACTCGAAGCAGCAGCATCACCCCCAATTCCTCGGCGATCAGCGACCCCGCCAGGAATCAAGAACAGGGACCTAGGGCAGGTATTGGCAGGTGCCATTCCACAATGTGGTAAAGCCAGTTCTAAAACATCTTCAGTGCCACAAAGTCATATAAAGCATCACCTATGAGTGATGTTTTATTGAATCCACCAGTGGATCACATTAATTACATGTTTCGGGCTGCCCACATCTGACAAGCTACGAAATTCTGTGGTTTTGAAACAACGACGGTCCAATGGCAGATGTGTTTTTTGCAACCATCCTAAGACAGAATCCAAACGTGAAATGTATTGCTGTATACATTTTACATGTATCATCTATATATATATACACACTAAATACATTACACTCATTACACGAGCAGAATTATACACATCATCGACTGTAGCCATGTACATTCTGCATATATGCATAAATATATAGAATCATATAAATGATACAAATGTATGTAAATTTGTGTAGATAGATGCTGTGGATGGAAAAAAATCCTGCACCAATTGGTAACTATTGGTAACATAATTCAACATTGTCCATAACGGGGTAAACATGGATAAGCCATCTACCAAAACGGCGCAGGACTTTGCAACCATCCACTGTTGATGGGCCCCTAGGCCGTCCATGTTCCATCGAGTCTCCGAAGGCCAGGGCTTGCGCATGAAGCAAACTCACCACGCACGCTTCTAAGCCTGAGCCCGACAGCATCACGACAGGACCGACATTTTTTCCGGGATGGCCTCATTTTGGAGGCATAAAGTGTATATCATCCAGGGGTATCATGGGTACAATGGTGGTAGTGGGATATAAAATGATATATAATGGACTACAGTCAATTAACAGGAATGATATGGAAAGCCCACGGGAAATGTAGCGAACAGGAAACCATGGGCCTTCAATATCTGTGTTGATTGAATGGTACCCCTCATAATGAAATATCAAATCCATTAAAAATTCCAGCATACTGGGACCGGGGTTATCATGGGGCTACAGTCTATGTATTCAATGGAGATATACTTTGGGAATCTTTGGGATATAAGCAACCAATTTCATATAACCATAAAATGGCTGGTCAAAAACTTGGGGTTAGTAAGTTTCACCTGAAAATGCAAGGGGTGCATTCTGGAGAATGGCCCTATTCATGGCCCTATTCATAGGGCCATTCATGGGACATCCCTGTTGCATCGTCACCAAGGAACTTTGACCCGAAGGTGTCCGTCCATCGGCTTTCAGGGAGACGTTGATCAAGAGAGGCAAGCGTGCTTTGGGATTCAACTCAAAATACTCCTCGAAAAAAAAAAACTGGAAATTATCACTTTGATATTTTATGATATGTTCTTCTGGATTCCCTGGTTGAGAACATGTTCCCAAGCTACTCCACGACTTGGGAGGGGTTATTCAACCTCGAATCTTAAGCCACACAAAGAAGAACTTGATTTTGTGGATCTTCATTCCCCCATTCAGAAGGGACCATAGATATTCAGCGCGTCCCCGTTTTTTGAAGTTGAACAAATCATATCTGGCGGTAAAAAAAAATTGGTTCAAACAAGCTGACTTCCCTTTCTCAAAGGTTCTATCTCCATTGTAGCTAGTGAAAACAACATGTTTTGCTGAATAAAACATGTTATATCATATGACATCTACATTGACATATGTACATATGTGTATATATATATATACACATAATGTTCTAGAGTAAATGATTGATTAAATCATAGTTTTTACATTAATATATAATATAATCCCCACATTCTGAATGACCTTGTCTCTCCCCATCTCTATGGGTTTGTCTGAAGAAAAAAACGGCCACCAAATTTTCCATCCGCGGATCGACTGCTTGGCTCAGACACACCTGGGACCTACGACCTACATAGAAAAATCACTATAGTAATTTTTGACCCATGACAACCTCATTTTAGTGCCCTGAAATGTTCAGTTTTACATACCATTTACCCACATTTGGGCTATACCCCGTTTTGGGACAGAGCCATATAATATGGTTGGTTACATACCATAATATGTCCACAAAATGCGTGGTTGCTTAAATTAAAATTACACTCATGAAATTGATCCCACTGTATCCAACTTTATCCAACTACCCTCTGGTAAATTAACATAGACCCTGGCAGTCATCGGGGTTGGAAGACTAGTTTCCATGAAAAATGGGTGATTTTCAGGGTCCACAAGTTAATTTGCCAGAGGGTATATACTGTACACATACCCTCTGGTAAACTAACATAGCTATTGAAAATGACCATTTATAGTGAGTTTTCCCATTAAAAATGTTGATTTTCCATAGCTATGTTAGTTTACCAGAGGGTACCCATTATATCCCATTGATATCCCATGATCTCCGCCACCGTTTTTCTCAACGGATTCTCTCCTGGATAGCATAGACCGCAGCTTTGGCGTTGGAGGTATCTGAGACCATGTCCAACAGCAGGAGATGAGCTCCACCTTCCACCAGTCCACGGACCTGGCACTCCGTTTCTACAGAGTATACAGACATAAAACATCATATGTTTATACCATTTAATATATATATATATGTGGTATGATATGATATGCATGTACATATATACACATCATATCATGTACATTATATATATAACATAAATATTCTTATACAAGTACATACATTAATATCATGATGTACTTAAATTACTTTACTTCGTGTGATCCCCACCATGACATTTATACATTTTCTTACTGGCAAATCTTCTGGCATTCTATCTGACATATCTTCTGACATTCTATTTGACATTCTATCTGGCATATCTTCTGGCATATGATCTGGCATATGATCTGGCATATCTTCTGGCAAATCTTCTGGCATTCTATCTGGCAAATCTTCTGGCATTCTATCTGGCATATCTTCTGGCACTCTATCTGACATATCTTCTGGCATTCTATCTGGCATATCTTCTGGCATATATTCTGACATATCTTCTGGCATTCTATCTGACATATCTTCTGGCCTATATTCTGACATATCTTCTGGCATATCTTCTGGCATACCTTCTGGCATATCTTCTGACATATCTATCTGGCATATCTTCTGGCATATTTTCTGGCATTCTATCTGGCAAATCTTCTGGCATTCTATCTGGCATTCTATCTGGCATATCTTCTGGCATATTATCTGGCATTCTATCTGGCATATCTTCTGGCATATATTCTGACATTTCTTCTGGCATTCTATCTGGCATTCTATTTGGCATTCTATCTGGCATATCTTCTGGCATATCTTCTGACATTCTTTCTGACATTCTTTCTAACTTTCTTCTGCAAATTCTTTGTCCCATATCTTCCTACATGAGGTCCGGCAGGGAACACTTGGCGTGGATACTCGCGGTTGAGGTCCGGCAGGGAACACTGGGCGTGAATGGTCGTGGTTGAGTTCCGGCAGGGAACACTGGGCGGGGATGGTCGTGGTTGAGGTCCGGCAGGGAACACTGGGCGTGGATGGTCGTGGTTGAGGTCCGGCAGGGAACACTGGGCGTGGATGGTCGTGGTTGAGGTCCGGCAGGGAACACTGGGTCGTGGTTGAGGTGGTCGTGGTTGAGGTCCGGCAGGGAACACTGGGCGTGGATGGTCGTGGTTGAGGTCCGGCAGAGAACACTGTGGATCGCGGGTCGCAGTTGAGCAAGGACGACGAGGACGACGAGGACGACGAGGAGGACGAGGAGGAGGAGGAGAGGAGGACGAGGCAGGACGAGGCGGAGGAGGAGGAGGAGAAGGAGGAGGAGGACGAGGAGGCAACTGACATAAAATCTAACAACCCTCAGTTAGCAGGTGGGGAAAAATGAACTGAGTGTTTTCTTCCGATCGCCAGATTTATCGCCAGGTTCATGAACCCATCGCCTGAGGTCGATAGCCATTCACCATCTGATCCCACGTGGTTTTCGTCTTCGGTGACGACAGGCTGCCGGTGGAGGGACCGATGACTCCGGCCACGAACTTCATGGAACTCGATGCGGCAGCCACTGCCTCGGTCACGGCCTGAGCGAATCAAGGCACCAATGGATGACTCATGGGATTCTATGAAAAAAAACTGGTGTAATATATTTATATATATGATATTGTATATACAATATATATATAGGTAGATTTTATGGTAGCAAGGTGTGTACAAAATGACTCTTGAACACAGAGATATTGTTCTTTGGCTAAAGCATTCAAACCATAATTCAAAAGTATCTGACATAAATCAATATATGGTTTCATTATCTTTCATTTATGGATTGTTGAGCAAATAGACACATGGGTATGGGTCAAAATTAGGTACCTCAATAATTGGATGGTTAATACTAAACTAGACATTTCCATCTGTGGTCCCCTAGGTCTTCCATTTTGACCCACATCCATATGAATCTTGCTTCATTTGAATGTGATCCCCGCGCCTGTTTGGCCAAGGTCGCAGCGGCTTTGTTGAGTTCATAGGTGGCATCCTCTGTGCCATAGAAAGCTTGACATAAGCCATCACCGTTGCGCGTGTTTGTCCTGCGATATGGCAGATCAATGGGCAAATGAAGGTCCGAACATACGTCATTTTTGGGCAAAAAAACATGATTCTGGGTAAATTATAATATTTCACCAACCTGAATTAAGGCCATTTGGGGATGATTCCCCTTATTAACCATGATTCCAGTGAGGTCGTTATAATTTACCCAGACATGATGTCCCCTGTAGATGTTTCGTTTAAGACCAAACTTGGAAAATCTTCGGAAAGTCGTAACCTACGAGATGACGTGAGATCCTTAAGCAAAGTCCGTCACTTGAAAGAAACCTTTTTGGGGATGATGCCCCTTAGCAACCATCATTTCTCTGGTGAAATTATGAAGCAAAGTCAGTGTAAGTTACGCACATTGACTCCAAATAGCTGCAATAAAATGCGCAAGTTCCAAATCTCCAAGTCATTGTTCATGTCTAATCCACCCCTGCCTGATGATGTCTGCACCTGCTTTCAGCAATGCGCGATGTGCATTCCTCAGATGCCACATCACGACATCATATTGAGCTTGCATCAAAGCACATCACCACATTGTTAAATCTGCAGGAAGCAGCAAACCAACTTTATGGGCGCTCACTCAACTAAGGCCTACTACAAATTGATTGGTTTTTCTTATGCTTGAACAAGGAACCCACCGCGGTAAAAGGACAAGAATTCAGCAAGGTCATATGCACAGCCACATGGGAAGGACGGAACAATATCCTTCAGCTCATTGTGCCCAACGCTCCCTTTGTCATGGGGTTGCTTTGAGGAAAACCTACAGGAAATCAAGGGCTTACCAGCGGAATAGGTTTTCTTGTGCGTTGCCTTTCCCTTTATGTCAACCCTGGATTAATAAGCCATAGTTGATTAATTCGGGGGGGTGCCCTCCAAATTGTCATAAATATGATACTTCATTAACTTGTATCATTGGTACACCCCCAATTAAGAAGCCTGGGGCCTAGGGGTTTATGAATCCGGGCTTACCCTCTGGTAAACGTTTACATAACTGATGGGAAAGATCCACCATGTTTCATGGGCAAATCCACTATTTCTATGGCCATGTTCCATAGCTGTTTTGACATAACCAGAGGGTAAGTTCCATTAATCCCTATTGATCACCATAAAATCACATTAAAATCCCATTAAATCACCATTTTTTTGGTTAAATCACCATCAACATTCGCCAATTCTTGGACGGCGTCAGCACCAAATCCGGCTTGGTGATGGACAGGAGATCCAGGTTATTCTTTGCCTCGGCGCCACAGCCAAGGGGTACTGTATCCCAAGCGTTGACAGTGAGATGCGACAATGGTAAAGAAATATTAAGGGAAGCCAATTGGATTTATATACACTGTATATGTATATATATATATATTATATATATATTATTTTTTTGATAATGCTATCATATTCTATATATTCATGCCAATTCATGAGGATCTCTTACTCAATCATCAAGCGTCTGAACACAAATTGTCCCAACAGCGAGCACTAGTCATGTCATGTTGGGCCCTTCCCATAGGGCTGCGATATGCTGCGATCTTGGAATGTACAATTTCGAGTTTCAAGCTTTTGATTCAGCAGTTGAACGCTCAGAACATCCAAAACCATCAGCGTGGTCTGAGTCGAAGCCCAAATCAAGTGCAGCATAGTACCCTCTGGTAATTTAACATAGCTATTGAAAATGGCAAATTATAGTGAGTTTTCCCCTTAAAAATTGTGATTTTCCATAGTTTTTTGTATGTTTACCAGGCCGGGTATAGTCGAAAGATCAGATCAGGGCCGATGTTGGTCAGCTATTTGGTCAGACAGCACAGCTATTTGTGTTGCCAAAAAAAATGGCAACACATTGACATATTTGACATCAACATAGCAGTTATTGAGTTATTGAAAGATGAACTCATTCCACTTTCGGAAAGGCTTCGCCGCGCCGCCGTGGCTGGGAATCGATTCTGCCCGCGGAAGGCCGCTTCGTCTTGCCCTGCCAGCTGGTCTGAGGGCCCCATGGGGCCATCGGTCACCAGCACTTTGCGGCCTCGAATGCATGGGGAGATCCCACCAAAAATTACGGGTTCAATCAGTGGTTTGGTTGAAGGGACTTTTTTTTCCTGCAATTTTCCCTTAAACTTATAAGTCCCAATCAAGAAACGAGAAATGTGGTGAATACCACCCCACTGTTGATGACCCTATGCTTGATAGGTATGACTATTGTGATTATACTGGGATTGACTGGGATTGTGACAGATCCCATTGAAGCAAAAAGAGTAGAATACAACATCAAGAGTGTAAGCTGGCACCGCCCAAGACCTGCCAAGACACTTAACATGGTGTTGAGCTGCCCCAGTAGGGTGGTGTAGGGGATCGCTGTACCACTCTGCAAGGCACTCATCACCTTCCCACCACTTGCGACAGCCACATTTTCTGGTCCTCTGCACCCTGAATTTTGGCCCATTACCCACTTGTTGGCGCTGCAAAACCATGGCGAGAAAATCTTCACTGGGTTCCGGCAAAAACTTGTTGGGACTTGGTTGTATATCTATCGATCGCTCGAAATTCATTGTCTGTTTTGTTTTCTGGTTTCAAAACAGAAAACAATGAGTTGAATGAGTTGGGCAATTCCCAAGGCTTTGGCTGGGTTCCCAACTTCAGAATTTTACATCTCCTCCAAAATTATGACCCCAAAAATGAGATCATAGATTTTGGCACCCATCCCTATACAGGTTTTTCCAAAAATGTGGTAAACCATGGTAAGTAAACCGTAAGAAATGGCAATCTTAATAGAAATAGAGGGTACTTCATTCTCAAACAAACCCATATAAATTAAACGATTCTCCCCCACATCCACGGATTAATCACCATTCTCCCCATGCCGGGACAGTGGACCCCATTTCCCCAACTATTTCCCTAACTTTTAGCAACCCCATGACTAATAGTGGTCATTGATATTCCTTAATGCCCCCATCAAACACGATATATGGGTCTGGATCAGCCTCTATTACACCATATTTTTTTTCGGTGGATGAACATTTACCAGTTCGTTTCTCTTACCTCCGGGTATCACAATTTTGACTCATAGCCACTTTTCCCCAACATTTCCTTTCCCACTAAACCTCCAAGGTCCATTCCCTACCCGCACCTGTTGCGCTGCGCCGGAAGCGGAGACCCGGCAGGGCTTGGGCCGTTCGCAGCCCGCCTCGGGTGGCACCTCTTTGCCGCCCGAGAGGCGGGCGGGCTTCAGGGCCTCGGTGATTGGGAAAACTGGAAAACATCAACAATCAATGGATTGGTTTGTTGGGGAAAATCTTAACCGGAAACCCATGGGTTTTTTTACCATCAAATTGATCGGGCTTTCCGGTTAAAATGTTCCCATCATCCAGTTCTATGAAACAAAGCATCTTTTTGGGGGTGCTATACGGGAAAATTGACGGCGGACTTATGTTGAAACCGTGGATTTTAGATGAAAATATAAGGGCGTGTCCTCCAAATTCCTTTGTCCTGCAAGTCTTAGAAGGATAGAACAAGAGAATCATAATGTGGATTTTGAAGGCCCAGCCGACGGCACATGGACTGGTCATTCTGAGCAGCCATCCAGTTTTTTGGGGACCCAATTTTGAGCCTAAGTCCATGTGCACAAAATATGGAATATATAGTATGTATTAAATCTTAATATGTATAATATGTATGTGTGTATATATAATTGTGTATATATGTATATGGGGAATCAGAAAGAACATTTGGAAACTGGAGTTTGTAAGGAATAGCAGCATGTTCCCCTATTCTTGCGTCACCTTTTTCACACCCCTAGCAATTCTCTGTCTTGATAGATGACAAGCACTTCACATCTGTCGCTTGTCATATATGATCTGGAATCTACACCTCGGACAAGCATCCAAATCACGTTTTATAGCTCAAAGGTTCACAAATAAAATGCGATTTTCCTATGGAATAGCTCATTGTGTACATGGTTGTGCCGAGAGACGCTCCAGTAGGCCTTCTGTTGTGCGGCTGTTGGCATTGGGCCTCGCTTCTCCAGGTATTGCTTTTGTGCCTCTTTGCCCGCCGCTTTGCCTGCTTCAGCTGATTGGTTTCCGCGGACTAAATGGGCATTGAAATGGCAAAAGTATGCAAACTATCTGTGATTTTCCAGCAAACCATGTTTGATTACCAGAGGGTAATCATGAAAATACTTGCACACCCTAGGGGACGATTTTTTTGCTACAGCGGCCTTGGTCCAGCAGAGTTTTAAGGTTTTCCAGCAGGTTAATTTTCTGGATTCGTCTTGTTGGTTCCCTTACTCACGTCTGTCACTCATAACACAACTCAGACCTTTGGGCTATATGGGTCAGTCTCAAAATTGGGGCTGGTTACCCTCCCCAAAAGGATCCACATATGTTTTTTTTGGATAGACCATATAGCAACCCCCAAAAAAAAGATAGACAAGTTAAATCCAATATTGTAATGGCAACGGGCTTTTCTATCTGTTTGGGGGTTACTACAGGAATCAAAAAAACAAATCTAGGCCCCAAAGTCGATAGGAACATGTTTCCAGGATGGTCATTTATGATTGTCCTGAAAATTACCCCATAATTTCACAGATTCCAACCATTTTTGCGATGGACCTTGAGATAATGAAGGGGATTCGAACGTCGACTGGTCCGACGGGTTGGCCAATCTAATTGGTCCGGAAAAAAACGATGTACCCTCTGGTTATGTCTAACATAGCTATTGAAAATGGCGATAGAAATAGTGAGTTTTCCCATTAAAAATGGTGATTTTCCATAGCTACGTTAGTTTACCAGAGGGTAATCATCAACCAACAGCGGTTTTGAACATGATATGATGATTGGCTATATCTCCCATAAAGTATTCCCATTGAACCCCAATATTGACGCCTATTGGTCATGGTCAATCAATGGTTTTTTTTATCCCTACTAGTCATCAAACAGACTAATCATGATTGACTAACCAACACCGATACAGGTTAATCAATGTCTCTATTCATCCCTGTTAACCAATGGCTATTGTTCAATGATGGTGAAATCCCATTATATAATCCCTATTGATCGTAGAAGTTAAGAAATCCATATTAATCCATATGAATCCATATTAACCCATATTAACCCATATTAATCCCTGTAATTTCCTATGAATCCCCATGTTTCTAGTAACTCTGGATTCCCCAAAAATCTTCAGATCCAAGGCATCCAAGGCACATTCCGGCAGGGTCCACCAGGCACCGGCATCATGAGCATCTGCCGCTTGCAGTGGAAGGCACACCGTATTGCCACTGCCTGGGCACCGGGGCACCGCGCAATGTTGCGCCCGGTGAAACGATACGTATTCTGGGTGGTTCCAAAAGAAATGGGGGGATTTCAGCAAAGACTTAGGGGCTAACCAGGAACAAGATGGAATTGGTGTCCAAAACTTGGCGGATTTTGCTAAGAAAAATCAGGACCACAATCGTATAATGAATGACCATGCCCCAACATGTCCCCTTTTTTTGTTTCCCTACCCTTCAGCACTTTGGCCGTGGCTGAGCAAGTGACGGAAGTTCAGGAAGGCCATGAAGCGCTTCAGCGCGGTCTGATCCTTTTGGCTGTTGAGGATCACGTCTTCACAGAGCTGACGCGTTTCTTGTTCCAAGTCCCCATAGAGTGGCAAGCGCCCCGCAGGTGCCAAGGCCATGTTGAGACCTGGCCCACCGGCCCCAGTGGTGGAAAACCCATGGTGTTAACCCACGTTCGGAAAATGATCTACATCCTAGGTGGGTTTTCCACACCGAACTCTTAGTTTACCCTATGAATCACTGGATTGGTTTAAGGGAAAATCTACAGGAAACCATGGTTTTTACCAAATATAGGGCTTTCCTGTAAATTTTCCCATAATCCAATTCTATGAATGAAGTACAAGATTCAGGGTATTTCTTTCCAAACGTCAACAGACTAGATAGATTGATATGTAAATAGACAGATACGGTAGATTTGTCCATAAATTGATCGATCTATAGCAATGTCACATATAATTTATGATATACATATATATATATATACATATACCTACATATTATTATATTATAGATTATATATAATATATGATATAATCAAAGGAAGTTGGGAAGCAATACTTCCGTGTTACGGACAAATAGAATTCTGAGACTTGAAATGATGAAGGGTGGGGCGCGATTGAGACTTGACCTTGATGAAGGGTGGTGTGAGACTTTACATGACATAACAATACATCACATTGAGACTTGACCTTGATGAAGGGTGGTGTGAGACTTTACATGACATAACAATACATCACATTGAGACTTGACCTTGATGAAGGGTGGTGTGAGACTTGACAGGGAAGTGGTGACGAAGGGAAGTGGTGACGAAGGGAAGGGAAGTGGTGACGAAGGGAAGTGGTGACGAAGGGAAGTGCTGACGATGGGAAGTGGTGACGAAGGGAACTGGTGACGATGGGCAAGTGGTGACGAAGGGAAGTGGTGAAGAAGGGAAGTGATGATGAAGGGGAGTGGTGACGAACGGAAGTGGTGAGGAAGGGAAGTGGTGAAGAAGGGAAGTGGTGACGAAGGGAAGCGGTGAAGAAGGGATGTGATGATGAAGGGGAGTGGTGACGAAGGGAAGTGAGGAAGGGACGTGGTGACGAAGGGAAGTGGTGACGATGGGAAGTGGTGATACTAACGGAAGTGGTGACGATGGGAAGTGGTGACGAAGGGAAGTGGTGACGAAAGGAAGTGGTGACGAAGGGAAGTGCTGACGATGGGAAGTGGACGAAGGGAACTGGTGACGATGGGAAGTGGTGACGAAGGGAAGTGGTGACGAGGGGAAGTGGTGACGAAGGGAAGTGGTGACGAGGGGAAGTGGTGACGAAGGGAAGTGGTGACGAAGGGAAGCGGTGAAGAAGGGAAGTGATGATGAAGGGGAGTGGTGACGAAGGGAAGTGGTGAAGAAGGGCAAGTGGTGACGAAGGGAAGTGGTGAAGAAGGGAAGTGATGATGATGAAGGGAAGTGGTGAAGAAGGGAAGTGGTGACGAAGGGAAGCGGTGAAGAAGGGAAGTGATGATGAAGGGGAGTGGTGACGAAGGGAAGTGGTGAGGAAGGGAAGTGGTGACGAAGGGAAGTGGAGAGGAAGGGAAGTGATGATGAAGGGGAGTGGCGAGGAAGGGAACTGGCAACCATGAAGGGGAGTGGTGCATGATGTTGCAAGGGCTCTGTTGTGGGGAGGAAGCCGGAGCACCAAACCTTGTGTTTTTCCGTGTAAAGTGGCTGCAGCCGACGATGAAAGGTACCTCGTCTGTGCGACGGGTGCGGCTGCGGTCGTTTTGTACGCGAATTGTTCCTCCTATGTGTTTTGCAACGAGTGGTTGTTCCTGTGTGCGTAGTTTTATGCGTTTCTTGACGCTGTGGTGGCAGATCGCATTGGAATGGCTGCATGAATGTTGCATGGGCTATGTTGTGGGGAGGAAGCCGGAGCACGAAACCTTGTGTTTTTCCGTGTAAAGTGGCTGCAGCCGGCGATGAAAGGTACCTCGTTTGTGCGACGGGTGCGGCTGCGGTCGTTTTGTGCGCGAATTGTTCCTCCTATGTGTTTTGCAACGAGTGGTTGTGTCTGTGTGCGTAGTTCTATGCGGTTCTTGAATCTCTGGTTGCAGATTGCATTGGAATGGCTGCTTCATTGTCGTCATTTGATGTTGCCACGTGCGTAGATAGGTGCGGGTTTGCCACGGGATGCTGCGAAACGCATTGTAATGGCTGCATGAATGTTGCATGGGCTATGTTTTGGGGAGGAAGCCGGAGCACGAAACCTTGTGTTTTTCCGTGTAAAGTGGCTGCAGGCGACGATGAAAGGTACCTCGTCTGTGCGACGGGTGCGGCTGCGGTCGTTTTGTGCGCGAATTGTTCCTCCTATGTGTTTTGCAACGAGTGGTTGTGTCTGTGTGCGTAGTTCTATGCGGTTCTTGAATCTCGGGGTGCAGATTGCATTGGAATGGCTGCTTCATTGTCGTCATTTGATGTTGCCACGTGCGTAGATAGGTGCGGGTTTGCCACGGGATGCTGCGAAACGCATTGTAATGGCTGCATGAATGTTGCATGGGCTATGTTTTGGGGAGGAAGCCGGAGCACGAAACCTTGTGTTTTTCCGTGTAAAGTGGCTTCAGCCGGCGATGAAAGGTACCTCGTCTGTGCGACGGGTGCGGCTGCGGCCGTTTGTGCGCGAATTGTTCCTCCTATGTGTTTTGCAACGAGTGGTTGTTCTGTGTGCGTAGTTCTATGCGGTTCTTGAATCTCGGGGTGCAAATTGCATTGGAATGGCTGCTTCATTGTCGTCATTTGATGTTGCCACGTGCGTAGATAGTGCGGGTTTGCCACGGGATGCTGCGAAACGCAATTGTAATGGCTGCATGAATGTTGCATGGGCTATGTTTTGGGGAGGAAGCCGGAGCACGAAACCTTGTGTTTTTCCGTGTAAAGTGGCTGCAGGCGACGATGAAAGGTACCTCGTCTGTGCGACCGGTGCGGCTGCGGTCGTTTTGTGCGCGAATTGTTCCTCCTATGTGTTTTGCAACGAGTGGTTGTGTCTGTGTGCGTAGTTCTATTCGGTTCTTGAATCTCTGGTTGCAGATTGCATTGGAATGGCTGCTTCATTGTCGTCATTTGATGTTGCCACGTGCGTAGATGAGTGCGGGTTTGCCACGGGATGTTGCGAAACGCATTGTAATGGCTGCATGAATGTTGCATGGGCTCTGTTTTGGGGAGGAAGCCGGAGCACCAAACCTTGTGTTTTTCCGTGTAAAGTGGCTGCAGCCGACGATGAAAGGTACCTCGTCTGTGCGACGGGTGCGGCTGCGGTCGTTTTGTGCGCGAATTGTTCCTCCTATGTGTTTTGCAACGAGTCGTTGTGTCTGTGTGCGTAGTTCTATGCGGTTCTTGAATCTCTGGTTGAAAATTGCATTGGAATGGCTGCTTCATTGTCGTCATTTGATGTTGCCACGTGCGTAGATAGGTGCGGGTTTGCCACGGGATGCTGCGAAACGCATTGTAATGGCTGCATGAATGTTGCATGGGCTATGTTTTGGGGAGGAAGCCGGAGCACGAAACCTTATGTTTTTCCGTGTAAAGTGGCTGCAGGCGACGATGAAAGGTACCTCGTGTGTGCGAAGGGTGCGGCTGCGGTCGTTTTGTGCGCGAATTGTTCCTCCTATGTGTTTTGCAACGAGTGGTTGTGTCTGTGTGCGTAGTTCCATGCGGTTCTTCAATCTCTGGTTGCAGATTGCATTGGAATGGCTGCTTCATTGTCGTCATTTGATGTTGCCACGTCCGTAGATAGGTGCAGGTTTGCTACGGGATGCTGCGAAACGCATTGTAGTGGCTGCGTCAAGGTTGCTCGGTGCTGCGGCTGCATGCGTAAGACTATTGTCTTTTGCAGCTGAAGATCGTAAATCGTATTGGAATGGCTGCATCAAGGCTGCGAAAGTGAATTGTCAGCAGATTTTCTCAATTTTGGCGCTAATAATTTTCCTTTTAAAATTCCTTTTAAAAAGTGCTTCAAAATCTTCTTTTTGTCGCTTTGGCGTCGAGAATGTGGTTTTGGAGCTGCAATTTCCGACGCCATTGCACGTAGTTCTATTGTGTTTTGCAACTCAGTCTCTGCAGATCGCATTGTAGTGGCTGCGTCAAGGTTGCTTGGTGCAGCGGCTGCATGCGTAATACTATTCTCTTTTGCAGCTGAAGATCGTAAATCGTATTGGAACGGCTGCATCAAGGCTGCGAAAGTGATTTGTCAGCAGATTTTCTCAATTTTGGCGCTAATAATTTTCCTTTTAAAATTCCTTTTAAAAAGTGCTTCAAAATCGTCTTTTTGTCGCTTTGGCGTCGAGATCCGGTTTTGGAGCTGCAATTCCTGTTGTGATTATGTACAAGAAAGCTTCTCTGTGCAAAAACTTTTTCTGTAAAAGCTTGCTGTGTGTAAAAGCTTCTCTGTAAAAGCGTCTCTGTGTAAAAGTTTCTGTGTGTGTAAACGCTTGCCATGTGTAAAAGCACTGTGCGTAAGTGTTCTGTGTAAACGCTTGCTGTGTGTGAAAGCTTGCTGTTTGTAAAAGCTTCTCTGTGTAAAAGCTTGTTGTGTGTAAAAGCTTCTCTGTTTAAAAAGCTTGCTGTGTGTGTAAACGCTTGCCCTGTGTAAAAGCACTGTGTGTAAGTGTTCTGTGTGTAAACGCTTGCTGTGTGTGAAAGCTTGCTGTGTGAAAAAGATTTTGTGTGTAAAAGCTTGCTGTGTGTGAAAGCTTGCTGTGTAAAGCTTTTCTGTGTAAAAGTTTGTTGTGTGTAAAAGCTTCTCTGTTTAAAAAGCTTGCTGTGTGTGTAAACGCTTGCCATGTGTAAAAGCACTGTGTGTAAGTGTTCTGTGTGTAAACGCTTGCTGTGTTTGAAAGCTTGCTGTGTGAAAAAGATTTTGTGCGTAAAAGCTTGCTGTGTGTAAAAGCCTCTCTGTCTGTAAAAGCGTCTCTGTGCAAAAGTTTCTGTGTGTAAACGCTTGCCATGTGTAAAAGCACTGTTTGTAAGTGTTCTGTGTGTAAACGCTTGCTGTGTGTGAAAGCTTCTCTGTGAAGAAGCTTGTTGTGTGTAAAAGCTTCTGTGTGTAAAAGCTTCTCTGCTTGAAAAGCTTGCTGTGTGTAAAAGCTTCTCTGCGAAAGAACTTGATGTGTGTAGAAGCTTTGTAGTACAAAGTAGTACTGGAACGTGTTTTGTGCAAGCTTTGTAGTACAAAGTAGTACTGGGAAGTGTTTGTGCAAGCTTTGTAGTACACAGTAGTACTGGGAAGTGTTTGTGCAAGCTTTGTAGTACAAAGTAGTACTGGGAAGTGCTTTGTCAAGCTTTGTAGTACAAGTAGTACTGGGAAGTGCTTTGTGCAAGCTTTGTAGTACAAAGTAGTACTGGGAAGTGTTTTGTGCAAGCTTTGTAGTACAAAGTAGTACTGGGAAGTGCTTTGTGCAAGCTTTGTAGTACAAAGTAGTACTGGGAAGTGCTTTGTGCAAGCTTTGTAGTACAAAGTAGTACTGGGAAGTGTTTTGTGCAAGCTTTGTAGTACAAAGTAGTACTGGAACGTGTTTTGTGCAAGCTTTGCAGTACAAAGTAGTACTGAAAGCGTGTTTTGTGCAAGCTTTGTAGTACAAAGTAGTACTGGGAAGTGCTTTGTGCAAGCTTTGTAGTACAAAGTAGTACTGGGAAGTGCTTTGTGCAAGCTTTGTAGTACAAAGTAGTACTGGGAAGTGCTTTGTGCAAGCTTTGTAGTACAAAGTAGTACTGGAACATGTTTTGTGCAAGCTTTGTAGTACACAGTAGTACTGGGAAGTGCTTTGTGCAAGCTTTTGTAGTAGACATCAGTACTGGGAAGTACTTGACATGAAAATAGCCAAGAAGAACTGAGCTGACACATGGGAAGGCATGGAATGAGATGAGAAGAGCTCAGATGAGATGAGTTGAGATGAAGTGCAAGTGTGAAGTGTGGAGTGTGGGGTGTGAAGAGTGCAATGTGAAGTGTGAGGAAAGTGTTTGCATTGTACCGGGGTCGCGCGCAGGTCATGTTCTTGGACAGCAACACTGCAACAGCTTCGCACAAAGCACGCAGGCACGGGCCTGGCTGGCGCACGGCGCATGCAAGTTCCTTAGTAGTAGCACTGGGAAGTGATTCATGAAAGCTTAGATGACATATGAGAAGAGATGAGATGAGAAGAGATGAGCTGGGATAAGGTGAGAAGAGCTCAGATGAGATGAAGTGTGAAGAGTGAAGTGTGGTGCGTGAAGTGCGAAGTGTGGAGTGTGAAGTGTGAAGTGTGGAGTGTGAAGTGTGAAGTGCGGAGTGTGAAGTGTGAAGTGTGGACTGTGAAATGTGAAGTGTGGAGTGTGAAGTGTGAAGTGTGAAGTGTGGAGTGTGCAGTGGGAAGCGTGCAGTGTGAAGTGTGGAGTGTGGAGTGTGGAGTGTGAAGTGTGGAGTGTAAAGCGTGAAGTGCGAAGTGGAGCTTCAAATGTGACATGTGAAACAGGACACCACTTTCGCAGAGTGCACGCACGCACGGGCTTGGCTGGCGCACGGCGCATGCAAGTTCTATAGATGAGAAAGGTCTCATATATATCTTTAAGGCAACTTCCGCCCCGCCTCGTGCGGGTACTACTGGTATGATATGATATGATAGAATATAATAATAGAACATAATATAATAATATAGAATACAACAGAATTAGACTAGAATAGAATAGAATAGAAGAATAGAATAGAATAGAATCGAATATAAGTATGATATAATGTAACACAATACAATATAATAAAATTTAATGCAATAAAATAACATATAATATTGAATATCATGTAAATATAATCCAAATAAGAAATAAATATAATCTAAATAATAAATATAATAATATATGATGTGATATCTATAAGATAATATACTATAATATAATGCAATATAACATTACATACTTATAGTATATGGTATATTATATTAAAGTATACTATGTATATGTGTATATATATATATATCCTTATATATCACATTATACTGCATTTCTCATCATCTTTTCCCATCTTTCCAACTTCCCCAGTCCCCAGTCCGGGGGCACCTTTGGGCACGGCGTGTTGTAGGAAGGTGCTGTGTAGCGCCTCCCGCAACTTCCCCAGGCGCCCGAAGGCGGCGCTGAGATTGCTCAAGCCCACCGTCAGCTGCGCACAAGGACAGAGCCGTTTGAGGTCGCCCATGGCAGAGATCACCTGACGAAAGATGGCTGCCATGGCCACTTGGAGGGTTGAAGAATTTATGGCTCGGATCTACACTGTGGTTATGTCAAAATAGCTATTGAAAATGGCCATTTATAGTGGATTTTCCCATTGAACATGGTGATTTTCCATAGTTATGTTAGTTTACCAGAGGGTATGGCTCGGATCTATGTTGACATGTGTGTGTGTGTTTGTACAATTTAAAGAAAACTATATAGATGATCTCGATGAGGTGAATGAATCAAGATAGTTTACCACAATGAAATGATAAACAACAATACGAGTACCACAACCAAAACAAATATAAAAATAAAAGTAATCAATCAAAAACATAACAATAATAATAGTAGTAATTAATAGTAACAGTATTATATTACTATACTCTATATGCATAATATATGCATAATAAAGCTTTAAATGTGGTGTCGATGCGACAAAAGCGCCTCCATGGGATGTTCATCGTGCCGCAAGGTCTGGAGATGGCAATCCAAAATGATGTCTTCCTCAGTGACTCCCATCCTCCCTGGAACTATGGCTTGGTCTGAAAAACTAGTACAGTATCCCCAAAATGCTTTGGTTTATGAAGTTCAGTTTTATCATAGTCCCTATATGTTCATATATGTTCATATATTTTCATATATTTTCCCTGTTCAAAATGACAATAAAACATGCCATTAAGGTGGGGTGTTTCGTTGGGGTAGCCCGTTCTCAAATAGACCATGATAGACCCGTTTATCCAGGTCAACCTTGGCCGTGATTCTGGGGTAAAATCCGTCCATCACCATCTGATGGATAACATCTCTGATAACATATCTTGATCTTTTTTTTACTGAGGTGGGTGTTGGTGGTTTAAATTCGCCCAAAACATCACCCAAACATTCTTGGGTCACCGAGCTGATGGAGGGGTGAAAGAAATCATGAACATGTCAACAACAGTGTCATCCAAATATTCGAACCATCCTGAAGTAGATAGATTTTGATAGAATATGTTCAAAATTGATGCATTTTTAGTGAATCTGATTTACATTCCCATATTCTATCTACTCCGGGATGACTATTGAATACTATTGATATAGATACATAACACCACAACTGTCACCAAGATTCCGCAGGGAAGTCCAGTTTCTGCCTGAGCAAACGATAGCTTCTCTGAAGTAAGGCTACCTTGGTACAAGCAGTTAAGAAACTTGGGTGTGTCTGAACAATTCTGAAAATGCTGAGATTTACCCTCTGGTTATTTAACATAGCCATGGAAAATCACCATTTTTAATAGGTAAACCCAGGTAAAGCATCTATAAATGGGCCATCTATACCATGGCTATGTTAAATAACCAGAGGGTAATCCCCCAAATGGCCATTTCACTGGAAACTTGGCCATGATAATCCGCTGGGATGGCTGGGACCTCAAACTCTGAATTCATGGTTCGCCACGGGTCAGCTGCTTAGCATTGATACAGTCAATCCCAGTGACTCAGCTGCAGCTACACCTAGGCCCTAGGCCGGAGAGGTTGATGTTTGGTTATCATTAATCACTGCAGCCTATGAAAGGTAAAACGACCAATCTGGTTGAGCCATGCCCATACCACGCTATTCGGGTCCATGTTCAACCTGAAATGATTCAGTTCAAAATCTTGAGTTTTTATTCATTCTAGGTGTTCTGCAGACTGTAAAGGTCTCAAACGGTCTCCAGATTTCGTCCCATTTCAGGATTTCAGATTTTTCCCCCAAACTGGATCCAGATATATAGCTCCAATGGGAGCTGGGCTGCTTTGTCCTTGGCTGTAACAGCACGGCCCTGCTCACCAATGGCCATCACAACCAGTGCTGCCCCGTACTTCATGGTCTCCTGAAATTCCGAACAGCATGGGACCAGCGAGCCCAGATCCAACGCTGTGCTGAGCTGCTGAACCAAAAGGAATCAACGATACCTAATGGATATTAATGGATCCTAATGGCCTAGTTGTAGTAGCATCTCTTTGGAATAGACCTGAACCAATTGGAGGGTCCTTTTTGATGTTGACCACATTGAAGATTCACATGAGTCACATGATCTACATACAAATGCATCCAGCCGAAGCAACGGGTCACGTGTTCAGCAGCATCAGTTTAAAGGTAAATAGGGCCCAACAAATCAGATAGGCAAATGTCCACTCAGTGTCTGTAGCATTCATTCCGTAGCCAGTGGTCATGGGCCATGGGCAGGAGCATCTTTTGAGCAGCTTGACAACGTAAAACCATTGTATCAAATGGGATATGGGCAGTGGACCCGACCCAAGCGTGCATGTGGAGAAGTTTCATCTCATTCAACTTGGGGCGAATTCTTCAAATATCCTCTACTGACGGGAAGCAAGGAACTGCGTGTCAAAACCCTGTTCCCCTGGTCACCAAAATCGCAATTTTCAGTCCCCACCTGTCCCTGATCCAGTGATCCAAACCCAACTCCGACCCTGATCCAGGACCAAGAGCAAGGTAAGCTCCTTGGCCAGTTGTAGGAATTCATCTTCACCCACCATCAAGCAAATGGCGTTGACGATGCAGCGGCCCTGCAGATTGCCGAGACCTGTGGCACAGATCAGCATGGGCGTGGTGGGCTACCATGTCAAATATGTTTCGCTGACAGTGTGGAATTTCTTACAATATGAGGTTTGAACTAAGGCTTGTGTTCATATGTTTACTAATTATGTCATTTTGTTAATGTGTCAACAGAATTTTGTCTACTAAATCTGCGCTGTTTCACACACAGAATACAGTCGAAATCTGAGTCCAGCAGAAGTTGTTCTCTATTCATAGTCTATTGCAACCCCCAAAAAATTGGAATCTGATATGTAAAATGAATTTCTAGAATAGCGATAACTTTTAACTTCATATTCATACCTGTTCTGAAGCTTTATTGGAGGTTCCCCTCTGTTTTTTTTTTTACATAGCTATGCAAAATCACCATTTTGAATCGAACCATTTTCCGTAGCTATGCTCAAAATTACCAGAGGGTAATTTCCATGAATATCCCAATATTGTCAAACTCTCTGTTAATCACCATAAAATCCCATTAAATCCCCATTAATCACCATTAATGCCTCATCTACATCTGCACTTTGGACCATTGGCACCAGGTTTTGTCGTGCCGGCCTTCCTTCACCACCTTCCAGTCCGACGAACAGATCATCATGGGAGATTTCGCCACGCGAGGATCAGCGTCGCAAAGGGTGGTAAATTTGGTCATCAGCACCTTGGTGCTTGGCTTGCAGAATCTTTCAGGTGGATAATTAATATAGAAATTTCTAGTGTTCAATCATGTTCAATCCATAAAAATTGAGGAAACATAGAATTCAAAGTGTATGACTGAAGTGCACCCAGGAACTTTGCTGCCACGGTTGCTGCCGTCATTGGCCACTCCATCCACGCAAATATCCTCAGGCCAAGTCGTGTCAGGTATTTCAAAGCAAAACCCTCCAAATTCGTCTTTCGCGGCTGAAAAAATGAGGTTCAAACCTTTTTCGTATGTGATGGCATGCTAAAGATTTGTAAAACGTTACATTGTGAACACACCCCCACTTTTGCTGATGAAATACATGTTTGAAGCCATATTTTGGCTGTTAAATTCTCAAAAAACCAAGATCATTGATTTGTGCATTTGTTTTTGCAACGGTCCATCTTCACCCCGTATCAAGCAGCACACTTTTTTGCACCCAGGCTCCAAGATGTCAGCGCCGTTGTCGCTGTCTGCGGCGCAAAGATCCAGGGCTTTAGACCTCACAGAAGTCTAATCATCACACACATACACAAATATACATATCATATCGTATATTATATATATATGGCAGTGTGTCAAAACCTTGTACCCCTGGTGAACATCAAAATAGCTCGTAAATGGATGTTCATCCCCCTAAAAATGGTATTAATAGGTATTGATCCATAGCCAGATATTACATTATATTACTATATTATAAGTGGGGATATCCAGCAATGTCCATGGCCTGCATATTTGATGTATCTGTGTATATATTAATTAGTGCATATCAAATAGTTGTATATAATTATATATATATATACACATCATATGTGGTATATATATGCATATCTAATCGAGACATTTCCTTGATAATGATTGACCCATCTGACACATATCTATCCAAGAAATTTTGAAAGATATTGTATCTAAGGAGAATGTATCAAACATTTGATATTGCGGAATGGCTGGTGGTTTGACCGGGTGGACAAACCAAAAAACAATACATACATATGTATATGTATATGTATATTGTAATCAAGCGGTTCTGTTCCAGAATATGGATGTTCATAACCGTCATAACCTTGCTGAGTTCAGAGACCCAAACAAAAACAAAAGAAGAAACGTTGGAGATATGTCTGCGCAGGATGACCAAAATACCACATCATGCACGTTATACTACTATGCCGCAGACTTGTGTCATTCGTAAAGTCTGCAGTCTGCATGTCAAAACAAGATCCTAACATTTCCAGTTCATTTTTGGGGATGTCCATCACCAGAATACTGGCTGATCTAATTAACCCTACATACCCACTTACGTCACTGGAGTTATAATCCATTCTGCTATATAACTACGGTGAACCACCAACCATGCCCGATACCCCTTTGTAGTATGTTTAACATCATCAGCTTAAAGTTTTGATCTTTAGCCAAGAGGCAAAGAAGTGCTTCGCCCGTTAGACTTGAAGTCATCCATGAGTTCCTTGAACTTTCCTGGGGCAACAAATGCAAGAACCCCAAGGATAGCTGGTCAAAATCAGGCGTGCCTTGTGATATTGCAAATTCAATGGTTCTGAGATATGTCTAAGAATACTGAACTGTTTGCACTTTGCACGGTACCCCTAAAAATAATGAACTGACCTGGTTTTACCCGTACCGCCTGGTCATGTGGCGACAGCGTGGGTTTGCTAGCATCTGGAAGTGGATCTTCAAGTCACAGCTTTGACACCGAAGAAAAACATGAGTCTGACCCGTGCAGTACAGTTCATGACATAGTGACATAGAAGAGGCCAACATTAACATCGGCTAACAGGCATAGCAGGCTAATATGATAGGTCAATATTGCTTGGAATATTTGGCGATTCGCACTTACAGTAGAAATATTGGCCGGAATGGACATTCAAATATATAGATTCTGCTCAGTTCTCCGAGATGAAATATTGTTCAAACATGTGGTGCCAATGCAAAACTGGTCGCATCTGCCATCAAACCAATTTGGGTATAGCAAAAACATGAGCCTAACAGCCTAACGCCAAGTGAACTGCGCCACACTTCCACAAGATGTTTGTACAACAAATTTCTTGCTTTCGTAATTCCTCCTTTTGTTGTGATTATGTCCCAACAATATGGGCTGCTTCAAGGAACAGCTGCAACTCCCCAATGAAGAAACACACCTTGACATGTCACTGATGGTTTTGTTGCAACATGTTGGGTCTACCGGGGGGGTTTGCCCGGAATTTTAACATGTGGGGTGGGGTGGGGTGGGGTGTGTCAACGTTGGTGTTCATGTGTACACATGGTACGCTGCTGGTGTGTTGATGTGTACACATGGTACGTGGGGTGGGGTGGGGTGTGTCAACGTTGGTGTTCATGTGTACACATGGTACGCTGCTGGTGTGTTGATGTGTACACATGGTACGCTGCTGGTGTGTTGATGTGTACACATGGTGCGCTGCTGGTGTGTTGATGTGTACACATGGTATGGTGTGTTCATGTGTACACATGGTACGTGGGTGGGGTGTGTCAACGTGGTGTTGATGTGTACACATGGTACGCTGCTGGTGTGTTGATGTGTACACATGGTGCGCTGCTGGTGTGTTCATGTGTACACATGGTACGCTGCTGGTGTGTTGATGTGTACACATGGTACGTGGGGTGGGGTGGGGTGTGTCAACGTTGGTGTTCATGTGTACACATGGTACGCTGCTGGTGTGTTGATGTGTACACATGGTACGCTGCTGGTGTGTTGATGTGTACACATGGTGCGCTGCTGGTGTGTTCATGTGTACACATGGTACGCTGCTGGTGTGTTGATGTGTACACATGGTACGTGGGGTGGGGTGGGGTGTGTCAACGTTGGTGTTCATGTGTACACATGGTACGCTGCTGGTGTGTTGATGTGTACACATGGTACGCTGCTGGTGTGTTCATGTGTACACATGGTGCGCTGCTGGTGTGTTCATGTGTACACATGGTACGCTGCTGGTGTGTTCATGTGTGCACATGGTACGCTGCTGGTGTGTCATGTGCAAACGTATCACGCAATCGCAGTGTCATGTTTGATTGTCCATCGTTTCCTCATCTTGATTGGGTTCAATGTATTTCTTCTTGCCATGTGTCTCCTTTCTGTCTGACTCTTTCTGTTTACTTCTGGTGTATGTGATATATATATATATATATGTATGTATACTTCATGTCTGTCTATATATGTATGCAAATCGTGTCAAGTGGAAACGCTGTAAATTACAGGTGATTGTTGATTTTTCCGCCAGATTTGGCGAAAAAAACTCAAGTTTGGACATTGTCAAAACATTCAATGATCAATTGCATCTGAAAAAAAGGATATGAAGTCTACTTGTGAACAACCACATTTTATATGAAAAAAACACAGTAAAATCAACACCATGACTACAAGAACAACAAACGGCTGCGGATACTCATCACATGTAGTCACAGTCGACCTTGTTCCAAGCCGGGCAAACCCCACCGGCGGAGCCAACATGTTGCAAGCCATCTGAAAGAGATGCTCATCATTTGGGGACCATTCCAGAATATCCCCGTCCTGCAGCAAAAGATTCACCGCCATGTTCAATGGGGAAATGCCTATTGTCATCAACTCGTCAGTATACAAATCATCAATATAAATCATTAGAAATAGTCTAAATTCTATGAAATCCCCATGATAGTCACTGATCACCACGAAATCCCGAAATCCATCATATGTCCCCATCAATCATCTAAATTTCATAAAATCCCCATTGTTGACTAAATAACCATTGATCCATCATCTATCCCCATCATATATATATATCCCCTATGAAAATCCTTCAATGATCCCCTACCCTACCACCGCCATTCCACCCCAATCGGCGCCAAAGGCACCAAAGGCTCGTGTGCTTCCACGCTGTCCTATGAGGGTGAAGCTCTCCACCACATGGCTTTCAAGGCCGGAAAGCATCAACTTGCTCTTGACCTCCGATGGGGACTCCAGCTCCAGTTGAGGATGGGGAGTCGGGGTTGTGGCTTAATTAAGATGTTTTAAGCATCATAAAAACCACCACATTTCTTTTACTAAGTTGGTGAACATAGTTCCAATAGTTGGCTTTGTGGAAGATCTATCGAACTATAATGGATGCTAATGGGGGCTATAAACGTTACAAACCAAGCGACAAGACTGGGGGGCCTACCAACCGAAAAGGTTGGGGGCTTGTTGCGAAGACAGGGTAAATTAACCAATGGGAAGACGGGAAAATGATCTTGATACCTTTATGCCATTTGTTGAGTAGCTCAAGTGGTTGCTGGAAAAAATCGCCGTAAATCCAACTCTGACTGCAAGTATCTCACCCGACCCAGAAAATGGCTCAGCTAGATACCACAATATCATCCAAACTCTTAGTAGTTAATCAATATTCCAATGGCTTGTCAGTTTATCAATGTCTATCAATATCCTGCTAAAATATGCTAAAATAACCGTATCATCAAATTTCCCAATTGTATCTCAATGTTAATCATCCAGATTATCAATGCTTATCGGATAATCATTGAGAAAATCTTACCCAATACCAATATCTATTCCCAAATTACCCAATAATTGATCAATATCAATATCCCAAATGCTTATCACTATCCTGATGGTCTATCACTAATTATCCCAATGAGTTATCAACTTTTCAATGTTTAATGTGTGTCATAAACATTTCCCAACAGTTCATAAATGTCCCAATAGTTTATCACTATGGAGGTCTCCAATCCATGAACATCCATGGAGGTACACCCAGTCATCATCCATTTTTGTTGGGGGGATTTCAGGATTGTCTATGAAAATGATGAAAAACATAGAATAGGTTTTGTTTTGTTTTTTTTGCGTCGGGTTTTGGGTTTGGTTTTGGCTTTCTTTCCTGGTACCATTTGCCTTGTATTTGCAACAGAACTAGAACCTGTCATTTCGCATGGTATTTGCTACATTTTGGTATGGTCACTCTGCATTTGGCATGGAATTGCTACATGTGGCAATGTTCGCCTTCCATTTTGCATGGTATTTGCCAGAGTTTTGCATGTCGACCTCTCATTTGCATGGTATTTGCTATATTTTGGTACTTCAAACGTTCATGTGGGTTTGCTGAGGCTTCTTTAGGCTTTCATTTAGGGTTTCATTTAAGGTTTCATTTAGGGTTTCATTTAGGCTTTCATTTAGGGTGTCATTTAGGGTTTCTTTAGGGTTTCTTTAGGGTTTCATTTAGGGTTTCTTTAGGGTGTCATTTACGGTTTCTTTTAAGGTGTCATTTATATAAGGTTTCTTTAGAGTTTCATTTAGGGTTTCAATTTAGGGTTTCATTTAGGGTTTCTTGAGGGTGTCAATTTAGGGTTTCATTTAGGGTTTCAGTCAAGGTTTCATTTGTTATTTTTTTCAGAGTGTCGTTTAAGGTTTCTTTGGCATGTCATTTAGGGTGCCATATAAAGTTTTTTTGGGGTTTCATTTACTGTATGTTTTTTTAGGGTTAGTTTATGGTTACTTTAGGGTTCATTTAGGGTTTCATGTAGTGTTTCTTATCAGGATTTCTTATCAGGATTTCTTTGGGTTTCACCTAGGCTCTCTCTAGGGTTTCATTTAGGATACAAACAGGAAAGAATAAAGCAAAAGAAAATGAAAAACACAGAGACAATAAAGACAGGAAGCAAAGAAGCAAAGGAGCAGGAAGTAGAGCAGCAAAAACACATGACTGAAGAAAAGAAAAAGTAGAATAGTAGAAGTAGAAAGGCACAGAAGCACAAAAGCAGAAAAGCAGGGAAAACAGAGAAGCAGAAAAGCAAAGAAGCGGAGAAAGCAGAAAAGCAAAGAAGCAGAAAAGCAGAGAAGCAGGAAAAGCAGAGAAGCAGGGAAAGCAAAAAGCAGAGAAGCAGGAAAAGCAGAGAAGCAATGAAAGCAGAGAAGCGGAAAAGCAGAGAAGCAGAAAAGCAGAATCAGGAAAGCATAGAACCAGGAACCCACGAAAAAATCCAAAACCTGCCGCAAAAAAAAACAAAAATTAATAGCCCTCCTAAAAACAATCCTATCCAGCTATTGGGGATCCCCCATGACTATGGATACTATGGAAACTCCCCATGTTCCACCTCCGGCAGCGCGCGGGTGGCCCGTTGCAATCCACCCAGCGCGCTGAAGTTCGATGGCAGGCCACCAGGGCCCAGGCCCACAAAGTTGGGCAGTTCCTGCGCCCAATTTGCCAATTTGGGCAGGAAAAAATGGGGAAAAAATAGGGGAAAACATGGAGAAATGGTGATGGTCTGTTTCTTTTTATGGGATTTGATGTGGAGATTTTGTCAATAAGACCCTGGGATTTCGTTGGGGATTTGTAACAGTGTGAAGTTTTTGTGGGGATTCACTGGCTATGGGCAAATTACTATAGTTCTTGGGTTCCTCGCATTTCCTTCTGTAGAGCTTGAGACAAAGAGATTAAGATCATTTTGCCAAATTGACCGCAGTTCAAATGTACAGAACCTTGAGAACCACATGTTTCTTCCCTAAGTCTGCAGGAAACACATGCCCAGAACCTATCCCCACAGCACAGCCAGAACTTCACAACGAATATCCTGGCAAAAACAAGTTGAAGTCATGCAAAGCAACCCCCGAAGAGAATCCTAAACATAATGGGGGAAATTATATAACATATATATATATATTTACAATATGGATATATATATATATAACTGTGTTAACTAATCTTAACTATATATATATATGGTGCAGCGTGGCCACCCCACTCCCCCCCCCCCAAGGGGCACGGGTGGACAGTATCGTCTGGTTCTTTGGCCCCCCCCCTGTGGCCGTGGTGGTGGTATGGTTCTTTGGTCCCCCCCCCCCTGTGGCTGGGTGGTGGTATGGTTCTTCTGGTCCCCCCCCCTGATGGCTGTGTGGGTTGTGGTATGTTGGTGTGTTGATGTGGTTATGTTTGTTATGTTGGTATGTTGGTATGTTGGGTTATGTTGTATGTGGTATTTGGTATGTTGGTATGTATGGTATGTGGTATGTAGGTATGTATGTATGTATGACGTAGGTATTGTAAGTAGGTAGGTAGGGTAGGTATGTAGGTAGTATGTATGTATATACACCACACCGGGGGCATCATACCCCCCCCATCCTATGGGGGGGGGGGTGGGAACACGGGACACGGGACCATATATATGGATTCTATCATATTATAAATATCATCTGTCATATCCTGGAAATGTATATGATGTTGTTTCTCTATATCTTTTTGGGAGACCCTCAAGAAACCCAAAAAAACGCAACACGTTCGTTCTCCCCGGGCCTTCATGGCTTGGAGAGCTTCTGGACCTGGTTGACTCGAAGTCTCAGATTCTTCTTGGGGCTCTGGGGACATTTTAAAAAAAAGGTTGAACCCAAAATCAACGGTGATGTGGAACGTGGTGGTGATGATGATGATGATGATGATGATGATGCTGATGATGGTGGTGGTGATGATGATGCTGATGGTGATGGTGATGGTGGTGATGAGGAGCAGGAGGCGGATTCAGATATAATATGATATAATATGATATAATTATTGAGGTTGAGGATAATATTGATGATGATGATGTTGTTGAGGATGAGAATGATGAGCTGAGTGGTGACGACAAACAAACCGCTGATTGCCTGAACCAAACTAGTCTCGTGGACGCAACATGTCTGGGCCGCGGTATGAAATCTTGACAAACAGATTTCCTTCGGGGAAGAAATCCGATCATCCAATCCATAAATTGGTTTCCGAGAAATAGTCGTGTGTGAAAAACATTCTGAAGGTCACAAAATGCTCAAAACACTCAAAGATACCGACGCCCTCACTATCTCACTCCCATCACCCAAATACTGATATGTTCCAAAATGTTGAGCAGTCACAGTTGTCACAGTGAGATTTCCCTGTGTTCATCTGTTTTCTGCATCTCAAAACCTCCTTCCAAGATCCGCGCCTGATTTCATGCTGCTGAAGCAGCCGCACTGCTGCAGCAACTGGCTATAGCTGGTGGACACCTTGCTACCCACCACGCCCACGGCCAGTGGCCGCGCATGCTTCACGCTGATGTAGAAGGCGTCCGCGGTTTGACCCCCCATGGTGCGGCCGGTGGCGGGATCGATGACTGCCTGGGGCTGAGGCATACCCGCCTGGTTTCATTTTGGGCACTCCTAGGGTTTGATGTGACTTAACTGATACATACTGATACCTATCTGGAATCAACTGGAATCATCTGGAATCTATGATAAATGGCTGCAAACATTTGGACCGTTGCAAAAGCACACCAGTTGATGGTCTTTCCTGGCCTAAGAAACTTGGATGGTTCCAAGTCTCAAAAATGACAGGGGTGAGTTCCAGAAATACTACTCAAAATCGGCAGCCACGAGTAACAAACCCGCAAGGAAACACACATTTAGATTATTAACTCATCAAATTCAATTGAAACCAAATCAATCATTCCAATTCTTGTAGTCAAAGAAAGTGACCTCTTCAATCACCAATGTTCACCATCCTTCTAGTTTATATATATATATATATATATTAACTATTTAGTTCTAGGTTTCATATGTTTTTATATAAACATATATGGTGTTATAATGGTTTTCTAGTTCATTTGTTTGTTTTCAAACAACTTCTCCAACCTTTTGGATCACGGATCCAAGGCACGTGGATGATCAGCGGCGGTACCCGTTGCTTCATCTGCCGGTAGACCTCGCTGGCCGCGCACAAGGCCGCCTTGGCCGAGCGCGCCTCGTGCATCTCGAGGGCCAGCAGGTCGACTCCTGCGTTGGTGACTGGTGAGGTGGAAATTCAGTGGATGATCAGCCACTATCTAAATAGATACTAGATAATCATATATGATAATAATCGTCTATCTATGATTATTATCATTTATCTATATAATGGAAAACATGATAAGAATCATGACTATCATTGATCATCTATCTATATATATAATGATCCATTGATATGGATTGATTGTCTACATCATGATCCATTGGCTGATTATTTCATGATCGTTTTTCTTCCTGACAGGACCAATATTTTGGTCGGAAATATGATAGGAGATGTATATATATAATGTTCATTCAGGCACACACAGATTTGAAGGATTAAGCAAAACATATGCAATTCTGGATCGTGCCATGACTCGAGATGTCAGCAATATCGAATGCGGCAAGGTGCGGTACACGAAAGAATTTCGTTCTCATCTCTGTTTGGATGGAGCCATCACTCTTTAGCCAGTTTTCGATGCTTAGCACAGATGATAAAGGCATGCATCATATTTATTCATATTTGATATGATCTCACAATACCATACAATACCAGTACCAGCAATTATGATGCCTATAGTATCCCAATAATATAGTATCCATATAATCCATGTGTAAGATTGAATCTATAAATATCTACAAATTAATATAGCCATGAATATAGATTACATACCAGAAACCATGAAACTCAGTGATTATGATACCATGAAACCATCCTTTCAAACTCATCATGTGCTCCTCCTTCTGCTAAGCCTTTGATTTGCTCAGTGTAGGCCTCAGGGCATCTTGGGTACCCCAGAATTACGTGGGCTTAAGCAGCACAAATGGAGGTTTCCGAAAATGGAGCCCAACTGATCATCCAAAATTGGTTATTATCCATGGGAAAACCAATAAGCAATGGTTTGGGGTACCCATATTTTAGGACCCCCCAAATCCTGACGACAACTCCTAGGCAACCGATTTTTTTCGCTTGTCTCAAGCAGCAAACCTAGAGTTCAAGAACAGGTGTCCCATGGTGTCCCCAAAAAATGGGTCGTTCCTTCCACGAAAAATCCTGACCATGGAGTTTCACTCTGACACTTTGTTCAGGATAATTGCAAGCGAAAAACCTCCACCATTTCATCGAAGTTTGTGCGCACTTCACATGGCCTTGGGTGGCAGAAGGTTGGCTGTGGGATACTTTAAAATTGGCTGCCGCACACATGATGCCAACGTCAAGCAGTTGCATGGAACTACCACACATACAACGCATACAACACCTGATGTATACTTCTTAGAATCTTAGAAAGATAGGGTGTCTTTGCTAGCTTCCTGGATGACTTTCTCTATTTGACGGGAAAAAGGTCTGGAACATTCCAGTACATCAAATATGTTGCCACCTACACCCAGCTACACTCCAGAAAGTGTGATTCACATGAAACAAACATCGGAACTTGGCCCACACCAACACGCCTTGACTTGGGAACTACGGTATAATTTCATATGTATATGGATGTGGGTCAAAATGGAAGACCTAGGGGACCACAGATGGAAATGTCTAGTTTAGTATTAACCATCCAATTATTGGGGTACCTAATTTTGACCCATACCCATATAGTATATCTGCCTCTGGATCCCTTGTCTGCAAGACTTCAAGCTGGCTCCAATCACAGATCATCCAACCCAACCCCCTGGGATGGGTCAAATTCTGACCTTTTAAGTGGGGGATGATGGGGGACATTCCGCGTAGATCCCAAATTGGGCCAAGGTACCCCACCAATCCAGCGACGAAGCGTGGCTTCTTGACTTCCTGTTTCGTCACCTCCGCCGCCGCACGCTTGGCCAACCTGGGCGTGAAATCGCTGCGCCGCAAGCGCCCCGTAAAAGCCTCCGGGCCTCTGCGTGGGTACCTAGTTACAATAGGTCTGTGGCCAAGGCCTCACTTTGATTTGGCTGAATCAAGGTGAAGTTGATACATTCCCAAGCAACTGCTGCACTAGAACGCATGCCAATCACATGATTGCCTCCTATGAAAAGACCAGGGAGCTGGGTATTGGGGGGTCTGACTTTCAGACCACAACTACCCATCAAAAAATGAACTCCAGCACCCTTCCCTGGTTTGCATCAATAATTTTGCGCCAAGATACTGTGCTGCTGCTTTGTTCATCTCAGTCACAAACTTTCCGGTCTTGAAGTCCTTCTGACCAAAGGCATTTGCCTTCAAGGTGTTGGTGCAGCAAATGTCCACCCCAGCCTTGAAGTAGTCCTGGCCATGCAACATCATGCAACTGTGAGCTGCAGGTTCCCTACACCAGGGTTTACATTTATATATATATATATTATAGTAAAATATATAGTACTTTATATATGATATGTGTATATATATAATATTATATAATATGTTCTACATAATACAAATATGTTCACACACTAGAATCAGAGGCTTACTACTGACTCAGAGTTGCTCTATGTACGACATGTTGGAAGATGCTTCGGACCCACATGGATGCGCCGTGCCAACATGTCGTCATTCGGTTCGCGCAGCTCCTTGTGGGTGTCACTCACGAAGCTTGGTTTGGACAAACTCAGCAGATCCACGTTGCCCATCCTGAAAAATTTCCACCGATCCAATGGCAGGTGTCATCTTCCCCCCAATTCACCGTGTCCAACCTGTGAAAAAACACCTTGGTCCACAAGTCCTCAACTGACGGTCATACCCCCATGCAGCCCCCATGATTTTCTCCAAGAATTGACCACCCTCCGAGAATCGACCCGATCATGTATGATCATGTATGATCCATATGTTTGCATCAAAAACTAAACATCATCAACCCGACTACAAGGTCAGAATGTTAACATATGTTAACCAACCTTTTCCACACTTGTTTTCAAACCGAACTGCTTTACCCGCTGGAATTCAAAAATAGCACCGCAAAACCTTCATTTTCGCCAAGCACATCAGCCATAAGTGAGCGTTTATGGACTCTAGTTTGGGGACCCCTCAAAAAAACAACAGGATTCGTCTCCCTCCGAACAAATGGAGATCTTAACCCCAAATCCATCAGATTAGAATCATATTCCAATGGATTTTCCCTATGAAAAAATCACCCTTTAGAGGTAACCAGGTATACCCTATTAGAAATCATAACCATAAATCCATATAAATCCCAGAATATACCAGAATTTTATACATGTTTTCTATGTTTTTCCCAGCTAAAAATTTTCATGTTCCATCATTTCCCCAACTCAAAAGACGGCATTTTTCAGACACAAAAAAAACGACCGAAATTTTCGCCTTTTCCGAGCCGCTGCGGTGCCGAGTCCCTCAGCACCTTGGCGCGTTCGCCGCGGTAGTCGGCTTCGCTGAGCTTCCCCGAGAGCAGCTTGGCGCCACAGCCCGAGTCCAGGACGATGGGACGGGTCCTGCAAGGGATGGGATGGATGATGGAAGGGTACCTAACATAGATATATAATATATATATATATATATATAATATTGTCATTATGTAATTACATTAAACTATATATATAATCATTATTATTATTATCACTATTATTATCATTATTATCATTATTATCATTATTATTATTATTACTAATTATGTACATTAAACTAATCATTTAATATTATCTATATTGGTGTGATACTATATTAGTGTATATATAATTATTATAATATATATATATACTGGTTGGTGGTTGACCTACCCCTCTGAAAAATATGAGTTCGTCAGTTGGGATGATGACATTCCCATACATTCCCAATATATGGAAAAATCAAAAATGCTCCAAACCACCAAACAGTATGTATATATAATTATATATATATGTCTGTCTGTCTGTCTGTCTGTCTGTCCGTCCGTCCGTAGGTATGTATATATGTATGTATGTATGTATGTATGTATGTATGTATGTATGTATGTATGTACCTTAAACTAATCATCTAATATTATTTATATTGGTGTGATACTATATTAGTGTACATATAATTATATTATATATATGTGTGTGTATGATGGAGACAGTTGCAACTGGTTGAGCCACCCCCCAAATAAAGATTATAGAATGGGGTCACTTGGAGACCAACATAGAAACGGACATTGCTAAGCCAGAAAACCCAGAGCGAATCCACCGAGCATCTTCATCTCAGAAGCGAGGTAAATGGACACGTCCACCGCACTCACCTTGCCTTTCATGATCACCTGGCTTGGAAAAAGAACGAGTACAACCATATGATAAAACAAATGGGTACCACCTTTTGCAGATTAGTTTTTCATGTTCACTTTTCACTCAATGATATAAGTCAACCAAAAAAAACATAACTTATATCATGGAGTAAATTCGTGTATACCACCAACCAACAACGCGTGATCGACATTTTTCCTTCTTTCATAAAACATGGGGTAAATCTATTAATCCATCCAAAGCCATAAATTGTGGGAATATATTGCAGTTTTGATCTTTGGAAAACCTCGGGTTAGTCGCAATATACTGTAATATCATATTATATCATAATATTATAGTTATACAGAAAAATTATCATAATCTAGGTTGGCTTTTACACCCAGACCTGAAAGTCCATGCAATATCTAAAATGACGTGTAAACTGCAACGCGGCGCATGGGGGAAATTGGGGGCTCCTCAAGATGCGCTTCGACTTCCACACTGGGGAGTAGTTGTTCATTGCCCTATGTTGTTGGACCTCAATATATCCCCCTCAAAAATTAAGTGGCCAACATGGACTCCACACTTTGTAGAGGAAATTCTTAAGTGGGGATCTCTATCTATGATGGGGGGATGTCCTAAAATGGGGCTCCCCCAAATCATCTAAAGTCTAAAGTTACACCATTTGTCACCATTAAAATCCCATTAAAATCCCTATTAATCACCATTAATGCCTCATATAATCCCATTAAATCACCATTAGATCACATGGAAAATGGGGGTCCCCCAAATCATCTAAAGTTACACCATTGATAAGCACTGAACCCGTGGCGACTTGGAGATTATCTTAAGAACCCCCCATAATGTTGCTGAAGCAATAGTAAACCATCCACAATTATCCATGTTTATCGGTGGGATTCCAACCATGAATCCATAGTGGTTTTATGATCTTGCTTCACTAACATTAAAATCCTATTAAATCATTGAATCACTAAATCCCATTAAATCACCATTAGATCACATTATATACCATCTGGTTATTTAACATAGCCATGGAAAATCACCATGTTTAATAGCTAAACCCAGGTAAACCATCTATTTCTATGGGCCATGATTTCCATGGCTATGTTAGTCATAACCAGAGGGTAAATGGACTTTTGTAGTCAAGTCACTGTCTTCGACAGCTTCTCCGGCTCCGCTTTGGTCGTTGGAAGGCGGCAGAGGTCCATCGTGGCCACTGAGGGATCTGCAGCCACTTCTTGTGACCCGTCGGACGGAGAGCTCTTGGGCACCAGGCTTTGAAGGGCTTTCCTGGGCAAAATTACGGTGAATTCATCAACAAACCCCAAAAAGAATTTAGAAGTTGGTAAAATCCTACTAAAATGGTGCAACAAAAATTCCACAAAATAACTGTTCTATCTTTTTGGGGGTTACTATAGTATAATTTCATTGGCAATACATGGTGATTTTAGCATATTTTAGCGGCAATAATGAAGTGGAATGATTCATTTAAGGCCAACATATGAAAAACAACTGTTTAACCAATATCAAAATCGGAAAGTGCCCAACTAGAACCAGGATAGCATATCAAAAAATATCGGAATGGATTGGTTTTGTTGGTGAAAGTTGCGGTTGAAACCATGGTTTTTACATGTTTTTACAAGCAAGTATAGGGGATCCTGAAAATGTTCAGAAGGCATCAGGTGGTGTGAGGTGGATATGATACAGTATGGGATAACATTGGGGTACTCCAATTAAGAGGACGGTTCGAGTCGGAGCACACAATGGTTGTTCTGAAGGTTTTTTTTGAGTGGCTGGTGCCGAGATTTCCACAACTTTGGATTTGGGCTGCCATGCAATCATTTTTGTGACACTATTCCAAGACCTTGTCTCTGACCTTCTGTGAAGTAGGGACCGAGGCTGTGACTTAGGAACCTTTGACCATCCCTCTACCCGGCATCTTCTCCACACTTTCCCAACCTTCCCGACCTGTATCCAGCAGCAAACATAGCAGCAGTAATGGGGTAAACCCAATAGTACACCCTCGATGTGTCATGCTTGATACCAACCCCTTTCTGATGAAATAGGGGATGGTTTATTCTTGGGTTTACCAGATTAGTCCACATCAACCGATCATGACCGCAATAACCTAGTATCAACATCAAAAAAAAAAGTGACACATATGATGAATCTGCTCACATACCTCGTTTTCACCAATGTTAACCATCACCCCATCAACCACATCCGATCATCAACCCAGCATCTTTTGTTCCAGCACATTTTTCATGGTCTCCGGTGCAAAGAAACCCGGCTTGCCATCTAAGGCGGAGGCCAGAGGTTGGCCAACGGCCGGGGTCTTCGTGCTGGGGCGCTTCAAGGGGAAGCAGGTGCCCTTGGGAAGCAAGTTGTTACTGACCTCGGCCGGCCCATCTTCAACTGGCTTCATCCGGGTGTGTCTGAAATTGGGTCATACCAATTAAATGACAGTTATGTTAACGGAAGTGATGATAAACCATGGAGATTTTGGCGAGATTCCCCTCAATTTTTCAAGAAACCCATCTCCTGGAGGTGTTTTAGATGGAAGATGGGCTTTTGTCGGGGATGGAAGCTGGCATGGCTATAAGTCAAAACCAGCAACCACCCGACGGATGGTGCACCAGTGCTGGGGGCCCCTAAGTCATAGCTGGATGCTGGATGGTTATTCCCCCACCTATGGTACCCTCTGGTAAACTAATATTTTGCTGTGGAACAGCACTATTTTTGATGGGTAAATCCACTATAAATGGGCCATTTTCAATAGCAAACTGTTAGTTCACCAGAGGGTAACTATTAACCATTAACCATAGATACCATAGATTATACATATATTAACCATAGATTAACCATAGATTAACCATAGATTAACCGGTGTTGACACAGCCCCATATCCAGTTGACATTCGCCCCGTCACAGGTGGAAGATTCTCCGTAGGCTTGGCGAAGCTTGGGAAGGGTCCTGCACCGGTGAGAAAGTATCAATCATTATAGAATGTGTATAATAATATTATATCATATAGCTTCAAAACCAGCATAAGATGAAGACAAGAAACTCAACATATATATATATTATATGAAATGGTATGAGCAGCCCAAATCTGCATTTACCTGTAGTATACATTGGTTGTATGCAAATGTCATCTACTCAATGCCATCGAAGGTCCCCCAACGTTGCAGTCAAGTGTCATTCCCGCATGGAACTACGTCCCCCAACTGCATGTTGGGGCGACTTTCCCGGGAACTCCCCCCCAACTAAACGCAAGATTTTGGATCGGGCGGGGTGAGTTCACTATAATCGAGTATCATATAATGGTATAATATGATACGCGCCTTGCGGCCAGGCTTTGCGCAGCTTTTCGAAGGCCTCCTGCCGTTCCAAGGGTGACATGTCGATCAAGGCGCGGCACTCGGTGATCACACGCCTGGTCCGTTTAAACGTTTAAGGCTCAACGTGGGATGCCTGGAAGGCCATCACTTTCTGGGGAAGCTCACGATGAAAAAGTGTGATTTCACCAGTACAACTTGGGATTTAAGATGATTTAAGCATATTGTAAGGATATTTCATATGTCATCATGGAGAACTTGAGATTTAAGGGGGATATGACCAACAATATTATATTTGGCTGTCTCTGAATGGGAGATTTGCCAATTGAATGGAAGTCTTCATAGGACCAATGATGATGAACCCATGGATGGAATGGGGCAAGTTTAGCCACTTTGTAAATGGGATCACCGTTCTAGTAGTGAAGTTGGTGGTGTTAGGAACCCGACATTGAAAGGGTTGCATGTTTTGCTGCAAACGGTGCAAATAGAAGAGACAAGACCCAAGAATCCCACTCTGCAGAATACTGCAGTATCTGTCTCTGAGATCATGGAACATCTTCAAACTGGTTGCAATGGGATTAAGGCCTCAATTCTCAGCGGCTATGAAAGTTGGCACACACGTGTTTGGGTCCCTAGAGTTAACTGCGGCTCCCACGATTCGACAGAGTGGGATTCAGGAGCGTGTGTGCACATGGAGACATATCATGCATTATGTACCATCTGGTTATTTAACATAGCCATGGAAAATCACCATTTTTAATAGGTAAACCATCTATAAATGGGCCATGTCCCATGGCTAGGTTAAATAACCAGAGGGTATATAAATGGTAAGAACATGACATGCTGTGAGAATCCAAAACCGTAACACAGCAGGTTCACTGGGGCCGGTGCAGCTGGTGCATTGTCATCTGGCGAGTTCAGGCTGATACTATCAATATGGGGATGGGTCAAAACCCTGGTACCTAGTGAACCCCAAAATAGCTGGTAAATGGATGTTCATCCCACTAAAAATGTATCTATAGGTATTGACCCATACCCATATGACTTTCTGTTGGTTGATGAATCTCACTCAAGATTGCGGTGATCTTTGGAATTGAACTAAAGTCAAAACATCCTGAAACAATGGAATTCCGAGCGTGCAATTTTCCCCTACCAGTCGTGGGGAATTCCCCTGACCACTCTGGCAGTCACCCGAAGACTGCAAAGGCACTGCTTGCTTTCATCATTGAGCATGGCAAAGTGCTTTGCTTCCTCCCAGCTCTCCCAGCAAGATGGGAACAGACTTTGGGCAAATGATGCACCCAAAGCAACACTTGATTCCGAATACCCGTTTGTAAGTACATAATTATAATATATTAATATATAGATATAATCAATATATAATATACATTATATTATTTATTCATATTGTGTATAGTTATATACTATTCTATATATGATCTACTCTTGTAGATGAAGAATCTCCTGGAGTTTGCCAACCTCAACACCGATATAAAACCGTTTCCAGCTCCCAGCTCCCAGCTCCTGCTCTGGGAAGCCTAAGACATCCACCAGGGTTTCCTCCGTGGCATGGGCCAATTCTTCCAGCTTCGGCATCTCCTTTGCCTCGGCTTCGAGAACCCGGTGCCCGGGAAGGGCAACGAATCAAGGCTTTAGGGCCCTGGATTTTTTGCACATCAGTTTCGATAGTTGGGGGTTGTTATGGTTATGGTTTATTCATGTTTATTCTATATGGATGATTCTGGACGTTTTTAAATAAATTATAAGGATACGTTGTGGGGTTTATTTGTATGATATGGAGTATAATATTCATGATGATTATATGAATGTTCGCCAAAAAATAAATGTTGATTCCCCACCAAAAATAACTCACCATAATTACAATATAATTACATAGTCACCTTTGAGGATCACAGCCAGTACGTCAGCACGTCAGCCAAGTTGCAGCGACCGTTCGCCTCTTCCGTCGTTTCTTGCTGTCGTCGGTTTCTGCGGCAGCAGCTGCTACGTCCATTTTTCCTTCGGGCTTCTGATACCTCAAAGTAATCTGAAAGCCGGAAACAAATCTGCAGGATCTGCAGGTCGACTGTCATGCTGGGTTTTATGCATGGAATGTTACCCAGGACCCAGCTGCTTGCCCAACTTCTGGGCACCCCCAAATCCCGTGGTTAATCGTCAATTTCCCAGCCTTAAAATCTGCGGATCTCAGCCTTAAAACCTCAAAATCCAGCGATTTTTGGGGGAGCACAGACTAGGCGCATCTCAGAAAGCTTGGCCCAGCCAGACAAGGGCGGCTCCACATTGGCGGGAGGAACGAAATTCATCCCAGCACTTTCCTGAGCTGCTGCTGGAAACCAGCCGACACAGCCACAGAAAAACACGATATACCCGCTGGTTATGACTAACATAGCTATAGAAAATCACCATTTTTAATAGGTAAACCATCTATTTCTATGGGCCATTTTCCAGTTCGCAAACTGTAAACGTTGACCAGGCCGGGTAACCACGCAATTCCAACATCAAGTGATGGTATAGTCAGAAATCATTCAATAAAATGCAGCTGTGCAGCAAATTATTGACCAGCATTGTATTGTGAATTGTGATTGTCATTGTATTATTCACAATCCTGGTATAGTCCAATCATTAATAGTGATTGTGAAATTTTCTCAAGAAACGATGGTATTTGACCAGCATCAATTGGTTCTTGATTTACACATGGGGAGCACTATGGAACACTCGGGCGAAAGGTCCAAAATGTCCAACACGCGCGAGGTCCTCTCATCATCCAAGCAATTAAAATGAAAGATACCCCTTGTTGAACTAGCATGCCTGACCGTCAATTAAAAACACGTGATTTTCATATTGTTCGTTCAAAGGAAATGCAGTGATGATGATCAAATATCTTGACAAACCTGACAAAATCGGCCATTTGGGAATGTTGTCTCATTCCAACCATCATCTACATTGACGTCGCAGTGATGCATTCGCTGAACCCATCCTTCGAGTTTCTCTCAACGCTTCGGCGATGTTCAACGTGGAGAGGCCTGGAAACCGCTCAGCGTGGCAGCTGCGAACACACTGGGATGATGGCTTCATTCTCTATGCAATGCACGTCGAGCAGGGACCGGATGTGCAAACTTATCGTCCTTGCCTTTGAGATGATCCCACTGGTAGATATAGATAATCATCCTGAAGTACTTGGATAGGATATGGGATTCTCAAAGATATTCCTCAGTTTTATGGTCAATTAAGTCAATTGTGTGAAATGTCCATATTCTATCAAAATGATTCTGTGGTAATAATATATAGAGAGAGAGAGAGAGAGCCGATATATATATATATAGCACACCCAACGCCCCAACCCATCACAACGGCCCTTGCTTCGCACCTTCGGTGTCGATGACCAGCATGTCCCGGCCGTTCTCCCGCAGATTCACCCAGCCGCTCGGAGGTCCGCGCCTGAGCACTTCTAAATTAAATGGCTTACTGTATATGTGTTCCCACTAAAATACACTTATTTGGGAGCATAGATATAGATCGAAGTCAAATATCCCAAGTGCGAATAATAGATTCCAATATATTCCAATGAATCTATACATTCCATATATCTACACCATCTGAGTTTGGTGGAAAATGCCACATGATTTGAAGTCAAATAGCCCAAACCTCCCCAAACTCAATGGCTTTGGCCAAGTCTCATGGAGAAATCCGTGAAGCTGAGCCTGTTTCCAACCACTTGGACCTCTTCCACCACGGCCCCTTGTGGTAGCGTCCCAGGGAAGATCTGGCTGTTCTCTGAGACGCCTGGATTTTTGGACGTCAGGGTGGAAGTTTGGGAAGAAAATGGGTAAACAAAAAGGGAAAAACGGGCCTAAATTAAATGAGGACATAAGCAGAAAACATGACGGCTTTTCGGCAGCCAACATTTGTGGGTCCAAACATGTTGGACCATTGGAAAAGAGAATAACCGGGATTTTAGCATCCAGAAGTCATTCAGTTTGTGGTTACCCGATTTTGACTCATCTCGTCTCATATCCATACGGGACAATGCTCTGAAATTGTTCTGGAACTCCACTCTTGAAGTTACCCTCTGGTAAACTAACATTTTGCGAACTGGAATGAATCACAATATATTTCATGGGTAAATCAAGGATTTCTATGGCCATGGCTTCAATAGCAAACTGTGAGTTTACCAGAGGGTAGTGGACCAAACATGAATCGTCCTCTATTTCTTCTGGGACTAACGCTTCCCCTCGCTGAGACACATCAAAACCGTTGGCTTTCCAGGAACATTAGGACAAATCCCCCATTTTTTTTGTGTAGTATAGAGATTAATTTCTGATAGGTAATTACATCATTCATCTGTTTAAATGGTCCATTGTTCATTTAAATGTTGCATGACAAGAGGGTAGATGTAGAAGCTACAAGGTGGTGCCCCCAAACGATAGCTAAGTTGGTGCACATAACTCCAATAACTATGGTTTTTGTTGGTGATATATCTATAGTTTTCATGGGATTATAAACCAACAAACATCACTGGGGGGCACCACCTTGTACAGTAACATTAATATATTACCCCCCCGTCGTTCCCACCAGGCCTTGCCACACTTTCAAACCATCGCGAGCTGCTCCAACGACCTTCCAGAAACGTCCCGGGCGCGCGGGCTTGTCCTTGGACGCCTCGAAGGGGAGGCCACCAAGGTGTGCGTCAGGCGCCGCAGACCGATATTTCCTGGACCGCGGGTCTTACCCTCTGGTAATTTAAGAGTTTGCTATTGAAAATCGCCCATTTAGTTCGTTGATTTACCCATTAAACATGGCACATGGTAATCCATAGTTATATTAGTTTACCAGAGGGTAAACATCTCAAAACTGGCCAGTTTTGGGATCAAACCAACTCCATGTTTGGATTAATGGTGATTAAACCAACTCCATGTGATCAAACCAACTACAGTGAACTGTACATGTTTGGATTGATGGTCCGCTTGATTTACACATGTTTAGAAGTTTAGACATTGAGGCCCTGTTGGGACTTGGAATTCTGGAAAGCTATCAGGATGAGTAGTTTGTGAGAAACGTTCGAGACTGAGCTATGGCTCCACAAAGATCAAAAATTTGTCGGTCTTTTGAGCTCCAAATGTTGAGAAATGCCTATGTGGTTCTGTCTTTGGAAAATAGTTTTTGGTCTTTCTGATTCTATACTTCATTGATGACGCTGTCAAGTGTTGAATTCAGCATAATTCAGCTATCATTTGTCATTTGTCCCGGCCTTTCCCATTGTTGGAGTTGTTTTCCTCTGTAGCTACCCACTACAATGCAACTACCCAAACCCAGGGCCATAGTGCATAAAGACTGACTGTCACATCCTGTTCTAGGCTGTGCGGTGAGATACCCGAAAATTCAGAACCATGGTCTATCAGTTTCCCCGCTATTGTCCTTATCCTCTTGTTCAAAATGGCCAAAATGGGCGGGGTTACCCCATGGCCGGACCCTCACAGATCTTTTCATATGTTTCTATGTTTTTCCATCACCCCATATTTACCAGTATAGTCATGTCCGTAGTTCTGTTTCTATATTGTCCTGTAAGTACTTGTTTTTATTTACAATTTACAATGTGTTTCCACATTGATATCCCATTAATTAAAATGGTTTAAAATCCATGAAATCCATTTTCAATTTGCTTCAGATTCCATAACATCACCGTTTCTTCCCGGTGAACTCCTCCCTTTTGGCCCTTGTCCCCCCGGTGTGGCCGCAACGCGCCGCAACGGCAACCGGGCGTCTGTTCGCCCTTCTTGCGCTTGCTGGTGCCATCCAGGTCATCCTCCACCGCGGTGGGCACAGCCAGGCTGGCCGTCTTCTTTTCCACCTGGGAAGGGGTTGACCCCAGGAACAAAATGGCAAAAAAAACAGCAGAAAATAAGAACCACATGTGCATATATACACAAACAGGGAAATGTGTGTATATATATATATGTTCGACAATATTATACAATATACTTATGCATTCTCATGATACTTACGCATTCTTCGTGAATTGAATTGATGATGTTCAAGACTGTACCCTCTGGTAAACTAACATAACTATGGAAAATCACCATTTTTAATGGGAAAACTCACTATAAATGGCCATTTTCAATAGCTATTTTGACATAACCAGAGGGTAAACCATGGACCATGGACCCAATGTATCCCGTGGCGCCTTCATGAGGAGATCCGTCTTGCCATCCTTCACATCCACCCAGCCCGTGTAGGGACCGCGCCCCGACAGCCGAATGAAACGAAGGCGATTCCTGGGACGTTGATTCGAAGGGAGGCCATGTTTTGTCATGTTTTGTGACTGCAATGCTGGGGACATCTGTTGATTCATGTTGATTCTATCTAATTACAACATTACAATTCCCACATGGCCAACTTCGGTTGAAATATGTTGAAATCGTTCCTCATTCTAAATGGTGATGCAACCCGAGGGACGTCTTCATCTTCACAGAACTTATATGAACTTAGACAGTGGATAAATGGTCTCCTCACCAGTTATGATTTCCATCGCTGTTGGTCGACCTTCTCGGTCTTTGATTCACAAATCGCATAACTTTGTTGGGTTTTTAATCCCCGTTCTTACCATGTTTGACGGTGGAAAAATCCACGATTTTCCTTGTGGAATGTTTTTCAAATATGAATGTCCACCATTGTCCACCCTTCCTTTCCGGTGCCAGAAGAATTCCCCCCATCCCCATATAACAGCCCTCGAAATCACCAACCTTTGCTGGTGAAAATAGTGCCCATTGAACGTGTGCTGCTTTTAGATCTTTCATGTTTGATTATCAAAAACCCTCCATGTTTGTTGGTTGAACCCTCATGTCTGGCTGTTGAACCCACATCATCAAGAGTTAAACCCACATATTCACTACGGTCTTGGTAGTCAACCTCCCTATGTTTGGGTTTAAGCTTTGACAGTTAAATTCCCTCTAGACAGGTAAAAACCCACACTTTGAGTGGTTACAGTAACCCCGCCATGGTTCGGTGTAAGAGCCAGTTGATGGTTAACCCCTCATATTTTGATAGTCAATCCATGTAAATCCCACATACGAGTATGTTGTTGATTCAAACATGTTTAAGCCACATATGTTCATAGGAAATCCATGTCAGTTCGCCATGTTTCTGTTGATGGCTAGACTCAGAACATCTCGAACCCGCCAAGCGTCCCTTTGATTTCCTGCTCCTCGACGACAGCTCCCGTCGGCAGTACCTCAGGCAGCATGCGCGAGTACTCCTCCGCGCCCTCCCGGGCGATGATGCCATCAGCACCTGTAGCATCGACGACGGCAAACGATGGCTACTGGTGGGCATGAACCCATTCCAAGCATTTGTATCTATACGTATACACGTAACATATATACATATATATTATATTATATTATATTATACTATATTAAATTATATTATATTATATATACTTATCGATGTATAGTAACCGCCAAAAAGATAGGAAAACCAGCTGTCACTATTTTACGTATGGTATCCCCAGGAAAATAGAAACATCATGTGAATCACGTATCATAGTTTTATAAGCTGCCAGGATTTTAAGGTTCTACCGCCTTTTTGGTGGTTGCAATATATTCATGCATAATATGTACATTTAAATGTGGATGTATAATATATACTATATATTATATATTAATAATATATAAAAGTGAATATACATGACATGTGCATTTACTGTAATACGTACATTATTGCAGCCGTGCTGTCTAGCTGCATGCAATATGATATATGCTCATGTATGCATGATTGTGATTGTGTATATATATATATATTGATTGTGATTGTGTATATATATATGCGTAGATGGATGGATTTGAGCGAAACTGGGGATACCCCCAATTCATGACCATCTTGATGGGGAAAGTTTACTACTCTTCCCGACAAAATCTCAATGCCACGGGTCGCTTCTGATAATGCCAATCGCATGTTAAAGTATTCAAATTTGTGGTTACCCACCAGTTGACTAATTAACATAGCTATGGAAATCCACGTCTCCCACTCGGATTTTTTTCTATTTCATGGATCTTCCATATCTTTTTCTATTGTTTTCTGGCGGGTCATCAATGCGTCGACGGACTGCCAAAGCACCTCCCAGAACTTTCCATCTCTGCCCTTTGACCATTGTGGAAGACCCACAGCCGCGCAGCGCCAAGGATCCGCTGGAGATGTTTTTTTTTACTCAGAATTCTTTGGTGCAACAGTTGGAATTGATGCTGAAGTCTAGTGTGGCCACTAAGTAGGTATATATATGTATATATAATTATATATATATACAGTACATACATTCGATCTCCGATTGGACTATGGCTACCTTGCTAAATCAAGGCTAAACAAACCACGAAAAGGGTAGCCTTGGTGTATATTTCCACGCCTATGACCTCTAAGCCATGAGGTTCTGAGCGAGGACAGACATTGACCATGAGTGACAAAGAGAATCAGGGATGGTTATCTATGATCCAATACATGTATTGATACATATACATACTTTTTACAGGTTTTTAATGCACTATATAATGGATGGTAATGTATGATAGCCGATTACATTGTCATATTAACTATGCTCATAGATGGAATCTATGATATTTCATTCTGTATCGATGCATTACACAGATTAACTATGTACAACATAGATATAGTGTTTTGTAAGCAGAGTGGGTCTCACCTGAGACGTGTTGGGCTTCCCGTGCTGTTTTTATTGTTGAAAAACACGATTCAACAGGGTATCTCACCAAATGGCTTGTCCTTGATATCCAAGTCATTCACATCAACTCATCCTCATTCTTTTCCAGTAATGTCCACACTGTTGTTTTATCATCTCACACACCATCCCATTGTTGTTCATGGTTTTTTGGACTCCCGGCAAGATTTTTTTTCTCGCTGGGTAGTGTTACAATTAGTATATACCATCGTTTATGGCACATGACCCTGACGACCTACCCAGCTTCAACTCACAACTGCCATCATCTTTGCCCAAGATGGGGGATAGCATGGGATAGCGAATGTTCATCCATTGCTTTTCCAAAATTTCGTGTGAGTCACAAAATGGGCCATCCGCCATCCACGCGGACAATTGCCTGCCTTCTCAATGGATGCCACGGCCATGTTGAAGGTGTCTACCACCTAGTCACACCATGGGATAAAATCAGCAAGGGATCTCATGGGATACGACTGGATAAACCGACCTGCTGTTTTTGGGTATGTCAAGGGGATATCATGGAAAACTCAGCAACGTTTTTGAGCAACAATTAATGGAGATCTAAAATGATGTGAGCAGCGATTTATTGGGGGGTTAATGGGGATTTAATAGGGATATATCTTGGGTTGTGTCCCCTGAGCCGCTAAGAGTGGATGGTGGTTCTGTTACTGTTCGGGGGCCAATGTTTAAACAAGAAATGAATAGTAATAATCTATCGTGGGTTGAGTACTCCAATGTCCAGCTTCGATTGAAATCTGACATGCCGGAACTCCCCGAGTTCAACGTGCTTGCTGTAGGAGTAACATCTCCAAGTTGGTTTGGAGATTGTCCATCGTCAGGTTACCGGAGGGTATTATCATACCATCTATGTATGGTTGAGTTTTCTGTGCAGACTGTAGTTTTCGCTGCGGTACGGCTCAAAAGAAATATGGGTAATTAATCCAGTAATCCAATCCCCCTAATATCAAACACCACCATTTCATGGTCCCAATAAGCGTAAATCTCCTAGCAAACCATGGTTTCTGGGAATGTTTCATATTGGGGGGAGGGATTATACTGTGACAACTGACAACTGTATTAAATATTATTCTGACTGGCAAATGCTAAAGGTCAAGCCTGCTGGTGCCATGCGAAACTCTGATCAAATGGGATCAAATTGTGTGCAGCCTAAAATGTGCTTGGTACCCTCTGGTAAACTAACATAACTATTGAAAATCACCATTTTCAATAGCTATGTAACAGTTTACCAGAGGGTATATGGAACATCATGTCCAATGCTTGGCTCATGAATCGCATCAATACTCCATGTGTGGTACATGGATAAATTCTGCAAGGTGTCCCTGATGCTATGTGAAATAGGTTGAATCATCACCAATTGTGGGTACTTGCGGGTTTTGGGTACTCCGTAAATTCCACATGTGTTTCCGGTTGAAATCCCCATCTACATTTCAGATGGCTCGATATCACTCCAAAACTCTTTTGTTGCAGGATTAGATGGCCAACGGATCGCCTGAAATCCAGAACGTTCTCCCGAGACAACGAATGGGTTTAATCAATCCTCATTTTCGGTGCTGAAAAAACATCAATGTTTGGTGGTTAAACTGTTAAACTCTCGTGTTCTACAGTATGACCCCGCAACTCCCCAACGGCGAAGCGTGGTGCCTGTCGCACGTGCTCCTCGAGCTGCCCCTTATCGTGCCGAAGCCGCGCTTGGGACTCTACATTCACAGCCTGGCCGTAAGAAAACCATGGGACTTAACCGTGGTGAACCAATAAAACTGCTGGTTCAATCCATTCAAAATTGGGGTTTAATATTATTTAATAATATTTCATCGTCAAAAGATTCGGTTTCAACTGTTCAAACAGCTATTGAAGTGCGTGTTTTTGCCAAAGGAAGTGAGGGAAAGATAGAGGGTCAAGCAGCAAACATAGGGATACTTTGAGCTGCAAACATTGGGAAAATCAGCAGAAAACCTTGGGGTGTTTGATCAAGAGAATAGGCTGGGTTGATCAATCGACAAGAATGGAAGTTCAACAAGCAGACATTCCGGGTTTATGGATCCATCACAAATATGCAGATCTATTAAAGTATACAGTATGTATCCTGGTTGGTGGTTTTAACAATCTTGAAAAATATTAGTCAATGGGAAAGATTATCCCAATATATTATGGAAAATAAAACATGTTTGAAACCACCAATCAGTATCAGCTTGAGTATAAATTTGCAAACATTGGATCTAACATTGGATGCCGACAGTTATCTTACATTACCCTCTGGTAATTCAACGTAGCTATTGAAAATGGCCATTTATAGTGAGTTGTCCCATTAAAAATGGTGATTTTCCATAGATATGTTAGTTTACCAGAGGGTATCATGGTTGTAACAAAGACGGGGAAACCCCGTAGACAGGGCAAACAGTTTGCCCCCAAGGCAGTACAGTATCTGTTCCACTTCCGCCTGCGACAACTCATCGCCCCCGGACTTCTCCTGGCGGCTGTGTCTGCAAAATGCTGGGCTGCTGGACGCCCCAAAAGGATGAGTAAATTGAATGCGAAAACCTGGCATAATTGGAACAAACAGTGGATTTCTGTGTTGTTTTCCCCTCATTTTTTTCGGAGATTTCCCTGATTCATCAGCGCTGGTTCTAGGCTTGATGATCCACCTGTAGCATGCAGCCGTGTTTTGGAGTTCCGTCAAGGCAAGCACCAGTAACTAGTACAGACTGGATGAGACCGAGTAAATCCTAAACAACCAAGCAACTTATACTATTTGCTTATACTAGAAGCCATACTGTATGTAGATAGTTGCTTAGATAACAGTCGCCTTGGTGTAGGAGTTCTCAGTCATCACCCGGTCACCAGTTGATCCCAACATTGCTGACCCACGTCAGCGACCGGTCCTGAAGCAATTTGCCGCGCCTTGGGCTTACGATCTGCTTCCCAGCTCCCTTGCTAAGTTGGTTTAAGATGGTTTAAGTATGTTTAACTTCTAGTGGTTATGTATGATGTGTATATAAATTAGCACAAAATCATCCAAAAGCTCGAAGTCCAAGGAAATGGCTGGGAACCGCAGATGGTTCCCTTTTCTGTCGCGTCTTTTAGGAAGGACTTTGCTATGCAGCGAGACATGCTTTTGGTTGATGGTTCCATATGATTCCAAACCAATCTCACCAGCTTCATATCCCATTCTTTTCCCACTTTGACAATAATATACCCATAGGATCCATGTATGGTATATATGCTAACATTTGGGGTATATTGATGGGATCCATGTTACCATATATAGCATACATGGATCCTATGGGATAGTTCAGCCACTTTATCCGATAAACACATCAAAAACACCATAATACCCGTGGTTTTCCAATGAAACCACCACGGTATACCGAGCTGCAGGGTGAGGCGTCCCACACGGCGAGCTGCAAGCCTTGGCAGATGGCGAACCAAAGACAGCGCCATGGGATTTAACCAGCAAACCTGGTGAAACATTGGGAGTTGTTGCTATCGGAAATGTATGGTTTTCACATGCTTTTTCAGCAGTTGAGCTTCTGTGAAAACAGGTCTAGCATGGTATCCGCCGACCCCGGCAGACGCAAGGGGGAGCGCGCCAGGGAATAAGACATTGCGACTACTACTATACTACTGCAGCTACAGTAGATAGAAACAGCAGCAGCAGCAGCAGCACAACAACCACAACAACAACAACAACGACAACAACAACAACAACAACAACAACAACAACAACAACAACAAGAACAAGAACAACAACAACAACAACAACAACAACAACAACAACAACAAGAACAAGAACAACAACAACAAGAACAACAACAACAACAACAACAACAACAACAACAACAACAACAACAACAACAACAACAACAACAACAACAACAACAACAATGACAATGACCCTTTGCCGGGGGACCCTGTTGGGTCCCCCTCCCACCGGTCACGTACGTCGATTCATTGACTCCGGGGTTTTTGTTTTACCGGTGGGGGGTGCTTCCCGGAGTCTCCTCGAGGTACGTGGGGCTCCTTGGGTTGCCCTTCCCGCTCTGATTTGTTCGTTCGAGGCCGCATCCTCGAGGTTCTATGTCTCATTGTACAAACAGTGGTATCCGCCGACCCCGGCAGACGCAAGGGGGAGTGCGTAAGGGAAAAAGAGTTTATGACACAGCTGCCAGGAAAGAATAATAATAATTCGCTGACCCCGGCCGATGCAAGGGGGAGCGACAACAACAACCATGTGCCACCTCTGCTGTGCTCTCGATAGTCCATAAGCTTCAGGGTTAGGCTGCAATTTTCTTAGATCAAGTCGTGTCTTTGGTACCGGAGCATACTACTTGCCAACATTTTGTTCCACATCTTTTCCCGTTTCGTTTTTTGTGCGCTACCCGTATGCGGCCAAAGCGTTTCGTGCTTTGCACTTCTGTTAAACATGCTGGACACTGATGTGTGAAAA